ACAAAACACCGCGATATCGTTATATAACCAAATCTCATCAATGACTAATAGCTATTGACTGATCTTAAAAGCTTTTTTGTTTAACACACAACAAAAAAAGATGCTTCTTGAACAGAATCCTGCCTACCCCACCTTTAATGCCAAACCGCCATGAGTTGATGGTAATAACTTAGCACGCTCCAAAATTGCTATTGGCCTGCCATTCTCTTCATGGTCGCTAAACAGGTCACTCACTTTTTTTGGCTAATATTTCACTGCAATGACTTTACTCATGATTACATTGTTAATTCTGTCTAATGCAAAATATTCATCCATCTATTGTTTTGATGTGCTTCTGATCTGAATCATACGCTCTGCAATGAATCAGTGTTGGTTGTGTCAGTGGCTTTTCTCCCTCAACCTCAATCCAAAAAGGTCTGTGTTTGGTCGCTGTTTGCCATCAACTCTCCCATCGGGGGTGTTATGGCCCACAGCGTCACTCCACAGTGTCTGAGATAACCCCCTACCAAGTGGTTAATGAGGTCAAATGATGAATTACACGGTCAGTTTAACCTAGGGGCTTGAGACCTCGGACACTGAACAGCTTGTAGAGGGTATGTTAGCCCCCAAATCCAGGACACCTGTGATGTAGCAGGTCACCGTTTCCTTCATGCCTGATTGTGTGGACAGGATGGCAGATTGAAAGACATGCAAAGGAAACATGAGGACAAAAGATCTGCTGAAAGGTGCAAAAAAACCCACTACCCTCTCATATGCGTCTGAGTACTGTAACTAGAGCAGAAATTTGCAGAGCAGGCAAAGCGATTCAGCAGACATTTAGGTTCACAGCCAGTGCAGCTGCCCCTCATGGGCTGAGATTAATTGCTGGATGGATAAAGCCACAGTGATTGACAGATGAGTTGCAGCATTGAGGAGACATGAGAGAGATGAATGTGGAGCAGTTCAAAGTGAAATTAGCATTGAGTTCTTTGAATTCCTCAAAAGAAATATGCTTGAATCAGACATTTGAAGTTTATCTCACAAGTATGATTTTAGCTGGTGGGAAATTAGCAACAGTGGGTGATTTATAGATTTCACAGGTGTCCAATGTTTAGTTCTGACTTGCTCAATTTGTGTTATATAAATTTGTGCACCGGGAATTCAAGCTGTGCTGTTACATATCCGCACGCAATTAGAGAGTACAAATTTGTTCAGATGGGGTTATACGAGGTTATCATTCACAGTCAGTGGTACTAAGAGTGGATGGCATCATCTCATCTTCAGTTTGAAGAAGAAAGCAGGTATAGGTCTATGAACCAAGGTGTTCAGCCTATGTTTGTTGTGCTCTGAAAGCTACACTTTGTATATTTGTTGTTGCTGTACCTTTCATACTTCCAGAGTGGCATAATGCGATGGGTAATCTCGCTAATGACACACTTTTGCAAACTTCAGTCTGGAAGTACAAAGGTGAGCTTTTAGACTACAATTTTACCAGGAAATCTGCTTCCCTCATGAGGTTCATCACACATTCACACACATCTTTACCAACAGTTTTCAAGCTTAAAGGGATATTCCGGCGTAAAATGAATTTAGGGTCAAACACGCTTTAACACTGAGTTAGACGCTCCGTCAAGAGATGAATGTTGCCGACTGTTTGCTTCTCTAGTTATACCAACTTTAGCAACAACCACAGGATAGCAATGCACAGCGGTCTGAGGAGCCATAGACAAACCTCAACCAAAAGCCACTCTATAGCGATAAATAACGCTCAGAACAGCACCTACCTTCATCAACTGTACATATAGGGTCCCAGCCATAGTACTAGACACCAAACATCTTAAACTTTGCCTAATTTCTTTAGCATCGAGACTAAACACAACTCACCCACTCTCTTCCAGTAGCCGCTTATTTGTAGCAAGACCTCGGGCCAGTCTTTTACGGACTACAGCAGGGTGATGCAGCTCAAGGAAGAACATTTACGATCATTTCTTCATGGAAATGCAATCAGACCGAGACGCTAAGGCAGAAGAACTACCGTGTCTAAAGTGGAAAATGATTAATATGATGATTATTACTTCAAAGAAATGATAAAGAAAGATCATAAATGTTCTTCCTTCAGCTGAGTCGCCCCGCTGCTGTCTGTAATGGACTCGTCTGAGGTCTCAGTACAAACAAACGGCTGCTGGAAGAGAGTAGATGAGTTGTGTTTAGTCTCCTTGCTAAAGAAATTAGGCAAAGTTTAAAAGATGTTTGATGGCTAGTGCTATGGCTGTGACCCTATATGTACTGTTGATGAAGTTAGCTGCTGTTCTGAGCATTATTTGTGGCTATAGAGTGGCGTTTTGGTTGAGGTTTGTCTATGGCTGCCCAGACCGCTGTGTACTGCTTTTGTGCAGTCAATACTAAAGTTGGTATAACTAGAGAAGCAAGCGGTCGGGGTCTCTCTGCTTTATGTAGTCAGAGCCATGCAAAGTTCTACAAGTGTTTATGCAGTTTTCTTTATTTCTTCTCATATAGAAAATGTTGAATCAGTTTTTAACAATGTGTCTGATCCTTCTTGCTCCATTTTTGTTGCTATGGGATTGTATTTGGCCTGTTTGGGTGTTGCATTGACTTGATAAGTGTGCCCTAAAATGCATAGTGTAAAAAATCTGCTCCTATCCTTTCAGTTTTTTGTATTTGCTGTGAATTGACATTAGCATGCACACAGAACTATTTTGTGACTCTGCATTTTATTCATATATATTTATATATAACCTCCAGTTGTGCAAGAATGCGAGTTGGTTCAGCACCGTGCATGGAAAAAGCGAGGAGAGAGCACAGAGCTTAAAATGGCATGCTGCATTGCAAAAACTAACAAAGCCACCTCAACAAATCCAGCCACATGTAGTTTATGGCCTATCATCTGATGGAATTATTTTCCCACCGGCTCCAGGTGCAGCAACAGGATAAAGGCAGTCTATCACCAGAGACCCAGACAGCTAATGCGGCATAAAAAACAGCTCCAAATTTGCCCATGGTTGGAGCAACCCTTTCTTGTAACTGGGTCTAGCTTAATGAACTACAAGGCACCTTGAATGACAAATAAATTGTGTTTTTTTAGAGCAACAAACTGCTCAATGCATCACTAATAAGGTTAATTTGAGTCCCGATGGGCAGGAGGCATTTGCCTAAGTGTTTATCCGCTTTAGCCCTCTCCCCTGCTAGACCGACAAAAAGAAGCAGAGCTGGCAGTGTCATTAGAATGACACTAAGTGGAAGGTGAATGCTCAATTCACTCATCAGGACCCGGCCAAAAAAGAGCTGGAACCAGCTGTTTGTACACAGAACATATTTTCTGTGTCTGTTATTTTTGCATGTTTTGACCAAAAGCTCCTAGTGGTTACATGTGAGCTGCATGTCAAATGTATGTTTCCAGTCTTGGATACCCTATTTCCCCTAAACTAATTACAATTACAAATGTAGGTTATGGCCAACACAGCACAACACTTATCTCCGGCCAGTGTGGTCGACTTCCTTAATTAAAAATGGCAGACTTCAAGACTGCTATGGAATGAATAAATTCTCTGAAACTCCCCCTCCGCCTCAGCGCCATTTAGTCAAACACACCGTTTATACATGCCGAGGAGCTAAACCGGAGGCTGCTGTTAAATTCGCCAGGGCTACTGTTGCATACAGTGGGCCAGATAAGCCTCATTTGAATAATTCCCATATAGCTCTGCTGCTTTATCTCCGAGTTTACCCATCACAAACGTGCACTCTTGTGCTTATAAAGTTGTTGGACGCTGCTGTTAATCAATAACAAGCTTTGGGCACTGCATTGTACTTTGGCGAAGATATTATTGACATCCTCTCAGACACTTAGATCTATAATAGGCTTTGCCTTTGCAGAGAAATTGACATTTTAAGTTCTTTGCAGCCGTGTCTTTGTTGTGTTTGTGAAATTTTGGAGAAAGCAAAGCCAGCCGCACTTCACAGTGGGAGTTGCAGCTTCATGGGTGTTGATTGTACATTTGCAAGAAAGTGATTGGCTGAGCTCCAGATCTTGTGTGGAGGGGGTAAAAATCCCAAGCCCATTAAATCACTCTGTATAACAGATTAGCACAAGTTTATCAGTTGCAAAGAGTCCTGTGATTACCCACTCCCACATGTTCTCAAAGTCAGCGTGACACCAACAAAGTCTGCATCACCTGCTGCAAAAACCAAACACTTTTAGTGTTATTGAGTAAGAGGCCGATCTCCAGGACAGGATGTAATTAAGACGAGGACAATAGAGAGTCTTAATCTGTGAAATCTCAAGACGGTTAATGCACCAGAAGATACACAAAGGGGAAAAAGGAGGAGGACAAAGTCATTGCACTAATATCTGTCATGGGCTTATATCAGGGTGGTTCATTAACTGTATATTCAAAGCTGATCCAAATGCTAAACAGTGACATTAAACTACACACAGGGGGTGCTGAGCTCAAGATTGCCTCTGCAGCAACAGTATCTGAAGATGGATATTGTCTGCTGGGTGCCAAAACTATTTTGGGAGCCTGAGCCCCTGACTTGTCCCCGGGCACCCTCTGATCCGCTTTGTCATCAGGTGCGAGAGCAGCATACACATCCAGACACTTATACTCATGAAGAGTTATAGATTTAAGTCACTTTTTATAGGTAAGAACAGTGAAAAGGACATTTGGAGATGTACCTTCTAATATTTTTGTGAAATTGTCAAATGGAGAGGTAGGGAGGAAATCTTAAGATGTAATCCTTGATAACCTTGACATAGATGCCAGACAGTTGATCCAAACTCATGGGATTTTGCAGATACTTATGCTCAAGTGATGATATCTAAAGACAAAGCTTGGCCATAGAAAACTAAAAGCTGATTTCTTGTTTCCTGTGTTTGTTCACGCTGATACAGCCAACTCTCTGACACTTGCCTCTTTTTTTCGTTGTTTATCCCATTTCCCATCTCATTGCCTTTTTTCTGCTTACCTTTCCAATTTGGTCGCGCGGCTGATCCGCGAGCTGAAATGAGTTGTGCAGCATACTCATTGTTCAAACACGCAGTGCACACTCAAGCGCACGCTCATTTCTTCTCTACTTTTTTTTCTCGTTCAAGTGTGATCGTGTGTGTGGCTGAAAGTCGTGTCCGGGAGAAGTTTCGACAGCGTGCGTCAAGGCTTGTGGCGCATTGGACGGCTTTGGTGTTGGATGAGCGGAAGGAGAAGAAGAAGGAGGAGGAGGAGGAGGGAGATCATACATTAACTCCTGCTGGCTGCGGGGACTCTCCAGCTGATAGAAGCCACGCACGAGGATGCACCCAGTGCACCACTGGCTGTTTTTGTTTTGGGGAACAAACAAGAAATGAAAACAGACGAAAATTGACTTAATTTTTTGGTTTCTCGGCTACCCGGTGATTTGAGAAGGATTTTACGCACCCAAAGAGAGTAAAGAAAGCGCTGCAGAGATGAGTGTTGCGTGGTTTTTCCTGCTCCCTGAGGATCCTCTCTCCTGATAAAGGGACAAAAGAGGACAAAAACAAGGCTGTCCATGATATTTTCCAAAAGAAGATTGCAAAGGTGGAGCGATTAGAGAAGGGCTGATGACGGGACTATTAATCCTTTCAGTGCATCAAAGGCACCAAAGGGTATTAGAAACGCTCGGATGGGAATCAGGCGCATGTTTAGAACTGTTATTGGTTCTATATGAAACTGGTGATTAGTTGCTGTGACTCACCTGCGAGGATTTTTTCCCCTTTCACCTGAAGATTTTCTAAAAAGAGTGACATCTTTTTTTTTTATTCATCGAAAGGTATGAGCGCTTTCCCGGTGTGAAAACTCTCATCTCAATCTTTTTTTCCTCTTCAAGTATTCCCAAATCTAAATGGAATTAGTTGAGTCTGAAGCCGTTTGTGAAAGGAACAGACATGGTACATGGGCACAGCATCCTTCACGGTAAGACATCTGTATTCATCAGCTAAGCACACTTGGTTAAAGCTCATGCTTGATTTTATCCTAGGAGTACAGTAATCCCGTAATCGGCGTTAGAGGACCCCGAAATCCGTGCAACATATCAAACTATAACCAGAGACAGAGCGGTGATTTTCTTATTTCTTTTTTTTTTTTACTGTAAAATGAAATGTTAGGAGGTGATGTTGCACAACCTTTGCTGCTGGAGGTCAACACTTTAAATTCTCGTTCCCATCTTTTAATATTTATTTATCTAGTTGGCAAAGCCGTATTCATTTAAATGCTTATCCAGATATTAAAAATATAAAGTTGAAATTGTTTAAAAGTAGCTTTTTTCATTTTAAAATCATTTTCCAAGGTGGAGGTTCAAGAAATAAACAGCTAAAGTTGGGGTACTGGCATTATATAGTTTTTTTTTTTTTTTTTTTTAGACTTTTAGGATAAAGCCTTTCTTTCATCTCTGTTGTAGGAAATGCACATCCTCATCAAGGGAAAATGCATGAAATTGTTGCTTTTCAAATACTGTGTACATTTTAAAATGGGTTCTTTCAGGTTACACAAGGCTAGGTTTAGCATTAGCATCAGTCTAGCTGCTGAAAAGTACTCTTAGCTGACTCAACCCTCTTTTAACCACAAAGAGGTTGTCCTAAATGAAGAAAATAATACCAAAGACAACATTTGCAATGCACAGTCTACTATTAAAAGTGTACGTCTGTTTTTTTTGCTTTTACAGTTGTTGCAAGTCTTCTCATACTTGGGTTGTCTGGGGCAACAAGGAAGGATTCAGCAGGTAATCCTTATTGCAACAATCCCACTCCTCTTTATCCGTTCAATCTTCAATATCTCACCCTCAAAAGCCTGTATGTCTTACTTTTCTTTCTTTTTTCACATTTGTGTTCTAGTGAAAAACAATTCAGGAGTAAAGCCTGCTGGTCAATGTGGAACGTGGGTGAAAGAACCGGAAGGAGGGCTCTTTACATCTCCCAATTACCCAAACAAATACCCCCCAGACACAGAGTGTGTTTACATCCTTGAAGGTAAATGTGCTCTTTAAGCACAGTGGGAAATGAAGGTGATCCGAGTACTTATTCACTGAAGCTGAAGTCATTCAGGGGTTTTATTGGGGGAGGTAAATCACTGCAACGTTGTGGAGAATGATGAGCGAAATTTGCTTTTTTGAGGGGTTGATTTTTCTAAATTAGGAGATGATTCTTTCTTAATAAGTGCAGAAATAAATAAAAAAAGTTAATTTAGAAGCTTAACACTATCCAAGCTCTGGTGTTTAAGAGATGAATTGACTCACCGCCAAATTTGGAGCTGTGTATTGACCGTGTGGGGGTGCTGATAATGAAACAGTTTGAGCATTCATCGATGAAAGCATGAGTCATATTTTACTCCCTGCTTTGTGCCAGTTGGTAATTATTGTCTATGTGTCCTCCAGCCCCCCCAAGGCAGTGTATCGACCTACACTTTGAGGAGAATTATTCCATCGAGTCCTCTTGGGAATGTAAATTTGACAACATCGAGGTTCGAGATGGACCCTTTGGCTTCTCCCCAATGCTGGGACGGTACTGTGGTCAGCAAAGCCCACCTGACATCAGGAGTAGCGGCCGATATCTGTGGATAAAATTTGTAACAGATGGTGAACTGGAAGCAGTGGGATTTTCAGCAAATTACAACTTCACTGCAGGTAAATTTTTTCTTTGCCCTGCTGCTCTTGTCAATCCGTGTCTTTCCTTATAAGTATAGTGGGCTCCAAGGGTCCAACAGCGAGGCTCCAAATGAATAACAAACATCATCCTGGGATCTCCTCTTTGTTGGAGCTTCTTGCAGTTTTATTGATTGTATCTCTGCACACTGGCAGTATTTCCATCAGCAGCGTACCGTCATAGGCTGGGACACTGTTTTTGCTTGGCTGTTATTTCTTTTCTCTCCATGTCAGGGAGATGTGAAGCAGTGTCAAAATCTAATTCAGTTCAGCAGCACTACTCCTCAGTTTACAGTGCTAGAGGAGGCCGAGAGAGAGAGAGAGCAGAGGTAACTAATTGGTATTGTCGAACACAATTGCGGCAATTACACTTACATGTAAAACCTGGACTTTCCTAATTTCCCTCATCTTTATTGAAGCTGTGTTGGAATTGAAGACAGGGAATCAGGGCATAGCAGTGATTTAATATTCCTTCACCTACACTTGACTGGGTTTAATAACACTGTCAACTTTTTCACCATGTGTTTGATGCTTGAAAGGCACGGAGCCACGAAACACGAACAGCAGGCCAATTTGTCTTCACATCCACTGTGCCCTCAGGGATATTTTACTACCATGATTTTAGTGTGTCATTGTTTATATGATGAACACTTAAATGGAACATTGACCTTTCATCCAAAAAATGTTACTTGCTTGAGGCTGTTGAAAAGACAGATATCGAGGCAGAGGGACTATAGATTTATCTCTGAAGGCTTTGTGAGTGAGCTGTTATCGAGGAATCAGCATGGGGAAGCTTTTCATGGGAAATCATTGTGCTCAATAGTAATGAATTATGCTGTGAAGTCAAGTGAGAGGCTTTTGTCCATTGGGTTATTGAGCAGATTTACTGCTATCTGTCTAAGATTTGCAGTCGTAAATTTGTTGGGTAGGACTACACAAAGGTAACACAAGTGTAGCTCAGTGATTTCAGAGTAAAAGCAGCAAAAGTGAATCTTTTTTCTCTGTGTAATTCAGAAGGGAGCTGGGGAAGGAGCAGACAAAGTGGTGGAAAAGCAACATGAATCAACACTTATTTCAAGGGAGTTTCAGATATTTCTGTCAACGGAGGCATAAACACTGGTTAAATACAGTGTCAACGTTGTCTCGTCAAAATAAGTTGTACATCGCACAGTTTGGAAACGCTTTTGCAATACTGCTGGCATGTTAGGTAGCGCTCAGAGCAGGTGATAGCAGCAGTATATCTGTGGGGTGCTAAAACAAAACTACTGACAGTGACCAGTAAAGCTTTTCACAGTGAAAATGTAGCATCTATAGACAATTGTGGTATCAAAACCATTGCAGTCTCTCTGTAGTTTGTGTCTCAACTTACCTTTCCTCAGATGCTTTTGTTCTTCATCTTGCTCTTTTTAACAGTAAAGAGACCGATTCTAATTCACCAGGCTTCTCTCCGCTGTAATGTGATGCAATACTAGATAGGACTCTAATCTACACACAGCACAATGTGTTTTTTTGCAAGCACTGCAAGTGTCATTGTTATTTTTGACTTGAAGCACTCCACATTTTTAAGCCCAGTGTCCACATTAGTGCCCGAAGATGTGTTTGTCGAGGTGCGGTCAAGCCAAAAGGTGGCTCGTTGCTTTATTGAGGCTGCAGGAAGTATCTTCACCTTTGATCAACAAAAACCTGGTCTGAAGTCTGGAGCCCATGGCCCATGAAAACAGTGTTTCCCTGCTATTTAGAGGCTGTACTGGTGATATATCGAGGTGGTATAGCAGTTCATGCAACCGCATTACTTTGCTTTTTGCACACATAGATGCGCAACTGTGCACAAGGACCATTGTACCCACAAATATTGGTCGACTAATCCCCACTTGAAATGCATTTTCTGCTTGTATAGAGGCACAGGAGACAGAGAGATAGGAGTTAAATATGCTGCCTGGTCTGTTTGAATAGAAAGGTTAAAATCAGAAAGCACAACTGATTGTTAAAGAAATGAAGGCTCACTGATTGGTTTGATTCATGTTACATTGAAAACACACTCATGATTAATCAGGTGACGTAATCCAGCCTCTTTTTGCCCTGCGCCCCATTTAGTGTTCAGATTGTTCACTGCTTAACCAGCAAAAAGCAGTCGGACACACCCTTATTCACCCTGTGCTTTGCACTTTAGATGAACAGTTTGACAGGGTATGTGATTAGAGCCGCATTCTCAACAGCAGTCTGTTCTTCAATGCAATGGTCTGCTATTGAGAAATAACGAACTGTTCCTGCATAAAGACCAGGCAGATTCAATTACCGAACCTGGTCCTGCAGTAATTTAGCATTTATCCATTTCCTTCGCTTGAAATCAGCATCCAGGTTCAACTTGTACTTGTAAACAATTTTTCTCAACACATAGTTGCTCCTCAGACTTTTAACACAGACAACACATGAAAAAAAAGGTCATGGCCTGTTACCATTTATTGCTGACTGCTGTCCTGTAAATCACCCCTTAATATCCCATCGGCCTGCGAACATGTAGTAGCTACAAATCTGGGCAGATATATTTGTTTATATGTTTAGATCAGCTCCAGAGGGATTTTAGTACTCTGGTTATTTCTGTTATTGACTGAATTTAATATGAAGTTGGCAGCAGTCTTAAAATACCAAGGATTTGCACTTTTTTTTTTCTTCTAGGTCAAGGCATGGCTTCCCACACAAGCTTGTGTTTGCCTCACAGCACAAAGCTAATTGAGGCCAGTCTGTCTTTTTAGTTTTTGGTGTAGATGGACTGATTCACCTGCAGAGCCAACAGACACCCTGAGGCTAGTTAATTAACACATGTCGGTCAATTTGTAAACAAAGTTTTGTTTTCCTCGCAACAAGCTGTCTTGTCAAAGTAGTGTATGCACCACAAAAACAGTGGTATGCATGTAAAAAAAGTGAATTTTACAAACTTGACCTTATTTGAAAATGAGGTCCTTACTGTGAAATACATGTTGGGTTGTTCATAGCTCAGATCGCCAGAGATAGATAATCCTGACCATATTTTTCGTTATCTGCATTTGTAAGTATTGTCTCCCTCGCCTGCTCCTCTGAAGAGTCTCACTGAAAATTAGCCTAAAGGAAAGAAAAAAGCCTCTTGTCTTGATAGGAAGTGTATGTGGCATACAATTTACATAATTAAAGAAGATAAAAGTCTTGAATTCACTTGACTCGATACTCTGAAATCTGGCGATGTGTATAGCGGTCTCACATCTGCAGCTGCTCTGCGAACCATGCTAATTCACACAGCTCTCTCTCTCCTCTGATGAATGAAAGGGAGGCAACAAAGGTGCCGTGATTCAGCTCCTCTTACTCACTTTCCTCAGTCAGATCAGGAGCGTGGATATAAAAACTCCTGAGCTTCTTTCGCATTCTGCCAGTGTCCTTTCAGAGCCTCACGCTCTCGATGACTAATGCTTATAGCACAGCAATCAGTGAATGAAAAATCAGTGACTGGTATTTCACCATCTCTGGTGATGTGTCTTATGCTTCAGTACTTAAACATAACACTTAAAGTCCCGAGATGCTTTCGACTTGTATGTTCCATCAGAGGAAGTGAGAGATATTGGTGAATCAAAACTACGGCTGACTCAGAACAGGGACTAAATGAACTCCTCTGCTCCAGTGATGGGATGTGTAATTTATTTGTCAAACTAATTTCACCCAGTTGCTTTCACACTTGTCTTTTTATCCGTCACAGAAGTTTTAAAGCACTTCCCTTTTCCTCTGAAGACTACACTGTAAGCTTTAGAGGAAATAAACTGAATATTTGTGAATCATTCATACAACTATGTTGAAGTAATTCAGGCACAAAAGACTCACTTTCAACAGGGAGGCTGTCTGGCACCTGTGTTAGTACATGATTACAAGGCCGTGGAGTCCATCTGGCTGAATGTGTGACTCAGTTTAGTAAATAACACCACCATAGACTGAACTCATGAATCACCTGCAGTCATCTAATGTGTGACTCAAGATGAACCGGCTAAGAGGATCATGATTTATTGGTTTATGGTAGCTTTCCATGCTGGTAGGATTGTATAATATGAAGAACATTCCTGTATTTTAGTGATGATAAAGAAAGTAGCACAACATAGATTGAATCATGGTGTACTGTATTCGGCTCTGACATTGAAGAGCAGAGTCATGCTTGCCATCCAAAGGGCACCATTTCCGAGTAATGGCAGAGCGAGTGTCATATTCGCGACAATCTTAGATTTTAGTACCGGAGTCAGGAAAACCTGTTCTTTTCCCACCAAGTTTGATCTCAGTTACATGGTATTCATCCTGCATTCCAGTTGTACTCAGATGTCGGGATTTCCGAGCTCCGAGTAGGAAATTAATCTGTAACACTCCCCTAAAGTCAGATTTCCAACTCAGAAAGTCAGATGATCCTCGCCAACCCTGAATTGACGACAACGTCATAATTCAAGATAGCAGCACAGTGCATCGACAGTAAAGAGTAACAGTAAAAGCTCTTGTAATGTATTATTTATTTGCACTTCTGTTTTGTTTTTGTGAAATAAAATAAGTAGTGTATGTTGTACTGCCCAATGTCTAATTGTGAACACGGTGCTAGGGTGTTTGTAAAGTACTGTTTTGTGCGTTGTTTACAAGTGGTATCGCTAACAACAACTAACAACCACTGACAGCGGCTAACAACACCTGACAACCGCTAACAACAACTGACAACGGCCAACGACAGCTGACAATTGTGAACAACAGCTAACAACCGGTAACTGTAGCCGTCCATCTTGGTTTTCTGACTTGTTAACTGGAACACCATCAACTCGGGTGTAGCGTCATTTCCAGCCCAGACTCAAACTTCTGAGGCAACTGTAACGCAACATTAATCTGCCTGAAAAAAGGTTACAGATAATGATTAGAAGACATTGGTTGTGGCCATGACTGGCTGAAGAGGAACGACCATGAATTCTTCAAGTCCTAACGATCGCTCTACAATTGTTGCTCTCCTGAAGCTCAGTTAAGACGGGAACATCGTGGCACCAAGCACTGACAGTTTGACAAACATAGACATCTCATTAACGACTAGCATTTAGGCACTGGTGCAGTGTGACATGGGCACTCTGTAATGCTCACGATGGCGTTGGCCACGAGGGAGTAGCTACGATGTAAAGTCGGTGCAGAGGTACAAACCAGTCTCTAGACAGAGCCACTTTTGCTATCGTCTATTTTTCTGTTAAACTAAGCTAACTTTTGGTAATTGTCAAACTTGTTCAGTCTCCAAACCGTGTGTGAAAACTTGCCTTTTTAACAGCCAAATGTATCACTGAGTAATTCAGCATCATAATCAGATAAAAGCTCTCCATTTAAGTGCTTATTAATGAGCCATTGATGAGTTTCTTAAAGACAGAGTTTCTGTTGCTTTAGCAGATATCCTAGTTTTACTTTTAAGCAGTATGCGGAGCTCACCAAGTATGCTGCAGTAGTCAACTTTCCATAGCTCCTGAAACAAGTCCACAAATAAAAGAGACTGTTCAGCCAATTAATTTAGGGAAGCCTAGAAAAGAGTGGGTACACAGCAAACCATCCACAAGAAGAGAGGTTTAGAAAAGAGCCTCAGGCCCAGTAAGTCACGGCTCCATTTCAATTTGCAAAATAATTCCTGGGTTGACTTTTATTTCTGTTGTCTCATCCGTTCTGTCCCTCTCATTATTCTGCCCAAATATATTCATGATATTGGGCCATTGTCTCCGTGCCATGGTGGGGATTGAAAACGAAACAAAGCATAATACCAGTAAGTCAAATCCAGCCGCCTGTCATTAAAGCCTGTACAGTAAGGGGCTTATTGTTGATTGCACATGTCAAGGAGACTTGACAAATAGTATAAAATTGCAAGAAGAATAGTTGAATTCACTGTGCACAGGAGGGAAAATGCTGAGTGGAGGAACCATTGTGTGTTTAGTTCTTGGTATATGTGTGTGTGTGTGTGTGTGTGTGTGTGTGTGTGTGTGTGTGTGTGTGTGTGTGTGTGTGTGTGTGTGTGTGTGTGTGTGTGAGTATAAGCTTGGGCGTTGGGGAATTTGAGCGGTGTTCTGCTGCTCAGGTTGTCCTCGGGCATGGTGACCTCAGAACCCCCTGGTCTGCTAGATTAAGTGGTGTTTCAGCACCTTAAGCTGAAACCAGAGCAAATAAAAGCTGTAAGTTCTCCTCCTTCTGTACTGAGCTCTCTGATCACTCACTGTTTGCAGAGGCAAGCGAGACGAGGCAAGGAAAGGAGGTGAGGCAGAAAGCCGTATGAAGACTCAGGCAGTGTGTGCAATTCTGTGAGACATGGGCCTTTGATACACCATTGAATATGGATGGATAAATATCTGTATTCAAATAGCATTGTTGCCTAATAGGTGTTCAGTTGTGAGTTACATATGATGTTAGAAAAAAGGAAGGAAAATTCTATCTCAGTCTGTTTCAGTCTAGTTAAAATTTCCATTTTCAGATTCCTTCTCCATTTCTAATTCAAATGCAAAAAATGTAAATTTGTGCTAAACACCCGTGGAATAAAAATGCTTCCTCATTTTTCCTGGAAAGACACAATGAAGTGGAAACTGGTCAGCATGCCGATCAGGCTCACATGTTTCCTGAGGCAAACTTCTATAGCTCTGCTACTTTATGCTTTCTATCATCAAGAATTCAACCCATGATTAATGCATCTACAATCAGGATGACACTGATTGATCTGGATGCCTTATGGCCCAGCGCAGCTCCAAGAGGAGTCAGAATCTTTTTGGAATGAAATGAGTCAAATGGTGTTTAAGATTACAGCTGAAACAGGATATATGGGCCTATCATAAAGGAGGCAGGGCCATGAGATTGAACCTCAATGGGCCCAAACTGGAAAATTGAAAATTGAACCTTGGAGATCGACTCTTTGCTCATAGAGGAGGACTAAACTGGGCAGGACCATTAGTGAGGCTGGACAGAGAGTTCAGAGACTTCTTATTTTCAAATCCAAAGTCTTCAGCCAGAAGCAACAGCCAGAATTTAAATGTTGTTGTTGTTTGTCCTTGATGGCATCCATTGAACCCCCATTTTAGCCTCCAAACACAACAGACTGCCTGGAAAGGATTTTTATTTCATGTGAACAAATATCTGTTGATGAAATGTAAGTGCAAGGGGTTTGGCCAAGACTTAGCCAGTGCATTGTAAATGGCCAAGGAGATGTTTGAATTGGGGCTTTTATTCTGAAAGGCCTGATGGCACTTTTGTTATCTCATTAGCCTCGATGTATTCAGATTTCCAAATATTACTGATGGCAACAAATTGGGCAACAAGTTGAAGTTCCTTGAAGTGAATTGAACTAGCCTGGACACCGGAGTTCCCCCACTCTTGACCTCATGTCCCAGAATGCATTGCAAGAGCAGCCTGCAATTCTTGGCCATTGACTCACAATATTGAAGAAAAAAAATGTATATAATAATAATAATAATAATAATAATAATAATAATTTCTTTGACATGAAAAAGAAGGGTGAATATTTAATATATTATATTAATATTTAACATCATAGTTTTTTTTAATATTGCGGTGGGCCGTGTTAGCACCTTCATGAACTTGAGTTTATGGAAGAAGGACTCCACTCAGGGGGTAGAAGGAACCTTGACCCAAGGCTTGATCAGTAGCCTAGCTTGCATACCGGTTCTGCCTGCTGTTACTCATTTAAAGGGCATGGTTGACAGCATCTGCTGTGGTTCATGCACATAGTGACATGTGAGTTATGCAACCCCACATCAAAAATACCACACTATCCCTCTAAGGCTGCCTTAACTCCACCTCTTTGCCTGTTTTTATGAGTTAGACCTAATATTTCCATCATGCCCATGTTTTATATAGTCCATGGGAAGACACACGAACTGTGCGCTATAGTGATATTTTTATTATTTATCACTCTTCATATTGCTTTGCAGTATTAACAGTATCATAATATAGTTTTAGATTTGGTGCAGGCTTAGATCAAAATGAAATATGGCTGAAAATGGTCTGATTTTTCCCTGAAGAGTTAAGAGCTGTCATTTTTGACACTCTGTTATAACAGTGGTCATTATTCAAACGTTTAAAAGCGCTTCTTCTGTGTTTGGTGACATCGCCTTTACTTTTGTCACAGACAAAGTAATGAAGAGCTGCTAGATTCAGACAGTAAGTTGCAGAATCTCACCGTGTGCAGAAGTCCAAATAGACTTCCCATTGTTGAAACTGAGTGTGTGAGCCGCAGTCTGTCTTTTTCCAATTGTGGTACCTCCCAACCTCAAATCCAATAAAACATTTTCAAAACTTTGTCCCACGCTGGTGCAGCACCTAAGGCTCTGGGAGTAAAATTTCATTTTCCTTCGCCTCGGCACTCGTAGGTATTCACAAAGGAGCACAGAGGAAAGGTAGATGAAATTCATGAGTAGAAATGAAGAGAGTAAATCTCCTGTGGCGCATTTTATTTTATATTTTTGCTGTTCTTCCAAGATCCTAGTGAAGACTGTGTTTGCCTGAATGAGCTGCTTTCATGTCGTCACTCCTCATAACTCACATAAAAAGAGCTTATACCAATGTTTTGCTCTGATGCTTATTGTCATTAAATGCTCCCAGCAGTGCAAGTCTTGTTCTATATGAGCTTTTGCCATTATTGTTCAGTGCTGCTTACTGTTCCCCCCATTGTTATAGCTCCTTATTTTCTCAGCTGGAAAAAATGTGTAGGTGTACATTAGTCACAGAGCAGGTATTCTCCTCATGTGTAATGCAATTTCCCCAAAGAAGCGCTATCAGCCCAAGGGTTTGGACGATGGGAAAATAACCGTCTCTCTGCTGGTGTTTATTTTTCAGATAACTGGTTTCAATGTCTTGGTCTTCCTGTGTACTTTCTTATCTATCTTTGCGTCTTGACTTATGGTTGACCACATGAGTCTCATTTCATAAAGGGCCTCCTGTGCTTGCTGAAGAGACCCTTCCTCCACAACGCCCGTGTTTGAGCCAAAAGAGATAGATGGAGCCAGTTAGCATTGCAGGCACACCTCATGCAGCTGTGGAAGAGGTCGCTCGCTCCCTCGCTCTCTTCACTCATCTCTCTGTCTCTCTGCTTTCAGCCAACACTGCCTCCCTTTATTTCTCATTGCCTCTCTTGTTGTAACTGGCTTGTGCACATTTACTCACCTTTGGGTGCATGTTTTAAATACCTTTTTGGTGAATAACGTAGAAAACTACCCACTTCTTATCAATTTACCTCACATGAGGAGTTTTTTTATTTGTAACGTCCCACAACTAGGGGTATGTGAATGTACCAACATTGCTAAAAAGAAACTATCCAGGAAAGAAAAATCATTCAGGGGATAATTCAGCAAACAAACCCCCGGGTTAGACAAACTTATTTGGTTGAGAAAACAAAAGGTGCACTATTAAATCGCTGCCAAAAGTTTCTGTGTAAGAGATCCATCACAGTTATAGCTCCCTTCGTGTTTTAACTTTGACAAACTGCTCTCTGCAGTTGTGCTTTTTTTTTCTATTTAGAAACCAGTACAAGCATTCTTACAATTATTTTTAGCTTTGGAGTGTTTCAAAATGTTTGTTTAGCTTCAGCTTCTCTAGAAATATGAAATTTAGTGATTCTCCGTCTCAAGATTGGGTGATTTTCAAGGAGGTTTGGCAGAATAACAAACATACAGTAAGTGACACAGGGTTGAGAGACTGGGATTATTCTGTAGCCAACAAAGGCTCTTAAAACTATGAATTTCTGAATCAAGTTAGGCAAATGGAAAATTCATTTGCTGGATTTGCACAAAGGATAAGATCAATCCATGCCAATAATTCATGATAACTTCAAGCACTGTAACAGTTTGATAACCTTCTGTAGCGACGCATTCTGCCTGACAAACAGAGAAGAGATAAGAGTGTCACAGTAATTCAAGCAACGTCAACATCCCCCTGCATGAGTACAATTTTAATCAGTTTAAAAGACAGCAGATTAAATCTAAAACAGTCACTGACTAGTGTTCAACATTGAATCTATTATGATGTTTATAATGATAAAGTCTAATGATGTCTCTGACATAAATATCAGCTGTGTTATTTAATTATTTAAGTTACACAAAAACCCAATACTGGGATTATATATTGGGCATATACATAAGCATTGACTGCTGAAAAAACAACATCAAATCGCTGATCATGAATCAAGTGCTTTAAAGTTGATATATGCTGAAAGTAAAGCTATGGAATACAATGTAAAGAAACATTAAACCACAAATACAAGCAAAAACACTTCTTAAAGGACAGTTCAGTTGGAACATTTAGTTTCTCTAACATTGTTTATCAAAACACAACCTGTACAAAAATCTTGACATTCAGGGCCTGTGTCCACCAGCTGAGTTTAATATAAACATAAATGTTCTTCCTTGAGCTGCGTCACCCCGCTGTAGTCCATAATGGACTGGCCTGAGGTCTCTCTACAAACAAGCGGCTGCTGGAAGAGTGAGGGTGAGTTGTGTTTAGTCTCTTTGCTAAAGAAATTAGACAAAGTTTAAAAGATGTTTGGTGGCTAGTGCTGTGACTGGGACCCTATATGTACTGTTGATGAAGTTAGGTGCTGTTCTGAGCATTATTTGAGCCTATAGAGTGGCATTTTGGTTGAGGTTTGTTTATGGCTCCTCAGACTGCTTTGTATTGCTATCCTGCGGTCGTTACGTAAGTTGGTATAACTAAAGGGCAAGCGGTCGGCAACATTCATCTCTCGAGGGGGTGTCTAACTCACGGTGTGTTTGACCCTAAATATTTTACACCAGAATATCCCTTTAAGACCCTTTTCTGCAGCTTCACACCTATATTCCACTCTTATCCCGCTCCACTTCTCCTCCCCTCCTCTAACTTCACACCGTGCTCCTTCCTTCCTGCTCTGCAGAGAAGACCCGGCACACAATGTTCACCTGCTTATCAGACAAGGAGCCCTCACTCAGGAGACAAAGCAGCTAGAGTTTATCGCTCTGTGGAACTTAACTCACAGGATGGCTGATATTTACGTCCTTTTGGCTGTTCAAGCTGCTCCCAGCCAATTACCCTGCAGATCAATCAGCGGCTCTTTCTGCCTCCTGCCTCCTCTGTGGAGGTTTGTTAGCCAGGCCTGCTGTTCAGCTGCAGATGCTGAGGGGTCAGGGCACAGATCTGCTGTAGCTGGGAGTTAGCATGCTGGGTATTGTGAGTTTGTATTGCCTGGTTGGGGATTGTGTGTATATCTACTGTACAAACAAACACAAAAACATATGTATCAGTATATGTGTACACACAGTTTGTGTTTATGGAAGTCTGATCAGTGCCAGGATCTTGGCTGCTTTCCTATTCAGCCTCCGTGTCCTTCCTGCACTACATCCACAATAGAGTCGCCCATTGTGTATTCATAGTGTTTTCTACATTGTACACATGATGCATATGGTCCCTGCCCTCAGAACTGCATTTGAAATTAGCTGGCTTATTGTAAGTGTGTTTTTTTTTTTTTTATCCCCCTCTCTCTCCCTTTGTAGGTATAACAACCCGCCTAAGGCTCTTTGTTTCATTAGCCTATCACTGCGTTGGAGCCCAGGCTGTCACGCTGCGAGTCTGACTCTCTCCATTATGCTGTATTAGACAGCAATGAGATTGAGCTGTGTGTTTTATCTCTGCACACGTCGAGGCTTCAAGGCATCGAGAACGTCCTGAAGAATCATTCTCTGAGAAATTGATTGGAAAGGTCTTTTTATTTTCAGGCGGTGAATGATGTTTGTTTGCTCAATACGCCTGATTTGTACCTCTGATTCAAAGGAAATCACAGAACAGATTGTTCACCATGCTTGACAAGTTGTACTTTTGTTTCCTGGTTCTCATCAGGGAGATACCTCATTGGAGAGTTCTGTATTAACAGGGAAAGGACGTCGAATAACTGTCTCACACGGACGGTGTTTATTTTGTTTTACGATACCTTTTGGTTTTCCCCCTGTACAGACTGGTCCTTTCAGCGGGTCAGAAACTTTGGACAGTAATAGCAGCTTTTGATAAATTTGACATCCCCAAACTCACTTCTTTGATATTCAAAATATCAATCCCCAGAAGCAAAGCTGAATAAACATTGGCGTGTACGGTTTACTGAGAATTCAAAGTCTCTGAAGCCTGCATGCCAGATTTTACAAATTTAATTATATGTTCCCAAAGCTCTTCTTATTCCCAACTTCTGAGATTGTCCAGAAAATGTCAATCAAGCCTGCTCTCAAAATTTTCCAAAGTTGCTTATTCACATACATAATGTCCTGCACAGCATGGGCTTTGCTAGATGAACAACGGGGAGTCGACGGAGATAAGACATGCTGTCAAACTGATGCTTGGGGAATCAGAGCGTAGAAACTGTTGGACTGTCAACAGGTTTTAACATTAACATACATGTTAACCTGGTTTAATAATTCATAGAACTGAACTTTGGACTAACTTTGCCCCTTGCTGTGTATAGAGATTGGGTAGTTGTGCAAATTAGAATCCTGACAGGGTTAAAAAAAGGCTGAGAGGTCTCGCTCACTCTGTCCGGGTTTTCATTTGCACAATCACCTGCTTAATATACACCATCCTGCTTCATTTCCAACCAACAACTAAGTCAGTGGTTCTCAAGTCCAGTCCTCGAGCCTCCCTGTCCTGCATGTTTTGGATGTTTTCCTGCTCCAACACACCTGATTCAAATGATCAGCTCGTTATCAAGCTCTGTAATGGCTGAATAACGAGCTAATCATTTGAATCAGGTGTGTTGGAGCAGGGAAACATCCAAAACATGCAGGACAGTGGAGCTCGAGAACTGGACTTGAGAACCACTTAACTAAGTACATAAGCTGACACAAAGCACTGATTTAAAGATATTTTAATCAAATCTTCTTTTTCTAAACATGGAAACAATAGTTCCTCTGATTCCAGGGTCAGTAACACTTCCATGGCAACAGACTCGTATCAACCCTTCCCCCGAGAGATGTAGCGCCCAGTCGTTTTGCAGGCTGTTCCCACATATCTGCTAGGTTGCTGCCATTATTTCCAGACTTTAAGATCAGCCTGAGACATGAGCTTATGGTTTTACCACAGTGTCAATTGGTAAAGGTGAGATTTGCTGCAACACCTTTCCGTGCCTTGATTTGATGGACCAAGTGTGATCAGGTTGTTCCTGGTGCTGCTATGAATCACCATTGCCGTGGGGGTTTGACGAATCAAAAATCAAGTACTTAACCCAGGCTTGGAGCAAGTATAAAAGCTGGGAAATGAGCCTGTAACTTTCTTTTTTTTCGAAGGTGATTTGTAGCTTCTCAAGGAGGGCAACTTTGCTTTCATTCTGGTTTTGCTCATTGTACTCAGATTTTTGACACAGAATCTGGAAGTGAGGTAAGAAGACTAACAGCTCTCTTGGCAAACAGATGGCTTATGTGTAAAGTGTTGCGCTGGAATAAAAAAACTTGAAACATCACATCTTGCATGTAGAAAGCTGTGGCTAAATCAGGTATTTTAGACTAAAACAATCACAGAAAAAAGCCAAACTCCTGAAGGGATTCACCTTTATCCTTTACTTGGCAGTGGATTGGACTCGGCATCCTCAGATTATCATCTTAGAGGAGAAGTCTGATTCCAAAAGGACCCTAAATCAAATTTGGCATTTGCGTAATCTGATAGGCATTGTCAGGCTTCTATTTGGCTGCTGGGAGAGCGATGTCAGCTATGAAGGAGGGCAAGAACATGATGGGATTATGAAATGTGGAGTAATCCTCTGAACATTTGGAGTAATAAAACGTTTGGAGGTCCGAGGGAACGCCAATAAACATATAAATAAACATATAAATATACAACGCAGCCTTACATAGAATGAAAATGAGGTGATGGTAAATTTCATGAAGGTGCAGCCAAGGTCATACAGCAGCTGTTCCACTCTGTGCACTTGTGGGGCAGTGTTGAAGGGTTAATGCATATCATTACTGTTTGATGTGCTTATAGACAAGCCATGACAAGTGGTTTATGGTTTTCAGCAGAGCAGCTCTTCTTAGCCGGTCATATATTATTTATCCCATGATTCTCTGGGTGCGGTGTTGAGAGGTAATTCAACAGAATAATAAAAAGAAGCACAAGAGTCGATGTTAGACGGTTTTTAGTTAATTTAAAGACATACTGGCAGAATTTTAAGGCATACAGGAGATACATTTTACACCACATGGATACACTTGTACCTCCTTCTTCCTCCTCCTCCTCTCCCCCATCTGTGTGAGGGATTGCAACTGCACCCAAAGGATCTATTATGTCTGCTCGAGGGCAGCTTAACAGTTCCTTCAGGATAGACCGAAAAAGGTGAAATTTGAATGTTTACTGTTTGTCCCAAAGGTTCATGTGACATTTGCTTTCCTGGAGGCATGTAACAGACTGCATGATGTTCTTTGCAGGTGTTTGGGTTCACTTTCAGGCGTTTCGCTGAAGGTGTCAAGCATTCGCTCGGCTCGGAAACCTTGAGTCACCAAGCTGAAGGGACTGTCAGGGCGAGGGCGCGGCAAACTTTAACACGTTCTTATGAGGTGTTGGTTTCCATCAGCTTCTCTCGCACGCTGCGTCTTCTTTCATCCTCGTCGAAGCTCAAATTGCTCATCCATCTGTGATTATTGAGGTGCGGGAGGGTGCGAGAGGACATTTTTATTTCCTTCTCACACCGCTGACTGTACACTGATAGAGTCCGGCGAGTCAATTACGACTGTTTTCTCCAATCGTGTGAGTCAAGACTTGGGTGGCAGATTGCCGAGAGCACAAACAAGAAAAAGTCAGGGAGTCGATCATGTGCGTTCATCTCTTTTTGCCCCTCAAACAAACACTAACCTCATGCTGTACTTCTCAGCATTTTATATTCCATTTGGCAAGCTCGATTAAGCACAGCGCTCCTATACAATACGACGCACGTGGCCACCCACTGCTGCTGCTTCTCATTATTCCCTGACGCCGGGAAATCAACAGCGAGTGGAGGCAGAGAAAGAGCAGGAAGAGCGCTGCAGCTACACTCCTGCATGTGCTGCGTATGAGCAATGCAAGGAGACAAAGACAGAAGGAAGGAGAAAAGAATTTGTCGATACAGAGTTAGATTTGGATGGCTGTGAATAGGTTATAGCCGCGCTGTGAGGGGGGACAGATAAAACATTGGTGCTGCTCCATGTCCCCTCAAGGCTCGGCTTCTATCTGAATATTCATCGAGCTGACACTGGCTTTTTCTCGCCACCGTCTATAAAATGATGCCAGTTGGCTTTTACCTTGTGGCCTCTAATAAGCCTCTACAGCAAGCATGCATACAAATGACTCTTCATAAAGCACAGACACACATTATGTTTCAGCACATCCTTGTAAACAGCATGAAAACAGCACGAAAACAGCACAAACTGACCCCAGAGTTTACTTTGTTTGTTTCAACGGCTGTCTATGACGGGGAAACGTTTATCTGTGACACTTTGTATATCTCAGAGACTAAAAGAAAGACTCGTTGACTTTATCTCTTTTCATGCATGTGCTGCAGTTGTTTATCCGTTCTGTATAATGAAATATCTGATCTGCTGCAGGGGGATAATCAGATTGTTTTTTCGGAAATCTTTCAGTTTGCCAAAAAAAGTAGATTACTCATTTATTCCAGTGGTTTATATAATTTTTTAGTCAGTTATGATCCAGGATAGAGAGATTTACTGCAAAGCAACTTGAATTACAGAGTCATTTTGGACAGGGCAGACGCTTCATTTGGTGACAGTACTGAGGATGAACTGTTTTTCTTGCTGCAGGGCAAGACAGGGCACAAATTAAAAGACCAAAAAAAAAAAATGGATATGTTGCATACCAAGTTACGCTATCGAGTCCTCTATAGATACTTGTAGGTCTATTACAAATAGGTCTTTAACAGGACTTGTTGCTTTTATGACTCAACAAGTGCCTGTTTCTGCATGGAGTGGTTTCTATGCTTCAATAAACTTGATTAATACGACAGGAACCTTTCGACATACATTTCTTTTGCCATCGCCCATCAGTCATTTTATTGATCTGATGTTGACCCATCTCAGTATAACCGTATTTCAGAACTGTAATTTGACTCAGATCTAACTTGATGCGCTCAGTCGCTCCTCCCTGCAAATGATGCTGGGACGTGTTTCTTTGTTTGCAGGAATAGTTTCTTGTAAAACTTGACTAGATGCCAGTTGATGCAGGTTTGTGCCCCTGTGATTTGATTTAAGTGAAATGACTCAACAGCAGTGATGTAGGTCCAACAGGACTTGCTCAAATGTTGTTGGTTTTGAGGTTTTGGAAGATTGCATTACCAGATCCATAGTTGAATCTCGCCTCCATCCCCATCCTTCATCCCTTGGCTCCACCAGCTGGATCGCTGTTGCGTGTCTCAGCTCCACTTGTGTAATATGTCAGTGCTTATCAAGGCAGTGTGTCTGCTTCACATCTCACAATGGGGGGAACATGGAGGCAGGGTTTCCATTTAATCAGTGGGTCCAATCCAATTAAAATAGAAGCCCAAAGTGGACTTACATCAACATGTCTTATTGACTCACTTCATCCTCATAATAACAAGTAAGTTGTTATGAGGTTTTAACTTATTTGAATCATTATTTTGGAGATAATTTTCCTAAAGGGTCATTTTCCAGCTATCTAAACAAGAAAGAAATGAGCCGGTCAATGTGATAGGTCAGGCTATGACATGCTTTGCCAGTGTTGCATGCACTAATGAGCTAAATTAGACCTTTTTGTGAATGTTTGGAGCTTTGTCAAACTCCAGGGTTAAAGGGATATTCCGGCATAAAATTAATGTAGGATCAAATACACGGTAACATCGAGTTAGACACCCCCTTGAGAGATGAATGTTGTCGACCGCCTGCTTCTCTAGTTATACCAACTTTAGTAACGACCGCATGATAGCAATACACAGTGATCTGAGGAGCCATAAATAAACCTCAACCAAAACGCCACTCTATAGCCACAAATAATGCTCAGAACAGCACCTAACTTCATCAACAGTACATATAGGGTCCCAGCCATAGCACTAACAACCAAACATCTTTTTAACTTTGACTCATTTCTTTAGCAAAGAGACTAAACACAACTCACCTACTCTCTTCCAGCGGCTCTATGTTTGTAGCAAGACCTCAAGCCAGTCCATTAAGGACTACAGTGGGGTGACGCAGCTCAAGGAAGAACATTAATGATAATATCTTGATCATTTCCTCAAAGTAATAATCACCATAATAATCATTTTGCACTGCAGACACAGTAGTTCTTCTGCCTTAGCATCTCGGTCTGATCGCATTTCCATGAAGAAATGATCATAAATATTCTTCCTAGAGCTGCTTCAACCCGCTGTAGTCCGTAATGGACTGGAAGAGAGAAGGTGAGTTGTGTTTAGTCTCTTTGCTAAAGAAATTAGGCAAAGTTAAAAACATGTTTGGTTACTTGTGCTATGGCTGGGACCCTATATGTACTGTTTGACCCTAAATTAATTTTAGGCCATAATATCCATTTAAATATTTAAAATCATTTGATTTTAAGTTGAGGTTTGTACAACGAAAATGCATTCGTTACCATGGGGAAACAGAGTAGAGAAAATGTATGGATGCATTTCCATGTAAGGCCTCCATAAATCCACTTTTTAAAACCGCATGTAAAAACAAATATTAAAGATGTTGTGCTTAGATGAACTTATTCATCCCAGACTCGAGTCAAGCTGTGCTTTAGCTGGCAGACACTCCTCAAATCTGTATGCTACTCCTAATCCCTGCACACAAACACACTGGACCTCTACTTAGCAGCTCCATCTGAATCATCGCATCAAAAAATCCCTTTCATTTTGCTCTCCTGTTTGTTTGTAGAGGTGACGTAGGCTCTCGGTTTGTTTGCCGCATGCTGGTTGGAGAAAAAGATCAAAACAACATGGGATTTATCTTCATGTGAAGCATACATAAACTACAGAGCTGCTCAGACATTGTCCTTCAAAATCCATATTCATAACCACCCTCACCATGTGCAGTAATCTTAAATATTCAGGCGTAATCCTTTCGGGCTCTTCTGGTAAGATGTAGAATTCAAGTGAGATTGAAATCAGCGTTGCTTCTCTAGATAGCTGTGTGCCATCAGGACATAATTTTCTTTTTCCTCAATTGGAAAAGATTAGGTTGAATCTACGAGGCTTTTGTCACCCTCTGGGCAACACTTGATTTTCAGAGTATTTTAAAAGTCCACCAACTTTACCTTCTGATTCAGTAGATACTTCACTCTCTCTGTCTTTCAGTTAAGAGGAGAAAGTGGAAATGTCTGTGTGAGGTGCTGGTAACTTTTGATTTCAAAGACTGTCTGCCTTTTTTGTGTCGGACTGAGTGAAGCAGTGTTTATAATCCCATGTAAAATCAAATGCCATCCCACAGCACACACACACAATGTATTATCTTTTGAGTTTGTGCTCTAAATACTTAGAAATAATCTCTAGTGCTACTGAATTGATTTTACACAACATATGGTTAGGTTCTAGGCCTGCAACAAAAATATCTCTGTCATATATTTGTCAGAAAAATGAAGCAAAATGCGAGATTGTGAAAGAATTAAGTCCAAACCTCCTTAAAAAACCTCACACTGGGTTTCTAGCTTATATGAGAGACAGACTGTGATCAGGAGGAAAGTCTGAGTCATTGATTTTATCGTGCTCTGCCTCTGAAGAGGCGAGGCTTTGAGGAAACTCAGATTGTGGTGGAAAAAGCTCAGAGAAAATACTTAAATTGAGTGTGTGGAGGGGTAGAGGGCTGTGGCGTGGCTTAAATATTCATTTGCTTGTGGCGCTAGTTCTGGTGTGATGTTTTAGCTGCTGGCTGTGGATCTCAAGACGGAGCTCATCAAACATGACTGTCAGTTAGAAACAAAGATGATTTAAAAGGAGCGTTTTATTCAGGCGATGAGCAGGACTGCTCTCTTATATCAAAATACATGATCCCAATTACCTTATGATTATTAACCACAGTTACTCAGTTACTCAGTTTCAATGCTAATATAAAACTTTGACCTGTAGTAGAGCATTTCTACTTCTACTAACCCTCCATCAGCAAGACTTAAGCCGGAAACATACAGGATCTGTATTGAGCGTGTTTCGTATTTGCTCCGTAGAGGAGGTGGTCTATTTCCTGCTGATTTGGATGTAATTCAGTGATTGTTGAGCCTTTACTATATTTGAAAAAGCAACGTGATTTTACAGTTTCAGTTTTTTCAGGTTCATTCATGGTTAATCAAGTTAACTATGTTCCTTTTTGCTGTGCTGTTACCTTCAGACAGTTAGCAAATAAAAGTCCTGTTGCGGTCCACATGGATCAGGGATTCACCGTTGGGTTTTTCTGTGTTACTGATAAATTCATAACCAGGAAGTATTTCTCATCTACATGAACTGATACACAGTCGGGAGTTTGCATATGGTGTTTTATTTTGAAATACCAGATGACATGCATAGTTTCCGTGCTTGACATCCTGTCTAGAACGATTTTCTCTGTGTGGATTGAGGCGCATTGAAAGCGTAGAGCAGCAAAAATAGACTTAGCACGTATCTTTAGCGGTGCTGCGCTCGATACGCTTCTGATACGGAGCTGCGACAGAGCTGGTATGCGTCTTGTATGCGATGCTGCGTTGATTAGAATGGCAACCTATTTGCTACGTGATGTGCGACGCTGTTGATACGCACTCAATATGGATCCTGCATGTTTTAGCCTTTAGCCTTATATGTTATTTTGATACTAAAGTTACCACTGTTAGTACTCATCACCAAGCTTGGCAATCATCAGCTTGATAAATGTTACGACTGCAGCCTGCTCTCCTTCTGCTCACTCTGTCCCTCTGCTTTACTAACACACCTCATCTTCTTTCTCCTCCTCTTAGCAGCTCGACACAGCTCTCCTCTCATCCTCTGAAGCTGCATGGTTGTATTGCTGAAGCACAAACATGTCCATGGTGTAGCAGTCCCTACTTAATACTATTTGCAGAATTCACAGCTTCTTTGTGCACCCAAACTTTGTAGCACATAGATCTGAGCTCTCCAGGATGATTTATTATAGCCTACTGGCTCTGAGGTGCTTCAGTCCAGAAAACCAGTCCAGCACTGGTCTTTGCTCACTTTCATCCTCACACTGAATGCAAGTCAGAGCTGTGAGGAAGAGAGGATGGGTGAGCATGCAAATCCTCTTCACAACTCTAATTTGCATGGTACATTTTCTCCCTTTGCTACAATACTGGAGCATAATGAAGTAGTTAATTTCCTGCTTTACATCCTTGAATTGTAAAGTTCTACAGTATTGAGTGGGAAGGCAATAAAGAAGAGAGTTATTTAAAGTTATTTAGAGTTGAACTGAAGTGCCAACCGGCAACTTTCCGCATCCAAAGAAATGTGAATCTTTCTTAACCTCTGAAGCATGGCAGGTTGACTGTTACCAACAGGATACCGACGACTTCCCACATAGAGGCTCATCAACTAACTAGTTGGAGTCACTAGTGCGGAAACAAAAGCATGATCCCTCCCTGACTCCCCAGCATGAAAACACAATTAGTTTTGTTTCCATATACCCCCTTGCAAGTCTTTGTTCAAAGGTGATGTCAAAAACTTTCCACACATCAGCCCAACTAATCTCTCCTCACAGAGTCTGTATAAAAATACAGAAGTGGTGCAGGGAGGACAAGGTTTTGGAGTGGAAGGGTTCTGGTTTAGCTTGCTTTGGCAATCCTGGACCCTTCTGAGAGTGTCAAATAACGCTGATTCAAGCATCCACTCTTTGACGTAATTTCTTGATGCCAACGTCAATTTGTACTTGTCAGATTAGTCAGATTATAACCAATGCTGTTATTACCTCAGAGCAATTTTCAAGAGACACACAACATACAACCTGCATTTCAGGCCGATGAAAACAAAACCATCTATTATTTTTGACTCATGATTCTGGTGCTGACTAACAAGGGTGACAGCATTTGAACCTGCAGTTGACTGAACATGTTCATCCCCAGTTTTGAACACACATGAAGTGTTTCCAAGCGATGTTTTACTTTTGATGCAGCTGTTGTAGATTTTAAAGTCCGGGTTGTTAACTTTCAGTCATGCTTATAGAAACATAAATGAGCTTTGTGACGTCAAGGATCAGGTTAGCAAAGGGATACGTTGTTTTTCATCAGTCAGGGTAGTGATCTTTGTTTTTGGCACAGCTACATGTCTTGAAATCTTTTTTTCTGAGTGTCTTCAGTGCAATCCTGATTGGGATGGGTTTTTCATTTCATTAAATGTGAGGGTATTTCATCACCTCAAGGCAGCAGTTTGCCCGAGGATGAGATTGTGCAGCAAGAAAAATGTTGTGTATACTTAAAACAAAAAAAAAGAAGATACCAGATGGGATTATATGAAAAGCTTTGCAGATACTGAGTGACAGAGGAGTTTACATGTCTATCTTTAGTGCCAAAGGCTTTATAACAAAGAAAACAATGAGTCAGCGATGCAAATTCCTGTCACTTCTTTTTGTTTTTCCACATTGAGATATATGTGCACAACTTGTCCGGCATATTAGCCTGCACACCAAAGAGCAGCATTTCATTACGCTGGATTGAGATCTCTATTTGATCCTTCTCCTTTAGCACATTTCCCTGTTAATACCCCTTCTGATGTCTGATTAAAACTCTCAAAGTAACGTTGCTTCAACCCCCACCCACCCATACACGCACCCATACACTCATACATCCTCACTATCAGGCACAAAAAGGCCAATTTGAGAAAATTAAAAATCTTTTAAAGGGATGTAGTTATCTCACCCCTTTTTTTCCGACGGACATTTTTATGTAACTCAATTGATGCATGACAGCTTCCATTAACTTCTGATCCCTGAGTTGGTATAAATACTCTTTTCAATTTAGATAGTGGTGAGTGGTGAATGGGGCGTAGCGTTGGTGTGCATGTAGAGTGGCGACCTTCGTTAGACGTCTTGAAGAATCATTCATGTTCACGCTCTGCAGCTGCGCCTACACATTCAAAAACCCGGCTGTATCCGTTGACGCTTGGATATACAGTACATCTCTCAATATTAAGCTTGAAATCGCAAATGTAAATCTTTTTGTAATCTTGATTTTTCATTCGTCTCAATCAGTTCGCCTCCCTTTTCTATCAGCGGATGCCGCGTTATTTATCATCTCCTTCATCCACTTCTTCGCTCACTTCCCCAGAATTTATATAGTGTCGAGGCAACCTTGTATTCTTGCCCTCACACACATTCCTCTGAGGCTCATAGCCTTTAAGTGTGTGGGAGAAAGCGGAAGAGAGAGAGGGAGAGATAGTGGTGCTCTAATGGGGTTTATCAAAGTCAACGTGAATACTCTAACAGTCTGGGCCTGAACTTCAAAGCCCAGTCTCCACTGCAATGCCAACCACTCTGGACATCCATCAAACACCCAGGCAGGCGAACGCGTAAATTGACTAAATTGGATGCCGGAAATGTTTGTATTGTAAGGACAAATACTCTGATGAAGGACTAATCACAGCGTGTCAGAGGGATGTTGATAAAACCCGACATTTTCACATAGTTAGCTCCAAGGTGTCGTAAGAAGCTCTTCGTTATTTCTTCCGCCGGTCCTCCTCATCGGTAGAATACATTGAAATTGTGCGAGTTCTGCCGCAACATGCTTTATGACATGCCATCGATTCAAGAGGAGATGAAAGGAAATGCTGTGTGATTTGATTTCTCATTCGGGGGTCTTAATTCCCCCTGACATGCATTGAGAAACAGCCGTCCTTTTGATTGCAGAGTCTGACCAACAGGGTTATTCTCTCTGGGAGATCAGAGTGATTCTTTCCAGTTTTTATTAGACTTCAAAGGTTACATACAGTAATAAATGCAGAGCATATACAGTACATGTATTCATCATTTTGATAGCTGTGGGCACACTTTAATCTATCATAAATCAAGTGTGTTTCTCTGTGTGCGTCCACGTCCGTTCAGATGAAGAGTAATGCTAGTTTTCTTTCCTGGCAGTAATAAACAGAAGTCCTTTTTTTCCCAGAGTAAACCTGCACAAAAGATAAAAATCCATTAAGTGAATTGCTCTTTGAATTCTCCACAGGTCACTGGATCATATTTGAAAAATGCCCAAAATGCTTCACTTGGAATTGAAGGGTCACTCATCTTCCCTGTCTGCCATCTTTGGCCATATGGACCTCCCAAGTGAGGATTGATTCACCAGATAGAAATGGATTTTGGTATTATGATACTCAGTGAGATTACAGCGCCCTTTTGTCTTGTGTGTTTAAGGCTGTAATAATATGAGAGAGGAGGAGGAAGATGAGATGAAAGGGCCATATTGACCATGTGCTTCAGTTTTTTTATTTTTTTCTAGCTGGGACTGGGGTTGTCACAGTATCAGACATTCACCAAAAAAGTACAACTGTGGAAGATAAGGAAATATTTAAGTCTTTGACTTAAAGGCGAGGTAGGCAGGATTCCATTAAAGAAGCATCTTTTTATTGTGTATCAACAAAAAAGGCTTCTAATATCAGTCAATAGTGATTAGTTATTGATGACATTTGGTAATCTAATGATATCGCTGCGTTTTGTTATGTCTGTGAAATCAACATTTAAAAATTTGAGTGTCCCGCTCTTTCTGACTGTAAACAAAGCCATTCTCTGCCCACTACTAATTGGTTGTGAGGCAGATGCTGCTCCCTCATGTTGTGAGGTACACTCCACGTCCTCCAATAACAAAGTTACATGCTACAACATCTGACCATTGAAACCAACCAGAAAGTATGGAAAACACAAGAAATAAAATAAAGGAAATACCGGAGACTCTGGCAGAATAACGGGTGCTTGAAACAGAGGCAGACCGGACAAGAGCTAAGAAGCCGGGTCAACAACAGCATAAACGAGTGTCTGTTTGTGGGCGGGGCTTGCTGGAGCAGAGCGGAGAGCTATGGGGAAAACTGGTTGGGAGGGGTAGAGTTTACATTCAAGATTTCTCCCAAAAACTGGCACTTCCTCAGATCCTGCCTACCCCACCTTTTAGAAAAAGCCAAAGGTACTATGTATGTACCAAATAGCATGAGAGTTAGTCCTGTAGTTGACAGCTATAAATATCTGTCAAAAATCCGTTGCAGACTATCTAGTGCATACAGCATTTTCAAAGCTCTGGCTTACTTTTAGTGACTATACTGACAAAATAAAGTGCCAGATTTAACTTGTAGTAAAGTATTTTTACAATGCATCACTGAAAATGAAGGATTTGAGCTCTTTTGCCCTCTACATTTTTATCACAGGCTGCAGATCTAACAAAGCATTTAGTTTTTCAAGCTTTTATATAACATCCTTTGAAATGTCAAGACTTGAGCTTGTATCTTATTATGATTCAGAACAATATCTCTCATTTTTTGGCCTGGCAGCCGTTCACTCATTTGTGCTCATGATCGCTGCAGTTTCTCTCACACCTGTCTACCCCCTGCTCCTCTCCCTGCTCTCCTCTTTCCTCCTGCAGCTTCCTGACAGTTTGTACCATTGTTGCACGCAGCTGCCGCTTCCTCCCTCCCAAACTCTGAACCTGGAGATCCAAAATCACAGTTGAAATTGAAAATCAATTTATTTCTCAGCTCATGCAGCACATGTTGAGATATTTCGGACAGACCTCTTGGGGCTGTGGATTAAATGCCTGAGGCTCACAAGAGTCATTGAGATTCATCCTCTGGGTACCATGACTGTCTGGAACAAAGGTCATGGTGATGTTTGAATAGCTGTCGAGATATTCTACCAAGAGCCTGACATGTCAACCTGCTGGTGGCATAAAGGACAAATAAAGGGATCACTCGAATCGAAATGATGTATCAGCAGGGGAGCATGAATCTCATTAGGTATTTCATGTTACACTGCAGCTTATTCACTGGTTGACCTTTTTTTTCTTTTTTTTTTTGGTTCAGCACTTGACATTTATAAGACATGGCGAGTCAACACTTTGCGTCCTTGTTGGACCCTAGCATGACTGAAAAACTACAAACTTACAGAGGCATGCTTGTGCAGAGTTGCACGTATCATGTATTTTGCATCAAAATGCAGCTGTATAGATGCAGTATAAGCAAACTGCAAAGGCCAATGCACCAGTACAACCCATACACACATACACGCACACACATACACACCTTAACCGTATAGTTATTGATTGCTCCGCTCTATTTTGCTGAGACAGATGCTGCTTCTCCCTGGATGCTGCTGGACCACTTGGCTGGTGGCCTCTCTCTCTCTCTCTAACTCCCTCTCTCTCTCCTTACCCTTCAGATAGCTATTCTTCACCAGTAGCCCCATGCACACACACACTAACGCACACAGACGCTCACACCTTATGTCATGCCATCACTACTCTTCACCTGCTTTCTCTCTTGAGTTTGGACTGCTCTCCTTCTTAATATTTGTCTTCTTTCTCCCATCTCTCCCTGCTTCTACCAGGCTGTTTCTCACACTCTCCATCACTTGTTTTCCTATCCCTTCCTTTTTTTAATAGCGTGTGTTTTTTTTTACTTCCTACCCTCTTTACAGAGCCTGCTATTTCTCCACTATCTGTCTTTTTCCTTATTCTCTTCCTACTCTAAAAACCTCTCTTCTCTTTCTCCGGCTTTCTCGACAGCCATGACCAGTTTTTCTCACCTATGCCTGTCTTTTTGTGTCAGTCTGTTATTTTTGCTCCTTTGCGGACAGGTTGTACCCTCCTCTGTCTCTAAGCGCCACGATGGGCATGCCACAGACTTACACATGACTCACATTTGATTCTGTCTGCGGAATGCTTCATCATTTACAAATCTGCTGCACTGTTTGTCTTATTTGTTACCGCTTCATTGCCAAACTTCATTATCTTTTAACCACCTAGAGGGATAATTTTCTACAAATTTACTCGTCTGAGCTCATTAGTTTCCAAATTAAGGCCGCAACCAACACATTTCTTAACATCATTTATGAATGTGGTTGAGAGTTTTCGTTTAGCCAATGATTGTTAACCCTCCTCCTGTGTTAGGGTCTGCACCAACCAGTTATTGTTTTTAAATGCTTTAAAAAACCACTTAAATAAGCTTTTTTTTGCATCAAGACTTTTTGACTTTGTCAGGAACCTCTATTTCAACAAAAATAAAAATAGAAATATTGAATTGACTAAATTATAAAATGCTCTTATTAAAATTATGGCACTTGTGTTAGAGTTGACCTGGTTTAGATTAATATCTAATAGTTAGAGCAAAAACTAAAATAATATGTTCACTGTCAGGCACCGCACTGACAGTCAGATCCTCTTCCAATCATTTGATATCTAGGAAATTCTCATTTTGACATGTTTTCCCCTGCACAAAAAACAATGTCTGGCATGTCCAGACATGTGAGATCAATTCAGTATAGATGTCTGTATGAGGGGTATACTGACAAAGAAAGGCCCAAAAGACCAAAACAAAAACTATTGTAAGCAATATTTTCATGGATAATGAAGCACAACATGTTACCCTAGAGATGAGAACTACATTGGATGATAAACAATTTTTTTACTGTAATTTGCAGCTGATTTAAGATACGGGTCAAAACCGACCCTTAACATGGTGGGTGCGTAGTAAAAGCTAACACAGGAAGAAGTTTAACACAAAAAAGTAGACAAATTCCTACAAAATGATCTAAATTGCAGAAGAATATCTTCAGACAAACTGTCAAAGCAGGTGAGGAAATCTCTACTCACATTGTTTACACAGAAGAAATTTGACACTTTTCTGTAAGCAGAAAAAATCATGCCAAATCAATATGACAGATACAGAAACGTGAAGATTTTCTGTGGTGGGAGAAAAAAGATAGAGAAAGCTAAACACAAAATCAGCTTACTCTGAAAACCTGGAAGACCCCCCGATGAACATTCATTAAGAGTGATTTGATAACAAAGCATGACCACCATACTAAAGTACTGTTATTTTTCCTTTGGCAAGTACACACTCATTTATTATTCCTCAGGAAGGAAGAAGGACACAAGGTGCAAAAATGAGTCTTACAGGCATCTCTTCAAACTAATGCAGAGCCTGTTTCAATCTGGAAGTGCTGCTGCATTTTTGAGAGCCTCTCAGTCGATCAACATTACAGTCAAAATCTGTAATAACTAATCTAAATAACTAATAATGAAAGGACAAAATGAAATAGGCGGGATCCAGCAATCACATTTAACCCAATCCATTGTGCCCTCAAAGTTGTGTTACCTACTACATGCCCTAATCTCCCCCACAATCAAAAACTGGACATGAATAAGGAAAGGAGGGCAGTGAGAGCCACCTCATTACCATGGGTTATAGAATGGGTTCCTCCCTTCGCTGGTGTTTAGTCAAGCGGGCCCATAACAACTCAAGAAGCTGAACAACGGTTTTAGTTAAAAAAAAACAAGTCAATAACTACAGCTGAACCTTCACCAAGTGCATCATCATGTGCACTTTCTCCTTTATAGAATAAGACACACTCACATGCTCACATTCAATTAAGAGAAACATCTTTTATGATCCGCACATATAGCTATCATTGCCATCGGCAAAAGTACCCACACAGGTATAAATAGTGCTATTAACTGTCAAGTATTCATTATGCATGCAGTGGAGAATACAGCCATGTGATCCACGTGAAGAGTTACAGCCTACCTTTCCTCTGAATTTAAATAATTAATGTAGTTTTGCTGCTCATCATCATTCATACATGTATGTGACGTGTCTCTTCAGTTTTAAAGTAAATGACTATTTCTGCAAGTGGAAGTGGGATTGTATCAGCACAAAAAGATTAATTAGTATGCTTACATGGTGGAAAAGTTGAAGTTTATAAGAACAGAAAGACTGACTCACTTAGCTCTTGAAAGGAAAAGGAGAAAATGTCCTGATTAATTTGAGCCTGAATTGTAATAATCAACAGACTTAATTCAAGCTCTTTTTCACACTTTGCACCCCGATTGTGCGTCACTTAACAAGCAAAAGGTGGTGAGACACACCCTCATTGACTCTTTCGACCCTGCTCTTTTTATTATTGAAATAAGGCTTTAAGAATTGAAGAGAATTCATCTTAAACCCAACACACATGGCACAACTATCTCAAAATCTCTGATTAATTGAACTTCTAACAGAGCTGTAAACGATGTTTCGGGACCCTCTCTTGTCCCCAGAAGACTTCCTTGTTTTCTAACAAGAGTACTGTGACCTGTTGAGTAATCTGGTTGTGGGAACCACAGTTGGAGCAGCTTAACCGGTTGTAATCTCCTCATCTGGAACACTGAGCTGTGTCGAGCACAAGTGGGCTTTATTTCACTTGTTTGTTGGCGTCTGTCAAAAATGGAAATAACTACATTTAACTTGGCATGTGTGAAATAAATGCATGTTGGGGGAGGATAAGATTACAGCAGGTGTCAGAAGTATTCTGGTTGAAATCCTTTGGGCTGAGGGAAAATTGGACCGATCTTACTGAGTTTATTTATTCATGCTGGAATCTGGCAGACTTGTAGTAAAAAGCTATGTTCCATGCTGCTTAGACCCCTACAGCTAGTGCTAAGAGCTAGTGCTTGGCTAGCTCCCTGTTGCCTTCTTATTGTGCTGGTGGCAGGCAAGAGTCCCACTGCCAAGTAGGCCTTATCCTGTCTTAAAGCTGCAGGAATTATGGGGCAGAAAGTACCAGCACTGCTGATAAATGAGGTTGGAGAACATTTTTACAGCTTCAAACTGAAATTGTTATTTAAAGGCTTCTTCAGAAGCCAAGTCTCGAATTAAAAATCTATAAATTCAACAAGATTTTACTAATTAAATCTTAACATGTGTGTGCTAAGAGCTCATGTGAACCATGATTTTTAAAGGCCCATAAACCCACACCTTCCATTTCAAATGGCAACTGCGACCGCCTTTGAATGTCCTGTGACTAAAAGGTGCAATTCATCAAATCTACATTATCCCTGCAGCCCTTTGGCAACCTTGCAATTCTGACCAATTACGCAGTTTTCTCCACAGATGTCAACACGTCTATTACCAAATTTATTCTTAAATGGGCGGAAGTAGCTCAGGAGTTAGAGTGATCGTCCAATAACTAGAAGGTTGGCAGTTCAACCACACTCCCCCCCCATTCCGAATCTGTCCATGGTGTCCTTGGGCAAGACATTTAACCCACTTTGCTCCCAGTGTGTGTCCTCCACTGGTGTATGATTGTGAGCGTTGTGTGTTGGTGATCAGAGAGGCCGTAGGCGCAAACTGGCAGCCATGTTTCTGTCAGTCTGCCCCAGGGCAGCTGTGACTACTAAGGTAGTTTACTACCACCAAGGTGTGACCGTGTGAGCGAATGAATGATGTATCCAATGTAAAGCGCTTTGAGTGTCTCTGATCAAGCACTGTATGGAATCTGATGCATTATCATTATTAAATATGTAAAATAAGGATTCTGTTAGGTCTGCAGAGTCGAAGGGTGGTGGTTTAATGATCTAAAGCACAAACTAAATCAGAACATTTTAGATCAGTTGTTGCAAGTTAAGTGGCACAGATCTGAATGATAAGTAACATAGGACACAAAGAGGGTAGATTAAATCCTTGATTATTTAGATACTTGTCATCAACTGTTTGGTATCTTTTGGGCATAGCATGAATCAAACCAATCAGTATGTCTGCTCTCATTCCCTTTAGGAGCCAAGTGTGCCTGCAGACTGACGTGTTGCTATTTTCACAGCAGATTTCAGCCTTAATGCTTACATAGACCAGACTGAAACTGGCATGTTCAGCTTCTATTTTATCATTATTTGTCCAAAAATGGAAATAACAAACATAGGTCACTGTATGAGTTCTGTCAATGAAACAAGTCCTCCACTCAGGATCCACTGATAGTTTGGCACAGTATCCAACTCTTAGCAAACATCAAAGACAAGTAGCCTCACTTGATTTTAATCTGGAGTACATGCTGTTAAGTCTGCATGTATTTGAGGGGATGCACCTAATGAGGCTTGATGCAGCTTTTTGGCCTTGCAGGGCTCAGGATATGAGGCGTGTGAGGAGATAGAAATGATGACGCCCTTGTCTTCTGGCATCCCTGGATGAGCCCCTTACCAAGAGCAGTGAGAGACCATAAGCATGCTCCTGCACTCAAAAATACTGTATTTAACGGTTGGAGCTGAATCTGTCACTGAAAAATTATTGTTACATTTGAATCACAATAATTACCGTAATAATTCTTGGATTTGTTGAGCTACCGTTAATCTGGGATGGTTAAATCACACACAAACACGCTACAGTAAATGTATGTACCCGATTCAGCAGCTCTTATCTTTATAGCCACAGTGTATGTAAACCATATTATGAAATACAAACACGCACACTCAGGCACATACACACACTTACTCCCAATAAAATCATAGCACAACTCATTTGAACACACTCTCATAAAGCTCAAGATGCAAACTCATAAACAAACACTTATATAAAGTTGTTCATTTACCCTCAGCACCATAATGTGTGATGAACATTTTATAAAGGGGAAAAGTTCTCATTACTTGTTAATGCTTTTACATCCAGCAAACTTTAGTGGTCGAACATGGAGCAATAAAAGAGTCTTAGATTTGTCAGCTGTTTGATTGAAAAGAGGAAGATTACGTTTTACTAGCATGAAGATGAGGCACTCTTAACAAGTTAGTGCATACTTTCCCTAAGCTTCTTTAACTATCTACAGCAATGACAGAAAATATTGAATTAAAGCTACCCTATAGAGTTTCCATCCATTATTAACCCCGAGAACTCCCACTTATATTTTGCTATTTTTGGTCAGCCTGTTTATTATTTTGTAAAAATCTATGTAGCAACTCTATTCTTTCAAGCACAGCAAAAATATACACAGCTTTTTTTCAGGAAAACCTCAGCTGTCAGTTTATGGGTGCAAAAATCTTGTAAAATGAATGTGGCAGTAGATTCAGAACCATCAAAGTCAACCAAAAAACAAAAAACGGAAATTGATACCAGTAGTACTTTGCTCAAAAAACACTTCTTTTGCTATTTACAGTTGTCACTCCTTGAAGCAGTTCCTGTCTGGGATGAGACAGAGGGCCACATCATAATCTCTTCTTTGCTTGTTTCCAAGCATTGAGGACCATTATTTCCTACTGTGCAGACAAGCAGGGAACTGTCTTGTCTCTTGTTGATCTTTTGTTTCCTCTTATTGAACAATAGAAGAAGAATTTGAGATCATGTAATTGGATTTACCATCAAACGTCTTTGATCAAACATCTATTTTTGTGGCTGGATTGTAAACCTTGTGGGAGGTGTAGAAATGCCTGGAAACCCTCGATAGATCGCCAAAAGGGTAAGCTTTTGAACACTTTCATCCCATAGAGATACACGGTATAGTTCCCGAGAAACTATTAACAATATTAAGGGTGTCACGTGGGATTGCCGGCGATCCAGCGGAGTTTTAAGTGTTAATGATGCTTACATATGTGAGCCCTGATATGCCCATATCGTAGACACACACGGTCACATGAGCATATACTTTTTTGCCAAACTAGCTTAAGAGTTAACATGTTCATGAATCAGTAAGTATACTAACTCCAAGTAGCTTGTTAGTCCTTATTTATGTTCAATTTACTGTAGTGAGTGACAACATGTGTATCACGCTAACACTCTCTGGCCCATCATGTTGTGTGCTTGACAGGGAGTCACATGACTAACAAATAAACACTCAACATGGCTGATGCACAGTTATCTTCTTGGCATGTGTGACATGTCAAAATGATGCAGACCTCAGGGTTTACGTCTGGTGTCTCTGTTTCCGAGCCCGTCACCAGTCTCAGGAGTCAGAGGAGAGTGACCCTTTGAGCCTCGGACTGACAGCAGAGTACAAAGACTGCAGTTGCTGTAGCTCGTGCTGAGACTGTTTATGTCAAACACATGAACTCTTGAAAATGAGGCTTGGATGTTTAACAGTATACATGAACAAGTCTGTGTCTGACACTAGATTTGATGGCAGAAAATGCTGACAGTATGTCACATAATAGTTCAGAGACAGCCAGGTTGACACCTCCAACTTAAGAGTGATGGCTAAAGGCTGGAAAAGAAAAGGAGGAGGAGGGAGGAGAAGAGAGGCTTCCCCATCCCCTCTTTGTTCTGCACCATGAGATCGAGAGCAAAATGGGAAGGAGTTGACAGGACAGGAGGGAGAAGAGTTGGCATTTTGACAGCTGCAATCTCTCTTTCTTGCATATATACACATAAACATTAACAGAAAAAGTTGCACTGTACTGTCAGAGTTCAGGTGTGCAGATCTCTTCACTGTAATTTCTTTGGAAAAAATAACCTTGGTGAAGACAATCACCTTGACACGGAAGCTATAAAGTTGAATGTTTAGGATGCAAAGTGTGCCAAGAGCTCCCTGGAGAGCACTGTTAAAATATTGTAGCAGGAAATATTAAAAGTGCACTGCAGAAGCTGGTAGAGGGCAAAGCTATCAAAACTGAAAATGCGCAGAGCCCTCTGAGAAGATTTGGAAATATTATTCTCTTTTTTTCATTGTTTTGCAAATGAAAACCAACCAAACCTTACTGCAAACTATGGGTGGTAAAAATGCACTTTTTATAGCTAAGAGAAGGTTTAAAAGAAAATTAAAACTGTGGGTGTTATCCCTATAATAATCTGCCTTTATGATAATTTAGTAAAAGGGTTGTAAAAAATCTGCAATTGTTTTATAACTGCACAAAAACATAACTTTTTTACCCATAAAAGAGGCAGAGTGCAGTGGTAAACAATAGAGCTAACAGATATTGGAATACTTGATGAGAAAAAGACACACGATATGAATGAACCTTGAAATAGGTTGTACAAGAATGCAGCACTTTACCCCTTTACTTTCAATGCACTGAGTCCTGTAAGTACCTAGGCTTTGAGTCGCTCCATTTCATGAACATCCTAAACACCAGGGACACATACAGATTAGCCCTCAAGGACAGACACACAATGAAGCCATTAGTACTGACTGATTATGGATTCAGCTTGTCTTTTCTGCTTTTGCGTCAACTCCGGAGATGAGCGGGGAAGAGGCATCTCTAAAGGATCTCAGCTTCCCAGAGTCACGATTACAGTAAAATTCAACAAACATTATCACCCGAGTCCCATAGAGAATTTAATTCCATATTATGTATTCAGAAATAGATGATTTACATTCATATGCAGATATCAAGTCTTTTCCCACTACAAGCAGTGTGCCCTGTACAGCTCCAGTTTAGGCCGGGTACAAGTGCCTCAAAAGGTGGGGAGTGTGTTAGCTATTCACTTTCTTCTCTTTGATTTGAAAAAGCAGCCCTCAAGCATGCTATCCTAACCTTCAACCTTATGGTAATCACTTTTTACTGAATGACTTTATTCTTTTCAACATTACAGAGTCAAAAAGCTTGCCCCTCTGAACGGTGGCGCTGGAGCCAAATGCAAATATCAGTACCCTGACATCCTCAACAGTGATGCTGACAAGCTAAATTTAGAAAAGGGGATATTTAGGGATGATCCAAAGCAGCTAATCTCCTGGTTATTTGAAATTTTAATTCTGACCCATCAACTGGCCAACAGTTAAAAATCACAGTATCATAGAGTCTCTGCAGGGATGTAATGTCATTGGGTCTGTCACCAGTAATGTTTAATGACCTGCAAAAGGAGCAAAGCTCTGAGCTTTAGCTGATTTGTTTTCAAAACCTTTGCATGTGCAGAAAAATGTGCAAGCATTTCAGATAGTTACTGCCGATGTAGCTACCTGTAACTATAACTATCTCACCACAATTCATAAACGCAAACAGAGCCATGGATGCTGCACTGAAGTGTTCACTATTATTTATGATTTTGTTAATTTGAGGGTATTTGTCCATCAAATGAAAATCTTATTTGATTTTGTCTCTTTCCAAGTCTGTTGCATAAAACTAAATACAGTATATATATCATCTGCATTTACAGCAGCATGAGAGGCATTAAAATCTTTAGTTTCCCAGCGTATTCTTTGGCAAGTCAGCATAAATCTTGTCCCCTCTGCTGGACAGACCAACCTAAAGAGCCTGATTTTCATGGCTGACCTAGCATGGTTGGTATGATATTGTGATGATGTTTCTGCACAAAACAGGTGATGTTGACACCTGTTTTGTCTGAGAATCTCGACAAAACAAAGATCATTTTCTTGTGATAGCGTTTTAGCCGACGTAAAATGGTAACTTTTAAAAACAACGGCCAGACTGGGATATTTCTGAAACACAGCATCCAGCCACCTTTTTCAGCAGCAAGCCGGGGTTTGCAATGAAAGCGCTGACATCATACTACACTACGGGCATGCGCATTACACTTTCAGCAAATTGAACAACCAAAGTAACAATGGTGGACACATTATTAAAGAATTTGTTAATTTGTTATGTCAAGATTACGAGATAATAAGTCGTTATCAGTAGATAATAGTTAGGGTTGTCAAAAGCGTATCAGGAAACGATAACTAATCTGCCATGGTATTGATACTATGGTGCGCATGCCTGCAGCGCGCACTGCGCGCACTCTGCAAGCAGCGCAGCCGACCCGGCAGACAGTGTCCGGCAGTCCGCAGAGCTCTCACTGTGACCCGCTTGCTGTCCCATGTTGTACTGCTGCTAAGTATAACCAGTGTTTCAAAGTGGTGGCAACAAAATCGAGTAGCAAGACGAATTTGTCAAACCACCTCAAGGACCAGCACCCTTCATGACGAATTCCGGCAGGTTAGTAAAGCTCTCGTTCATCCTTTACCTTACTGTATTAAACTGATTAATGATGTTAGTCTGGCCGGTGATCAGCATTGGTAGCCATGGTTAGATTTATGCTGAGCGAATGTTGTTTGTTTTGTTATTAGCCATTAGCCGCGAGCCCCTGGCTAGCAGCTTGCTAACGTGACTCAAACAGGTTTTCTTCTCTTAAAGATTAGACTAAAGCAGAGAGAAGTCGACCTGCAACTAAACCGAAGAAACCACAGCTTACTCTTCCACTGCTGTATGAAAAACAGAGAAAGTATGACCCAAAGTCTCCTGAAGCTGTCAAAACAAACAGAGCTGTAGCAGAGTATATCTCTTAGGACCAACGACCCATTTACACAGTGAAGAAACCTGAGTTTTAAGTGAAAAAGTGATTTTCTTTTTCAATAGTTTTTAAAATATTTTTCATTTTCTGATTATTTCATAATTTTATTTAATCAATTAATTATCTTTGGTTCTGTTTTTCATGTTAATAAAAATATTTTTTATGCCTTTTATAATATTTGTCATTTTTTATCCCCGTGGTATCGAAAATAGTATCAAGTATCGAGTATTTTCCTGGGTATCGATATCGAGTTTGAAATTTTAGTGTCTTGACAAGCCTAATAACAGTACATAAAAAAAGAAAAATCCATGGCTGTTCTCGTCTTCCGTGGTTTTGTTTTGAAGAGTGCCTTTTTTTTCTTGCTTTTCTCTGTACTGCGACAGCCCCTTTTTAGGTATCACTCCTTTACTCATTCCAGCAATGTTTTATTCTGCAGTTCTTTATCCTCATCTACATGGAGGTCAGAGTGTGAAGTTAGCAGTAGTCAAAGCAGTGCATTTTAAGTAGCTTCTATTAACTCCTCGACCAGTTTTTCTGCAGACAAACTCATTAGAAACCCTGCATTGTAGCAGAAACCTTTACCAATTATACTCCTTTAACTTTCTGTTTTACACCAGTAGTTTGCTACTGCAAAAATTTAAAGGGAAGCTGTTTCATAAGTGGAGCTCTCTTCTCTCCGCGAGTGCTGATCAAACTGTCAGACCAACTACACCGACTAGAACTACATGTGATTGTTTGTCAGTGGTTACTGTGCTTCGAGTGGCCTTCACTGACTGAAATAATGAACCTGTCATTGTAGACAAGTCCATATGGATGTGCCAGAGCAGTCATAAAAGCAATGACAACACGCAGTATGACAAAATGGAACATCTGGATACTTGAAGTTGTGCATTTGTGCGTGTCTTGAATGTACATTTGCAGCCACATAATTGGATGTAGATGCACACGCTTACTTGCATGAGTCACATAAATACATGCACACATATGGGCATAAATAGATAAATACAGGATGCCTCATGAACTCTTTCTTTAACTGCAGTATAGGTTGATCGACCCTGGTGCCATAACAACCTCATATCTCATCTTCCACTCTATGAAATCTGCAGTGCAGGGAAGACACTGTATTAACATTTATTGCATGATGCCAGACCAGCTTTCCCTTATAGCATGATGATGGTGAAACAAGGAAATATGGGCACAGCAGTGTGGGTGTGTTTTCAGAAGGCGGTACATCTGTAGCTCCTTCTGTATGCAGGTATTTGTTGCTCTGCCAGCAGGGACTTAATCAAGTGTCACTGCAGTGAAAGGAAGTATATTTATGTGTGCAAACCTATTTGTATCCGTGTGAGAAAAGGGAGAGATTTAACAACGTTTCGCCCCAGGAAATAAATTGCTTATTTTTATGCTGTGAGGCTGTTGACTCAAAAGAACAGTTTGGTATCATAGGAGAAATTCTTATTAATGTCCATGTTTGTGCTAAATGTAAATCCACAGCCATCAGCCAGTCAGCTTCACTTACCATAAAAAGAGGAAATATCTCGACTGGCTCTGGCTAGATGCAATAAATTCCCCTTTCAGTTCTTGATATGAAGACTGATAAATGCATATTCAAATGCCACAGTGACTCAGGTACACAACAGGGTCTTCTTTTCCTTAAAGTCTACTAGAAGAATGGCTTAAAATCCACTTTTAGGAGGTCAAGTCTTTGTGTTTTTGTGGCATCCAGTGGCTGATTTAGTGTATCTTTCAAAGACTGGCTTAATGCAGTCCTTAAAAAATGAATGATGATGAATGGTGATGATTAATGTATAAATATAAGCGAAATAGTGATAATTGTGTTGTTAACTGACTACAACAAAGACTGGCATCTTATGTCAACGAAGCAGACACTGGATCTGCAATCAGCTGATCTATAAAGGTCCAATGACAAGCCAGAGCAGCCTTAGACACTAAGGGCTCTATTTTCGTGCCCGCCGGCGGCTCAGTGGAGGGTGGTGGACCCCGCGCAGTGGTATTTTCTACTAGTGGAGCCCGGTGCACAGTCAGTTTGGTATTTCCATGGACTGAGGTGAGAAGATTATGTGAGCTTATGTGATTGGCGAAAACAGGTCTCGGCTGTGTTAAACCCACTCTACGCCTTATCCCCTCCCTCTCTACAACCTATGCCACTGGGAGGAGCTGAGTTAGGAAGGGGGGATACTTACGCTGGGCTGTGCCACTCACCAAAATACCAAAATGTGCTTGGGCACGCCTTGTCGGCGCGGCAGACCTGACTGACGCTGTACCTATGCCACGCCGCCGGCGAGGCACGAAAATAGAGCCCTAAGACACACCTCACAGACTGCATACTGCACAAAATCTGAAAGCAAGGAACTGTTTTGAATAGTTTTATCCTATTTGGCTTGTTGCTGTATCAGTGTACCAACCATTTTTGAGCTTCATTGACACATACGGGGTCTTTTTTTCAAATGTAACTGTTACAATATCATTTTTAAGTGATATTGTGATGTAGATGTGGATGTAGATGTGAAAATTGTCCATCTGTTTTATTTAGTGTTTTTTTTTTTATTTCTTTCTATCTATGGGAACGTTTTAGTGCAGGATGTTGGTCCACTTCACAGCAACCCACTTCTGTGTAGATGTAAAAGGCTCTTTGTAAGTTAACAAGATGCAGTTTTTTTAATTTTCAGGGGATTTTACAATAATTTGAATACAGATATGAATATTTCATTCCATTTTACCAAGTCTGTTCTGCTGTAGGCTACTTAATACTACACATTGAGCCTTTGAGCCTTGTATTAAACCAGAGACACGTGGGTTTGCAATGACTGAATGCTTGTTCATGTATTTGGGTCTTCACTGTTGAGGTCAATGTGAAGCATAAGCATAAATATAGAAAGGGAAGACCAATATGTCGATTTGTGGTGACAAGACAAGTGTGCGCTCAATATGTCCTGTAAAACTTACCATGATGAGAGGAGGAGTTCAAAAGAAACTGCAGCTAGCACCATCTAGCTGTACAATAATCCTGTTTTCTGCCATGTTTGTTTACTCTAAAATCCTGTTTGACCGTGATATTGTGTGAGGTATCCAGTTTTGAGAGTCTGAAGTCTGTTCGTTGATGATTGTGCTGTGTCAGCCATATCCTTGCACTTCACACACTGAGAACAAAACGGTTAAATCGGTCAGTATTATAATCATACGTGGCGTTAAATTGTTGAGTGTGGGCCAGTTTTAAGAAGTGCTGATAGACCAATACTTTGACATTGATTATTGGCACCTAGTGCAATCAATAAGTGGGGCCGATGTCTAAGTAGATGAAAGCAGCAGTAACAATGAGTGTAAAGAGACAGAAGTGCTGAGCTTTTAAACCTGAGTCAGTATGATAAAGGAATAGACAGATACTCTCACATTCCCACTGAACCTGCTCCACTTTGTTCAGGAAGTTCTTGAGTCAGCTTTTTTTTCTCACTTTTACAGACAGTTGTAAATGCTGTGAAAGACTTACTTTTTTCACTTTTTGGGCAGCACCAGCAGGATTTCCCCAACAGGTCCTCTTGGCGATGCAGGAATAGCCAAGAAAGCACCTTTTTTATATGTTCTTATTTAAGAGAACCTGACAGTCGTGGTTATGTTTGACACATATTGCATGTCTCTCAAACAACCCAGGTGACATTAAGATATTCAGAGTACATCCTGGAGTGCTTGTAGTTGCTCTGATCCAACTCACACCGACGTAGGATGTGAAGAGTCACATAACAGCGAGAAATTACTTGGACTTTTTTCACCTGAAGTATCACTGATTCAAAGGGAAAACATGCAAACAGTAGAGAGGAGGAAATTACTGAAATACTTGAGGGTGTGGATTTCAACAGCAAGCCCCCTCTTCATTTGAGTGTCGAGAGATTTCAGCTGTTTTATTGTTCTCAAATTGCTCCCAAAATGAAGCCAAACACTCTGGTCACCCTCCATTACCTTCCTGTCTTCTCTGCTGGGAATTGTTTTGAAACAGTCAAATCTGAGGTTTCAAGTGTAAATGCAGTTTTTAGTGTGCAAATAGAAATTAAATCTCCAATAATATGTGACTAAAACACCACCTTACCACCACTCCCCTCCTCTCTGTCTTTTTCTCTGTTGATTGCATTTACTTATTTGGGTGTAATGGCCCTTTTTTTGGAAATGTTCCACTCAGTACGGAAGGCACCTAGCTTGGGTGTTTGGGATTATTATGTTAACCCTCAGCGGATTTGTATTTATCTGTCAATTTCACCCAATTTCATACTTACTATAACAATCGAGGAGGGTTCACCCAATCTTTGCTGAGTGACTTGATTTTATATCCTCCATATTTTTCCAACAGAATGAGAATTACTGTGGGTGCAGGGCCAAGTTTGGCAGTTCACTGCTTGTCACTCCATCCAGAAGTCTCTCCAAGAATAATTTGCTGACTGGCGTAAATATTTTCAGCCTTAATGCACAATCAGGATTGGGAGGCTAAATATAGCAGGCTTAAGTGTTTCTAGAAATAGACTGCAGGGAGTCAGGGAGGGTAAAAGAAAGACAATGACACAAAGTTTAGTCCCAGAACAGTGAGTACAGAAAAGAACTTAATCATGCAGATCCAAACCTGGTTTTACTTTAATGAAGAAGTTGTGTAAATGCTTTGCGTCAAAGAGGAAATGAATCAAGCTCAACTCGATCAAATGTGGAAAGAACCAAGGGGTCAAAAGCTGTTCTGTTTATCCTTATCCAGCTGCTGTTTCCACACAGCACCCCAGCATGGATTATCCTCTCCGCTCAGAGTACACAGAGGTTCGGCCAGCCCTAACAGAGGCAGCCTACCACACCGAATATTTCCCTTCTGATGTAGCCAATTTAACACCTGGTTTTTCCCAACAGACAGAGGTCAAAGTAAAAGAGACAGAAGATCGAAGCTTGTGGGTTTGAGCACGTCAGGGTCCAGCAGCTTCACTTCATCTTTACCCCCATGACACGTTCACTGTTCTCGGTTACCTGTAGTTTTGTGGTCAGTGTCAGAGCAAAAAACAGAAAATGCATCTCCTTGGTGACAAGAGAAAGCAGGCTTGCTGACATTTCTGCAGAAAATGTTGTTGGTTGTTTACCATTAGAGAAGTTGGTGAGGAAAAAAATCATTAAAGAGTGTAGCCACAGTTAATCATGAGGGACAGAGCTACAGTGTGAGGTGCAGAATGAAGGATTTTTGAACTCAGGAGACTGAGGCTGCAGTAAGTTTTGAGAACTGAAGTTTTTCAACCACACTACAGGTTCAATACAGGAGCTCCATTTTGAGTAAGTTCATAGTAGAGATTTGGTTCTTACTGCCGCTATTTCAAAATTGCATGTAAACTAATAATTGCATGAGTACATGTATGTATGGGGGTTGTTTGTAAATAAGGATGGGAATCAAGATTTCTCACCATGGGATAAAATGATTTGATATGATATTATATGACATGACATGACATGACATGATATGATATGACTTGACATGACATGACATGATACGACATGACATGACATGATATGAGATGATATATGATAGGACATGACATGACATGATACGACATGACATATGATATGATATGACATGACATGACATGACATGACATGATATGATATGAAATGACTTAACATGACATGACATGATACGACATGACATGACATAATATGATATATGACTTGACATGATATGACATGACATGATATGATATGATATGATATGAAATGACTTGACATGACATGACATGACATGATACGACATGACATGACATAATATGATATATGACTTGACATGATATGACATGACATGATATGATATGATATGAAATGACTTGACATGACATGACATGACATGATACGACATGACATGACATAATATGATATATGACTTGACATGATATGACATGACATGATATGATATGATATGATATGAAATGACATGACATGACATGACATGATATGATATGACTTGACATGACATGACATGACATGACATGATATGATATCTGACCAAAGTTACACAATATGATACAATGGGATATTATTGGATAAAATAGGATACAATAGTTTTTAATGCTATATCTGGCGGAAGGTATACAATACAATATGATAAGATATGATCTGCTACGATACGATACGACACAATACGATACAAGGGTACAATATACATGTCCCACAATATACAGTTATCACATGACATAGTGATTCAGTCATACCTCATATATTGTAAGACAACTACATATTGATATATTTTGTCACCCCAATCCCTTGTTAAAACCCGTTTTTTTCTGCAGCTCCCTACCACATAACTATAATTTATTAAGAGGAGTGGATATCAGGCTGACATTTACAAGTTTGCCAGATGTTTTACATGAACATCTGTTTGAGATTCACAATGTCACCTTCAAATTAAAAACATTCATGTGTAGTTCTTTTATATGCCCTTATGGACAATATAATATTTTAGTACACATTTTCAGGAGTAGTTAATGGTTGCATCAGAGGCATAGCTCCCCAGACTTTATGAACCTCCATAGATTGTATGTACATCCAAACATGTGCTTTAATAGCATTAATTTACACCTTCCCTATCTACATCTTTCTCACCCTGTCCCCTATGCTTGTGTGCAAGCTCTGGGTAAATAAATATATAAACATCAATCTAAGATTACCCTGGTGACATAACCATGGGTCATTAACTCATACTTGATTAAGCTTCCTTTCAGAGAAAGACTAGATGTTATCTAACAAGTGTTTTCACAAGTGGAGCAGTCCCCCTAGACTAGTAAAGTGACTCTGAATCAGCAAAGTTTCACCTTAAACATTACAGGTGGTAGTAAAATGATCATTAAAACTAACTCTGATGCTTCTGATTTTAATGATACTCTCAGAAAACTTGTTAATTTTTACACCGGTTGTTAAGGAGGGATTCGGGAAACATTTGCTGTTCCCTTAATGCTCAGTGTTCAAAGTCTCTCTTAAATTACTCCACGTAGAAAAGTTGTCGCCGTGTAAAAGCCCCCGCTTGTGTACTCGTGAACTGCATTGCTTACTGTCAGCCTTTTTTCCTGCAAACACATGATAAAAGTATCTGTGGTGTTAGACCATGTGTAAGGATTATGTCCTCAAAGGGAGCACGATTGTTGGAAAAGTATCCAGCACTGCTGACAGTTGTGATTGTTAGCAGAGCTGCAGGTTTTATAGCATGCAGTGCCTCCGGTCTAATGACCAGTTCCCTTTAGAGCTCTTGTTGTGCTACACAGCTGCACTGCTGGTGTAATATTCTTAATGCAGCTGTAAATCCTATTACTGTTCTTTTCAACAATTTGTCAATCACTCTGGTGATGGAAAAGTGATGGAAGTGTGGTGCTTGGAGTCAAAAATCTTCATCTGCATCTTACTCTCTCTCTCTCTCTCTCCGTTTTTTAATCTGTTTTAAAAAAAAAACCCTTTCACTTCTCTTTACAACCACAAATTCAAATGCTTTCCCTTCACTGATTTAGTGTGTATATAAAGGCTAATATTCTGCTAATCCCCCCTCAAAATTGCGTTATTTCTAATCTTCAAACCATGTTATGCTATCTGTTATTGTGCTAATGTGGCAAAGCAGTTCGTTTCACATTCCTCCCCTGAATCCACTTGTGTTTGTATTGGCCACTACCTAAAGTGAGGTTGAGTGCAGTTTATCACCCCACTGGGTAAAATTGTAGTCCATCGTTGGCATAGAAAAGTCTGTGAGCCATTGATTCCCCCTGGGCCGGCTGGTACAGATGCAGAGTGGTTGTGGAAATTGAAACAGGAGCCCGCTACCTCTCATAATTCCATGACAGCGAAATGAAACAGTATCTCAAGAAAGCAATCAGAATCTCAAATTACCTTTCTTGTGAAGGTATTGTTTGCAGATCAGCAGAACTGTCCTCGCTCCGTCCCTTTACACCATTGTCTCCCTCCCTCTCTTGCTCGTTCTCTCGGGCGCTCTGCGTGCAGTAATGAGTGGCAGAGAGGCGATGTTGTGTTGATTTATTGCATGGTTGCTCAAATGGAACCTGGATGGAATGTGTCTGTCATTGGGCCATCGCTTGGATAGAAACACCTGTGATGCCCAGGGACAGCTAACTGCTCCATCAGGAATTGCTTCACCCCAAAGCCATCAGTGCATCTTACACACACACCAAAGACAGACACACATGAACACTCTAAAGTTACACAAATAAATGCACAAGGAGGGAAAAAAGTCATTCACTCAAAATGTGCCTAGAATCACAGTTATCATATGTATCGACTGCTAGAGGTGCAGCAGACTTTAATTAATATCCAGACAATTAAGTTTGATAGTTTTGGAGTAGCTGTAAATTTAGTTCTTACCAAAAATCCAGAGGGACATCAGGCAATATTTTGAATAGGACCTCCAATATCCAACAACTCATTTGCTACCATAATAAAGCAGCTATAGCTGGTATAGGCGACCTCTAATTTCAAATTTCTGTTAGTTTAAGATAGCTATGAAGTATATTAACGATTACCATATGCTGGCTAGGATTATTAGCTTTTCGTAGAGTACTGTGAAGTACTCTACTTCGCTGCCCGGCTGTACCACATGACTGATTCAAGAAATGGTTCGCGGGTTTGGCGGATGATTTAACAGGCAGCGGAACACAATGGAGCCCCCCCTTCTCAAAATCCATCCCACTGAGCAATAGACGGCTATTAGACGTCTTTTTTTTTTTAGACCTAATTTCAACTATCTAGATTCTGTATATTTTAAGACGGATTTTAGACGTTGCACTTTAACCCATTATTCAATAACTATTTATTTCAAAAAGCATCTGTGAGTTGCATGACTGATCTCCAAGTACTTAACCAAAATAATTATGATAGACGTCTAAAATCTTTCTTTTTTAGACCTGTGGTAGCCTGATTTTAGGCCAGTTGTCTAGGCTACATTTAGACGTCTATTTGACCACTTTTAGACCAAAAAACACTCACCATCACTACTGTGAAGCACTGTCAAACTGTAATAGCAGCTTTCTACCTAGTAGCTGTTGATTGAGTCTTAATAACACGCCCACACATGCACCTTTACTTCAGATTTTTTATTACATTAGATGACCGGGGTGGTGTTGGCAAGTTTAATGCATACATAATCCAACCCTGACTACTCCTAGCGCATATGACTTACAACATAGAGCACAGCAGTACGAAATTATACTGGAGGAAAACAGCAACTATGTGAATATGGAAAATCACCCACAGTGCAACTCAGAAATCTGGGGAGCTAACACAGCCTCAAGACACTAGCCCCAAGCAGAGATGGGGAGCAGGCAAGCGAGATCTGGAAACCACATTTCTGTTTAAACCTGTATAAAATCTGAGCACAAATTTATGTTTCTGTCCTAATTTTTGCAAACTTCACAAAAGTCAACTTATTTTTCAACCGTCCATGAGGTCACAAATGGCTTTTTCAACCAATGCAGACTTTCATATGCAAAGCTATGCAGAGTTTACCTTCCACTCTGCTCAGGAGACTTTCACTCCCTGACTTTTGCCTTCAGGGTAGCGCCTCCAGGTGATGGGTGTATCGCCTGGGGTAAAGAGAAGTGTCCTCTCCTGAATACATCAAGAAAAACAGTCCTTTTCTCAAGGACTGAAAAAACTTTATGCATAGCTTATCCTGCATACCCACAGCTTTACAGCTATCAAGCTGGGAGGAATTTTCCAACCCTGTCTAAAAGCACTGTTTGAAGACCAATGTGTGAAGACCATGACAAGTAGAAAGAGGAAACACCCCATGACATTGGTAATCAATGTCATGGGGTGTTTGCACTTTTGACAACTGTAATGATTGGATTTCAAGCCCTATGTACAGTCGAACTGGAAACAGTCATTTGTGAGTCAGTCTATATCGTGATGTACACAACCGTCAACCCCTTTATGAACACAGGGTTACTCAAAGGATGGGGGGTGGGGTTGTGGGGGGCATGGTTTACAGGGTGATGGAGTAGCACCTGTCTCGGGATCAGCCTTGTGTCCTTGTCATTGTTTCCCAGGGGCGTTCTGGAGGGAGGAGGAGAAAAGGAGGAGAGCAGTTAACAGCTTGACCAATGGATTAGATGAAAACACACACACACTCACACACTCACACTCACACCCAGAGTCATAAACAGGGTTCTCAAATCCATCACTGTGAACAAAGGTGCAAAATGAAGTGAAAATCTCTCCCAGCAGCCAAATCCCCAGCTGTCCTTTTAAAGCAGAAATCTTGATGGTAACTTTTATTTGGTTTGGCGCATCTGCGAGTGTAAAGACAACCAGGGTTAATACTAATCAAAAGAAGGACAGATGTGTTGAGAGGAAGATGGATGTATGAATAAACAGATTCATCCCCAAATAAGTGCTCTTCTCTTTCAATGCCAGACTACTCCGTGGGTTGGAAATAAAAAACAAAATTTTAGTCCTTAAAAAAAAAAAAATGATAATCACAAATTCAATGCAATTCAAGATTATCAATGTATTTCTGAATTGTAATAAAAGCCAATTTTGGAATATACAGTAAATGAAAATACAATAAATCGTATGCATGTGCACGTGCTGAAGTTGCATATAAAGGCATAAATATGCTTTTTTTCATATTCAGTATTTGAAATAATTAGATGGATTTGAACTTCGCCAAAGTAAATGAAGGACGTTATCCCTGTCTTTTAAACCATGTGACAAGCTATACACAAGAAATGCATACATTTTGGTGCTCATTAGTTTGATTCAAAAGCTTGAAACAATGTATAAATGGTCAATGTTTAAAGTAGGCTAATGGCTAAATGACATGTCTTCCAAACTGGTAAATATTCATATATATATATATATATATATATATATATATATATATATGTATATGTGTGTGTATATATATTGTGTGTGTGTGTGTGTGTGTGTGTGTGTGTGTTTTATATATATATATATATTGTGTGTATATATATATATACATATATACATATATGTATATACTGTATATATATATATGTGTGTGTGTATATATATATATATATATATATACATACATATAAACATATATATATATATATAGATATAGATATATACATATATATATATATATATATATATATATACATATATATCAGTTAATAAATCTTGAACATAGAGGTGGTGTTGATGAACTCGCTGACACTGAGACTCATGTGCTTGGCCTGCTTGATCCGTCCTTGACCAAATCACTGTATCCCTCTCTGTATCAAGAGCTTCTCTACAGCTGCTTCTCTTATGGAGATCAATAATGCATCACATGAATCATCAGTTCACCCACAAGGGCAGCGATCACACTGTTCTGTAATCAGTATCATCTTTTCAAGTCCATGAACTCAGCATAAAAGGATACTACGTACTGAACACAACCATATGAACAAACATTAGTAGGGTTGGATCTTTTATTCAAGGACACTTGGACCGTTGACGTTTGGGATTGAAGTGGGTTTTGGATTAGTAGATTTTTTCCGCCAAGGTTTCTTAGTCATGGATCATATTTTTTTTCAGTGTATTGTCATGCTATCAGCTTCTTTGATGAATACAGGTCAAGGACAGGCTTTATTAGCGCCTGTCTGAATGTGAAGGATGTTGTGTTCAGCTCACCCAGATAAATAACAGAAAAATCGTTATTCGTGTCACTTAGTGCAACATCGACACCAGAAAAAGTCCTTTTCTTTCCCCCTTTTCCCCAACAGACTAGTCCAGTGGAGTTCTGTGCAGCTGGTATTGGTTGTTGCATGACACTGGGGTACACATCATTGCTAATCGCTGTTCGGGGCACAGACCCAGCTCACTGGCCATGACACCCAGGGTGGGGAGAATCCTATCAGTCCCCAGCAGATCCTGGGGCCTCTTCTTTTCACAGCTACTGTCCTGTGTAGCCGGGCTGTCATCCGCGGGGTCAACAAAGCCCTGACGAGCGGGTATTAGCTTTAAAGCTGATCTTTACACTTACGTTTGATCAAAAGAGGTTTTCACATTGACTTGCTCGAGCCCTATTTTTGTATAGTCCAGTATGTAAGTTTGTTTTGGACTTGAAGCTGGCTGAGCTGTTCGACTGAAAACTGCAGACGCACGCTAAATATAGGACACTGTGAGAGTATGAAAAAGACAATCATCCCTGCCAAAATTGTTCTTTAGCTATGATTGAAAGAGCTTGAGGTAATCAAACAGTGGAAAATCTTTCCTTTTTTCTTACACCGTCTCTTGACTTCCTTCCCTGCCTGCCTCTCCAAATCCATCTACAGTTGTGCATGGTGTGATTAATGGCAGCCATTCATTAGCTTGATCAACCGCTTTAGCAGAGATTATTAATCAGATGCTTATTTAAATGTCACCGCTGAGCAGCTGAGAGGAAACGAGGCCACTGGGAAATTGGGTTTTTGTGTGTAGGCTATTCATGTATGTGCATGTGTGTGTGTGTGAGTGAGTGTGGACTCCCTTTGGTTGCTGAAATAACGCCACACACTGGGAATCTCACTCATGTGCTGTTTGACATACGTTTGGCTCAGCAGCTGATACTGGTAGGAAGCGTAGCAATGAAGCCTAATGTTCAATAACAAATGAGAACTTATTCTTATGTTGTACTGTTATTTTAAAAGCAACGCAGCACATCTGGGACTGTGTATTTCATGAAATTGATGTTTCCTGAGAGCTGTTTGAGTTATGAGTGCTTCCTTTGCTTTTCTAATAAAGGACAGTTCCCCGATATAGAGCTGAAAGGGCCAATTAGGGCCTACTTATCATTTGTTTCTAAACCAAAAAACGAATGATTATTCGACCGTGGAGTAAATCTGTGCTGCTGTTAGCAAGCTACTTTTGTGCTTCTGTGTTTTTTTCAATCATGGGATTCCTCAGAGAAGCATTCTCGGGCCTATTTTATTTGTAATTATACATTCTTCCTCTTCAACTTTTTTTATGCAGATGATACGAAACCATACATATCTGTGTTACCTTATGATCGTAATGCAGTGCTGTTTTTTCCTGTCTCTCTGACACTGAAAAAGTAACTAGGGTCTTTGTCCACCCTATACTGATTTTTGTGCTGAGACTGCCCACAACCTCAATTTCAGAGCACTTCTCATTGGCACATATACTAAGTTGTCCTGAGTGCCTCAGTATTTAAAAGTAGTGACAACAGATTCTGATTTAAATTCCTTTGTTTTGTTTGATTCATTGGTGTATTAAAATACACATTAAAACCAATTATTCTAATGACAAAATGTTGTCTTAGCATTAGCAAAAATTCAAGCCTCGAAAATTTAAGCAAGTGAGATAAATTTCTCCTCTAATAAGGTTGATATCAGGACTCCCGCCTCTTCATTCCCATTGGTAGTGATGTTAATGAGTACAGTGGTGTCTAAAAAGGTTGAATTATTAAACTACTGAGAGCACAGAGACTAAAATCAGTTGATGCTAGGGACACTGAGCTCTGAAAGGACTAAACTACATTTGATTTAAAAAGAAAACAGGCAGTGCTACTGTAAAAATAAATAAATAAAAAACAGGATCAGTTAACCTTCAGACCCTCAAAATAAAATGTTATTCATAAGATCTAAATCAGTCACAGATTAACTGTACTTAATGCTTGGAGTTCTAAACAAGCAAATTACAACAAATGTTATGAACCTCCGAGTGTTTCCAGATTCTGATTTAAGATTTTAATCTTCATGTTAACACCATCACAAGAGTTTCGCAAACATGGATCAACCGTTTCTAATTTTAGAATGTCATTTCCTTTCACACTCCACATTTTCTATTCTTCTCTCAAGTTATCATTTAAATAAATACTAAAAAGCCTAAATATGAAACCGGGGGGGTGTCTTTTTGCTTTTTTTTTTCCTCACAGCACTGGTCAGTATTTTAATCTATTTTTCTAACAGAAGGTTTATGTCTGCTTTACTGAGTTTTTTCACCTTTGAATTTTTTTTGTATGTCTACCCATTCTTGCTGTTATTTTCTGTCTTGTTGTTGCTATGCAAAGCAGGCTGAATGCCTTAAGTAGGCTATAAATACAGCTGAGTACTTTTGCTTCCAGGGAATATTCGGCCATAACTCCTGTTAATTGTGGTATTCAAAGTTATTGCTTAATTTCTTCCTCGTCTTGTCTTTCATATACAGGTGTACAGCTGCTGTGCATTGGTGTTATTGTAGTTCTTGTCAGGATTAGTTGTGTAAGACTTCAATAGTGTTTGTCTTCTTTGAAGAGCTCAATATGTGCATATGTGAAGCTGCAGGGCGACTTAAAGCCAGTGTCGCAGGCTTTAAAGTGAGCGTTTTCTGTGTTGCAAAGGGCAAATACAGTAAAGCCTCAGAAGATTACACACTTAGCCGAGCTTTATAAGAAGAGGGGAGGGTGTGGCCATGTGGGGATGTGCTCTGAATTCAGCTCACCCAGACTAGGGCATCAAAAAAAGCTTCAGTGTGAATACAATGACAGCAGAGACGGCACATACTCAGTATGTCAGTGCTTACAGTGAACTACTGTAGACCTCGGTGTACTTGTTCTGTTTTTTATTAGTCAGTGTGATGCTTTCACAATTTAACCCCTGCTATCAAATAAAACCCAACATGCTGATCCAAGAGTAATAAATAACAAGGTCAAATCACAGGCTGTGGAAAGAGAACATGCAATATTTATAGTTCATCAATCATTTTATCAATCCCTGTAATTGATTGAATCGATTAATCAAGGAGAGCAGTGAAGGAGAGGGGGTGATTGATGGCGGTGGGGATGGGACCCACCTGATTGAAATTCAGAAGCCAAAGTCTAAAAAGGTCAAGGGTCGCTAGAGAAGCATTTATAGGCATGGCAGTGTCTTAACGGGACCTTTGTTGCTATCTTAAGAATAACCTTACCAGAAGCATGGGTGTGTTCGTGTGTGTGTACATCATGTGTCCCTTCCTCTGAGGTTGCCTGGCCTTGTGATCGTGGTAGGTTAAGTGATGCCAAAGCCCAATAATAAATCTCAGACACAACCAGCACAGATGACCTGAAGGTCACTGTTTCATTAACTGTCTTCCACTTGGATTCGATCTCATCCCCCACTCCTGTCGACGCTCCTACCTGCTTACTGTAAGCACCTGAGCACCCAGTGGAGAGAAAATATGGAGTTACACATATTCTGCTTTTACCCAAAGGTGTATAAGTGACACAGCCATAAACTTCCAAATACATGCATGCAGTTCATGCACCTAAATCCATTTTTTTTGTTTTAGTTTTTTGGCTTTTGCAGCAAGCCCCAAGTGGGCATTTGAGGAACTGCAGGTTTTTGCATTTGCTTTAATTCTTTGTCGCCGCTTGGGGAAACGTTTGTCTTTGCACTTTTGTCTGATTAAAATAAAAAAGTCTTGGAATATCTAATCCACATCCATGTGTCTAAGTGAACCCGAAGGATGTCTGTGTTTTGCTCTGGAATGGGAAAAGTAACCCACTGGGTAGAAGTAGACAATTTGACACCACTTCACATGAAGAGTGGCCAAGTGGTTGGATTTCTTTTAAGTGGTAAAAGCACAGCACTTCCTCTCAGAAAGATGAAATTGTTGCTCACTTCTACTTTGCTGTCCAAGGCCAGAAAAACTACTTGATTTTATCTTAAATGCGTGGTGTTCCTCTCTCAATGTTTTAGAAACCAAATGATTGAATCTTAGCTGAAAGCAGCAATTAATGCCAAGGAAGAGAAGCTCTTAAGGCGACTTTAGGTGACTTTTTTTTTTAGCTCACATTAATGTTTTTGTCAGTGGGGAGATCTCTGGAGAAAGTGATTTTCTGAAGGATTTTTTTAAATAGCCGACAGCTTCTTTTTATAAAATAAGTTTTGTTTGGATCTTCTTGAATCTTCACACACTATGTGATCACAGATTTAACTCATGCAGAAACTGTTTTCTTCAACATCACCCTCTTAACCCCACTGTTTTTGTCTCATTCTTGAGTAAACATACATCCAGCATCGCCTTCTTCATACGCCACTTGCTCTCCCAGTCCTGTGCAGTAATACGGATGCTCTGACTCATGTCTAGACAGAAAAATTAGGGCACACATACAGACACAAAACTGTGACATTTAGGCAAGGTGTTCCCGCTGTGCAATCAAGGCTCATTTTCCACACTGAGCTCAGCCAGCGGTCACCATGTCTCAATCTGGCGAGGAACAATCAGATTTAATGGGAGGCCGCTTTTTTGTGTTTCTTATTTTCCTCAGGCCGTGCGCTTAAAACGAACGCAGCCTGGAGCTCACAGCTAACGGTGTATCTTTGAAAGCACAACTTGTGTGGAATAAAAGGAGATCAGCAGGGATGTTCTCAATGCTGTGGAGGATTCTTTTCCATTTCAGACACAATGCTATGTCACAGAGCGTCGACAAGGTGACACGCAGTGCTTTATGAATGGAATTTGAGCTCATAAATTAATCCAACACTGATTATTCTGTGACTGCTGTAATAGGTTTCATTATGATATCCTTTTGTGGAGTTGATAGTAAGACAGAATTCTTTGGAGTAAGCCTTGAATAAGTGACACAGGGGGCTCATTTCAATGATTTTTCCCTTTGTCTCAATAAAAGTGACTTCTTATCACAAATCACAGAAATTCCAAAGTCATTTATGCCATACTCTGTCTGAGTCGTATTCCAGTAGTGTGGCTGAAGAAGCTTATAACCATCTCTGAGCACAGATATGATGGTGTGACGACGGCAGAGATTGTTTAAGAGTCAATTTCTGGCTTGTATGAAGTCATCTGAGCAGCTATATTGAATCTTTGGGGATAAAAGACTAGACTGATGTTTCACTAGCAAGACAAGGTAACGCACCTCAGTAAGGCCGAGCCTGTTGATGAAATTTATTGCAACATTATGCAGAAAAACTGTCTGGAATCTTTGACATTTATTCACGCCGACTTTGAAAACTTTAAAAGACATTTTCTTTGTTTATGTGACAAATTGTTCAGCTCAGTGGTTTTTTTTTTACCAGCGCTCTGAAATTCAAAGATTATCAGCCCAGCACAGTCCAGACTCCATATGAAGTGGGAAAGAAGCTTTCTTCTGGGTATTCTGTCTGGTTTTGGGTTTTGTAGAGAAATTGACAGGCTTTGATAAAGGGAGCAGACTTAAATTTTGTCCCTACCATCTACATGCACCCCTCTGTTTACTCATGATGGATTATCAGGAATGATTATCTAACCCTCCAAGCTAAAAGGAATAAGAAAATTTGTAGATGCTTTGCAAATGCAGCCAGTGTGTCAGAAAAGAAGGGTATAGATGAATCCAAAACTCTCACTTAAAGGGATATTCCGGCATAAAATTAATTTAGAGTCACCGAGTTAGACAACCACCGAAGGGAGATGAATGTTGCCGACCGCTTGCTTTTCTAGTTATACCAACTTTAGTAATGACCGCACAATAGCAATACACAGCGGTCTGAGGAACCATAAACAAACCTCAGCCAACACACCACTCTATAGCCACCAATAATGCTCAGAACAGCACCTAACTTCATCAACAGTACATATAGGGTCCTAACCACAGCACTAGCTACCAGACATCTTTTTAGCTTTGCCTGATTTCTTTAGCAAAGAGACCAAACACAACTCACCGACTCTCTTCCAGCAGCCGCTTGTGTGTAGCGAGACCAGAAGGACATTTATGATCATTTCTTCATGAAAATGCAATCAGACCGAGACGCTAAGGCAGAAAAACTATTGCGTCTGCAGAGCAAAATGATTAATATGGTGCTTATTACTTAAATTACTTCCTTATACCGTTGTGTATTGCTATCGTGCGGTCGTTACTAAAGTTGGTCTAACCAAAGCGGTCAGCAACATTCATCTCTCGAGGGGGTGTCTAAGTCGGGGTTATGTTGTGTTTGACCCTAAACTAATTTTACGCCAGAATATCCCTTTAAAACCACACAGAATTTCCATATCACTTAGATTACCCCTGAAGTCCACAATGTGCATTTTTCTGTTCAGCTGTGTATCTCTCTTAGGTGCTATCTTATGCTAAGCTTGCAAGTCTGCCAGCTACCTGTATGATGGGTCAGATGAGGTAATGGTGCTAGTTGTGATGGTGACAGCTGCCCCAGTGGTCATGAAGGAGCATGTCTATCACTATGGAGTAGCCAAATCTTTGTTTGAACATAATGAAATACCTCTATCAGCAATGATATAAGTCACAGGCTATGCCTCATATTAGAAACGGTATAAAAAGTGCTTCTCATACCACTAATATTTCAGTATTTTGTCTATTATTCATTTAAACAATGTCAATAGTAGCCAAATAAAGCGAACCACTTTGTCATTTTACCTGCAGACTCTGTGTTCTCGGTTAAAATAAGGTCATGTTGTATAAATTATGACAGATGATGTGTTTCCTAAGTGTTTGTGTGCCACACAAATTGGGAAATCTTGCATAACTAAAGCTTCAGATGGAGATTTATCATGCTTAGTAGCTCATGACTTACAGTTTTGACTTGTCTGCTTGTTTGTAAAAGCTTACATGGCACAAACATTTTTATAAGTAACTGCAAAGAAGACAATGTTGTGAGGCATTGGAGGGTAACCGAATAATTAAGATGTGAGAGCAGCAGTTTGTAGTTTTCTCAGCAGGAAGTACCTCAGTGCTTTGTTTCACCTTGTTGTTTTTGTCTCAGTGAGGTTCCTGATTTTGTAGTCATGTATTAAAAATGAATGCCCTCTTCTCTCTTCTGCTCTCTTCTCAGATCCGGACTTTGCAGACTTGGGAGTCCCCCCGCCTCTGCCCTGTAGGTATACTCCCTCTCTCTCTTTCTGCCTCTGTTTCCTTCCCTTCTTTCTTCATGTTTATGTCTCACTTGTTCCAACTGTCTCCATTTTACCTCTCTGGTTCCTTAAGTTTGACATATATTCTCTGTACTTTAGCCATCCACATGTTCGTCATCCTGTGTGAGTCCACATGTATTTGCACATATTTGTGTGCATGTGTTTATGCATATCCGTGTTGTTTCAGCCTGTCAGTATGACATGGTTGGACCAGAAGGTATCGTTGAGTCCCACCAGATCACCAGAGACGGGAAGGCGGGCGCCACAGAAGCCGTGGACTGTAAATGGTATATCCGGGCCCCGCCGCGCTCCAAGGTGAGTGACACAGGCTAAGCTCACATCCAACTATCAATCGGAAATTTTAATCGACCAGCTGAGAGGATGATAGCTTAATGACGACAAATTAAAAACAGACATAGATGCTGCAGGAAAATAGAGCCTATCATTAGAAAACCTCATTGCAATTTCGAGTATATTTTCTTTTTAATTCGCTGTTTCCATTCAGATTTTCTTTTACTCATGCCTGGAAATCAGCGGTTGCATCAGGACTCTTTGATGTTTCATGTGGGTTTGTCGGCAGCTGTCAGCACTTTACCCCGACGTGAGTGTTCGTGTCTTCAGGGGGGACGGCGAGGGGTCAGACAGATCTGCAGACAGGTTTATTTGGGGTCAGACCCATTTTTTTTAATCAGAGAGCTGTTGCCAAGAGGAATGGAGGGATGGAAGGAGAAGGCGAGAAAGAGAGAAAGAGACTGGCTAGACAGAGAGAGAGAGAGAGAGAGAGAGACAGAGAGAGAGAAGCGTTAGCGCTGATGAAATAGTGTTGCCATGCAGTTTGACCCTGAGGTCTGCTCCAACCTGTGTTTGTTTTCCCTGCCAGTGTTCTCCATGCTGCGTTGCATGCATATACAAATTCTGACATACATCCACACGCATACACGTGCACACCTACACCAAACACACACTCGACTTGCTTCCTTATCTGCCAGAAGTACCTGTGCTGCATTAATGCTAGAGGATTAAAAGTTTCCCGAGGGTAGCGCAGCAGTGCAGGAAAAGGCCACCTTTTACATACACTATAACTTCTCAGTTGGCTCCATACAGCTCTGTCATATACACACATACACAGCCCAGTCCATGACAGCAGTAAATCTAGAGATGAAACAGGTTTGGCTGCTGATCCAGGGTTTGATTTAGTAGAAAGAAGGCACCACCTTTATGGTTAGAACAACTCATTCAGGTACAAAAGTTGCGCTGTATGGACTTTAAGGATGGGGTCACATTTATTTTACTCTAACTGAAAATGGTGAGGTCAAGGGGATGTGCAATTTCAGTTATTATAGCTTTGGGGAAGGGGCACGTTTTGAGGGAAGGTTATCTTAACCCGTAATCTTAAAGGGATATTCTGGCATAAATTTAATTTAGGGTCAAACACACCGTAACACAGAGTTAGACACCTCTTGAGAGATGAATGTTGCCGACCGCTTGCTTCTCTAGTTTTACCAACTTTAGTAGCAGAGCAATACAGAATGGTCTAAGGAGCCGTAAACAAACCTCAACCAAAAATGCCACTCTATAGCCACAAATAACCTCGGGCCAGTCCATTACGGACTGCTGCGGGGTGACTCAGCTCAAGGAAGAACATTTATGATCATTACATTCAAGTACTAATCATCATATTAATCATTTTGCACTGCAGACGCGGTAGTTCTTCTGCCTTAACGTCTCACTCTGATTGCATTTCCATAAAGAAATGATCATAAATGTTCTTCCTTGAACTGCATCGCCCCGCAGCAGTCCGTAATGGACTGGCCCGAGGTTTGGTTGAAGTTTGTTTATGGCTCCTCAGACCGCTGTGTATTGCTATCCTGCAGTTGTTACTAAAATTGGTATAACTAGAGAAGCAACATTTATCTCTCGAGGGGGTGTCTAACTTGGTGTTATTGTGTGTTTGACCCTAAATTAATTTTACGCTGGAATATCCCTTTAACTATGAGCCTTTTTACACTGAACACATGAGGCAGCTGTGGTTCAGTTGGTAGAGTCTCCCAATCAGAAGGTTGGGGGTTTGATCCCAGAGCTGCCCACATGCTGAAGTGTCCTGGATCCTGGTTTGAAGTCCTGTATAGTAACTATCATACAATAAAAGAACTTTATTTATCCTCAAATGGTCCTGGGTTCAAATCCGGAATAGAGGCAGTTTATGTCACCCTGGAACAACTGCTTTCTTCACATGTAGTGTGAAGTGCTGTTTTGACCTTCCACAGTCGAAAAGTAGAGGTAATAATGACCTACAAAAGCAAACACTGCCAGGCAAACTTGTAGTGTAATGGTGAAGGCAGCTGCCCCTCTACGAAGGGACTCTGGGTTCAAATCAAGGACAGCAGTGCTCCACGCTGAAAATTACTGTTCTCACATAAATTTCAAGCTGTGCTTAATGAAAGAGGAAATCAAAAGTCCTTAAAAAAACAAACAGGGTTAGGCTCACCTGTGGTGTAGTGGTGAAGGTCCCTGCCTTTTGAATAAAAATCCTAGGTATGGTACATCCTGATGTGTCGACATGAGGCACAAAAAAACCTCCTCATACAGTGTTTCAAAGTGCTTTTAAAGAGGCAGAATCATACAGTAAAAGTCCAGTGGTAAAAAGGTTAAGACTACTGACTGCCAATGAAATGGTTCAGGGTTTGATTCCTGTTAGGGGTGAGAGCAAGGATGAGGCAGGGAGATAAAAAGGATAAGGAAGGGAAGAAAGAGTGAAGGAAACATAAGAGAAGAGGAAAAAAACAAGTTCAAATAAAAACTGAATAAAAAGAATAGTTATGTAAAATGTTATGTATTGCTCACAAAAATCAAGAGTCATTGCACACCCCTGCTTAAGAATACATGTGTGACACTTGTTGTCCAGCCTTGTGTCGTATATCTTAAGACATAGAGAGAAAAAGATTAGGAAAGGCCCTGTAACTATAATACCTCCAGGTTCTTGCACAAATTGAAGTCAATGCCTTAAATAATGACGGGCTTTATGGGTTTTTATTACTGCAGTTCCCGTGTGCATTCTCCCGTTCACTCCCAGGAGTGAGATAAGGCTGCTGCAGTGTCAGCTTAACAGTGTCACAATTTGTTTCACTAATTCAGCACTTGTTAATGTTACAAGATGTTATCCTTCGTTGTTGTAGCCACCATTTTTTTTTTAAGTCACACAGAAATCCACATCAGGGAAGCAATTAAACTGCGTTCTGTCTTTAATGAAAACTAGTTTATAGTAGTTTCCACACTGTTTTCATTCTGTGCTGCAGGCTCCTGTACTGTACTCTACACACACACTAGCTTATGATATGAACTGCTGATAAAACAAGTGCGACTGTGATTCATGGCAGCAGCAGTTACTTCGCTCTTATCTTCTTCCGGCCACATATTCTTCCCTAATGCCCTTGTTTGCCTTCGGAAACGTCCTTCAGATTTAGCTTCTTTAGCTACAGGAACTATAAGACTGCGTCATCCACCTGGACCTGTTTTTTCATCCTCACCAGCGCTCCACATGAGTGCCGGTGAGGAAGGTGTAGAGTGCTGTTTCAAACCAACAATAAGTGTTAGATTGAAACAGGTTTTAGGTCAATTAAAGAAAGAGTATTGATTCCTCTGTGGCTCTAAGTGGACTGCAGGAGTCAGCTAGTAAACCAAAAAAGAGCCATAAGTCAATTTTCTGCTCGTATCATTCAAGCTGTTGGTGTGTGTGCATGAAAGCGCAACAGTGTGGCATAGCCTGGCAGTGTGATGTATTTTTCTTGGTCTAAATCAGTGTCATATTTCGCCCTGCAGGAGTGTCTCACAAGGCAACTCATGGGGCCAAAGGCTGACACTGATCGACAAGGTGGCAAATAAAATTTTTTGCACTGATCCATCTTCAAGTCCTGGAGCTTTCACACTCAGTTACACATAAAATATGACTTACTCCGTCTTTCTGTTTCTCACTTCCTCTCTCTTTAGACTGCACATGCATGTTCTCCCATTTACCTTTGCAAATGTGTATGCGCCCGCACATAGGGCTTTTGGCTTTTGTTTCCCAGTGCTGATACAGTACTGCACTGTACCCAGTGTGCCAGAAACAGCAGAGAGATAATGACATCCTATACCGGAGGCTCTAATTAGACTGCACCGGAGCGCTCAGGAGAGAAGGAGAGAAGTGAGGGAGACATAGGAGGAGGAAAATGGGGAAGGAGGTGTTGAGAGAAAGATGTACTTAATAATGTATTTTTTCTGAGATCTGGATATATAGGGACAAAGTTTTACAGGAGAGATGACGGGAAGAGGGATGATGGGTTAGGTGAGGGAGAAGGAAAGATGTTTGTGCGAGTTAGCAGTAATGGCCAAGTGTTGTTGCCAGAACTGACAGCACTGCAGCGATAAAGACACCATTATGTGATTGCTTAATATCAGTTAACAGTTACACTGTTTTACAAAACAAATGACACTCAAAGAAGCAAGTCTGGAGACACCACTTTTTTAATCTTTTCTCTCTCATTAAAGCTCCCATGAGCAAGTTTCGATTTGCAACTTACACAAAGGTGTAACTTATATTCTAGATTTTAGGGTAAATTTCTCAGGTTCATACTACTGAGGTTAGCCAGAGTTGAGCCTCTCTATGAGATTTACAGTGGATCTGAGATAGGGCTGCACAATATTGGAAAAAACAATTCCATTTCTTTAACCGTGCAATATATATTGCGATTTTAAAAAAATACAGAAATTTTCACCGGAAGACCTGATGATGGCAACAGATGATGTTTTGGTCGACATCATCCTTCTTGTAACCGAAATAATTCCAGATAACTGACTTTCCCTTTCTTTTTGGCAATTTTCTGTGGTTTTCTCTTGTTCTTTGCTCATTTTGCAAACATTGTTGTTGTTACCAATGTTGTGCCGAAAAACACGTTTGCCGAGATTTTCATGCACCTCGCAAAATGCGCACTGCTTATAGTAAAGTAGTCCACGGAAATGTACAATTTAAAACCCTTACAATTCTTATTTGTAGGGCTAAACTGTGATGAGTAATGTGCCGAAGGTATTCTCGGTGGGTATGCGGTTCTCAGCACAACACCGGCAGCACAAGCAACTCACTCCATGTGCAGGGGTGTGTGGTTTTCTCCTCTCTGATTTTGATTGATGGCTGGCAGGGTAGTCTGATTGGCAAGAGTGACATGCAGTGTATCTCAGTCAGCTACCCCTAAAATTTTACGTAAGCTCTGCACTGTGACTATTGCGCACGCGTACATCGCGATGACGATGCTCAAACGATATATCGTGCAGCCCTAATCTGAGACTCAAGAGCAGAAACAGAGAAGAAATAGTCGTGCTTACTTTGCAGGCATACTTGAAGGAGCTTGTCTCCATTCCTAGAAGCACAGATCATCGTCAGGTAATTGCTGATGGGTCCTGCAATTGTTAGCCACACAATACTACATGAAGGGATGGATAATAAGTCAAACAAAACTCGTTTCACAATCTGTTTTTTCCAATTTTTTCAAGTCTTCTGACAGCTGTAGTTGTAGAGGAATATTTCCAGTTGCCTCATTTTCTCTACAGACATCATTTGTGTCCTGTTTGTCTCACTCTGTCTGGATTCTTCCACCACACCTGCCTGCACTGTCTGACACCTTCTGTATCTTTTCATGGAGATAATGGCCAAAATATGGACATTCATTCTGACTGTAATGAACAGCACGAACACTGTTACAGGCACCTCTTTAGCGGCAGTGAGAATAAATTCCCCCTCCAGTCGGTGATGGATTCTGCATCATTATTGGGTGCTGCAGAATCAATGAGAAGGCAGCCCTATTTTCCTGCTGGAGCCAATCTCTAGTATAACAAATTGGTGATTGTATCTATCTGATCCATTGCCGTCATTTGGCTTTGCGATGTCGTCTGCACTCAGATTTTTCTTCATCATTGGTCGTGAGATTCAAACAAAAAAAGCAGTGAAAAAAAAAACAAATGAAAAAGCTTTTTTATGCGTCTCTCCTTTTTATTTTGCATGTCCTTATTGCTTTAGTTGGAGAAATTTGGTGACAGGCATCTATCAGACGCCGCTCCATTGAATTCTAAGGGATATCACAGACAAGACAAATTGCAGTTATTATTTCTCAATGTGCTAACTCAGCAGGATGCACATGAGCAAAATTGAAATGGATGCAATCTGTGATACCATTTGTACCAGTTCATGTAATAAAAGCGCTCCGAAATCACAAGCCTGTCATCTTTTACAGCATAAAAGGGTGTATGTGGCAGTGTTTTTTCCACCCTCACATTACTCTGTTTTCCCTTTCTGCCAAAAAACAATTATTGAAAACACTTTTGTTTTTCAAAACTTTCAAGTACAGCCCATAACTCTTAGCACTTACAATTGCAGCCACGTCCAAAAGCTACATTTCAGCCTGAGCTGAAAAATAAAAGGGTTGGTTTCAGGTTTTACAGTTCATGCTGGCTATGCTCCAGTAGAAGCTGGATTTTCAGATACAGGAGTATATGTGCAGAGCTTCTGTAGTAGGTAAAGGGAACAATGAATCAATTCACTGCCTGGTACTTTTTGGCAGATGTAGTACAAGTGCTGGTTTGGTTTACTTTGCAGTCATACATCAAAAAGGATCATCTCTATTTTTTTTATTTCAGTATGAACCCTTTTTCACTGAAACCATACCAAGGACAAATCTACTGACTGCAGCTGTAATAGTATTTGTAACATAAAAATGATTGTGGTTGTATTGACTCCATAATAAGTATGAGCTTCTTGTGAAACTGCAACATAAACCAACAAAGACAGCAGCTTATTACTTGGATCATAAGTATAGTTAGTATAGTTTTATAAGTTTACTGTATTCCCCATCTGTTAACATAAGTGAGGCAGGCTTTAAACTATAGCTTAGGGTTGAGTGATACGGGAAAAAGTTTGTCAGGATACATTTTTTTCATATCAGTTGATATTGATATATATCAGGATATAAAAAATGAAATTTAACAGTGCTTATTGGTAGCATGTCTTTTGCAAAACAATAAGCAACTGCATCTGTGAGGTCTTTGTGTCTCTGACGTTTTGTCGTAAGGTGTTGAGCTACAGAAAGTGCAAATGAATGGTCAGCTGTTTTGGCTGCACAGGCGCCATGGGCTCCTTTCCCCGCTCGGGTTTTGCATTGCGCGTGCTCTGCTGCGTGGCACAGCTTCAGGTGGTGAAAAAGATTCGAGTATTCCCCGACTTTGCGAGAACCTTTACTCGACATAATTTGCAGTGTACATTACTCTGCTTCATGTCGACCTCAAAAATATTGATATAAAACTAATTTTCGATATATATCATTATCATTTTATCGCCCAGCCCTACTTCAGCTTTAGTCAGAGGGAGGAGCTCTGAACTGTCTGTTTCACTGTGAGGGAGCTTACAGGTCGTCCATCCTTTTTAAAGCCTCTAGGAAATAAATATGTAATCATATCTCTTTGTAAATGTTTGTCTAGCTAGCTAGCAATGATGCTGAACTGTACTGTATTTTCATGCAGTATCCAAGCAATTAATACCAAACATCCCAGAGTCTTAGTGAAACTTATTGAATGGAAGATTATTGATACCAATTTAAAGCCTTGGGAGAATTGGACGGCTTGTTTTCCCCTCCAATCCATTACCCCAGTCATGTTGTTGAAGCTGAGTTGACATTGCGAGGTCCATTATCTGGCTCCATCTGCAGCTTTCGTCTCTGGGCATTAAAAGCGTCACATTTCCCTGTCACAGATCGGGAGCGGTCCACTCATTAACTGTAATGACTGCGAGGGCTGTGCTCAGCAGACCAGAACCAGAGCTGTGATTGGGCGATCCGGGGCCTGATGAATGAGTGGCAGATGATGATGCAGAGGCAGTCAGGAAGTGTTAATTTCACAGAGGATAGCTTTTGTCAAGGTGGAAAACAAGGTGGATATTTCACTCAGCGGGAGATTGTTTTGGTTCATTTTCTGAAGGCATCTGTCATAGTTGGAAAGTCTTTGTTGATCTAAAAGTTTAGGCCTCTGTTTAAAGGGAGCGGTAAGTAGGAGACGTTTTCTCTATCTTGATAATCCAAAGATTGTGCAAAATGCCCAAAGTCCCTTTAAAGTTTAATAAGGTTGTGTGACGCTTTATCTTAACAGATATGGCTAATGAGGCCAAAGCTAACAAACTCTGTCCGTCTCTGAGTCCTCATTTGATATGCATGTGTAATGACTTTGTACGAGCAGCAGCCTGTCAGTCTTGTTTCATTACAGAGCTGCTATATCAGACAGTCAAATAATGAGTAAACTGCACAGAGCGTAATGAGAAGGTGCTGCAATCTTTTCTGTCACTCGTCTTTTCCTTTGTTTTGTTTGTCTTTTTCTTCTGTCATGTTTATTTTCATCATTTGATCTCTGCTTTTTCTCTCCCCTTTCTCTGCCTGGGTTCATTGGACAGATCTACCTGCGTTTTCTTGACTATGAAATGGCCAATTCCAATGAATGCAAGCGCAACTTTGTGGCGGTGTACGATGGTGGGAGGTATGACCTTTTCTGACATTTGTTTCTCTCTTTCTCTTTCCATCATACCTTAATCAAATCTATTCTTACAGCTTACATAAATGCTTTCTTTTATGAGCACTTATTCATTTTGAAATCTGGAAAAGACAAAAAGGCAAATAATTGGTTTGGGCAAGAAACAGTTTTACTGTCACTCAGACATTAGCCTCACCTGACCTCCTGAGTCACAGACTGGGACCTCAAGACCTTGACTGATTAACACTTCAGAAACAATTCAACAGAAATCTTTTACTTTTCTTTTAAAAGAAAAAAATTAAAGCTCCAGTGAGGGGTTTTTTAATTGTTTTGAAACAGGCTAAAATTGACAGCCTGTGTTTGAAATGCAAAAGAGACAGTGAGGAATTAAACTGATAATTTCTACACCATGAATTTTAATTCTGATAGCGACTGACAAAAAGGTTTCAAAAAACATTATTCATGTATGTTTAGAAAAGAATCAACAAAGAGGAAAGAGGCATTACTTTTTTATCGGGCGCGAATTCAACAAGAACGAAAAACTTCCCTTAAGTCACTCTTAGCAGACTACTGTCAGTCAAGCTCAGTTAAGCAAGCTCAAAACCTCCCCTTCAAACTTTAGCTTGCATACATTTCAATAGTAGATTAGACAAACAAATTGTAAGATAGTATTTAGAGAGCTCTATAAGAGCCAGTAGGTGGTTTTTAGCCTTTAGATGAAGCAAGGTTAACCTTTTCTCCTTGATCCAGTGCGAATGCTAAGCTAAGCTAACTATCTGCTGCCATTATTTCATAATTATGGTGGCCCTGAAGGTTAATGACACAAATAGGAAACAAATAAAATCATACAATATGAAAATTTTCAATAAATGCAAAAAAAATTCATATAATACACAAATATTTTACAAAACAAAAAAAAAATACATAAAGACAAAATATTTCAGAAACTTTGTGTTAAATGCTGCTGCCTACCTTGGCCAGGACACTCTTGAAAAATAGATTTTTAATCTCAATCAGTTCTGTTTCTCCTGTTTAAATAAAGGTTAAATTAAATTAAAAAAATAATATTTTAAATAAAAAAAAAACAAATGATGTGAAGATAAAAATAATTTGGGAATGCAAATACATTTTGAGAACAAAAATATTTAGGAAACGGCGCAAAAATGTTGTACACTCAAAACAATTTTGTAAACGAGAACATATTTTCTAAACAAAAATATTTGGGGAATTAAATTGAATTTTGTAAACAAAAAAAAAAAACAAAAAAAAAGAAACGTCCCTCAAAATTTAGTATTTTAAAATCTATTCATTTAAAAAGATTATTCTTGTTTTCAGAGTATTTTTGTTTCTTCAAAATATGTTTATGTTTATATCATTTATTTGTATTTTCTGAAATATATTGTGTATTCATTTGAAATATCATCTCACTTTGTAAAATGTTTGTGTGTTTTATGACATTTTTTTGTTGCCATTGACCTTCAGGGCCACCGTACAGATTAGACAAACAGCTATGAGAGAGTTGACTTAATTACAACAGCCAGACATGGGACACTTGAGTATATGACAAGATGAAGAGATATTTAAATCCTGATGAAAGGCAACAATATTTGATATTTTGAGATAAGGGTCTGTTTTATGCAAATATCAGAGCTACAAAAAGCCTTGAGACAAGTATACACACTTCAAAAAGCTCATTCACTATCTCACAATGTGGATTTTTGAGATCACTATCACACAATAAGAGCAACAATGCATGGCTGCTCTTGGGTTTTCTGAAATAAGGTGGATTATTGAAATTCAAATCAAGTAAGTGTTGTACTTGATGATAAACTCTGGATTCTTATCTTGTCCTGTCTCGTCTCAGTTCAGTGGAAGACCTGAAGAGCAAGTACTGCTCCACGGTGGCCAATGACCTCATGCTGGTTTCCACGCTTGGTGTCATTCGCATGTGGGCGGATGAGGCCAGTCGCAAGAGCCGCTTCCGGATCCTTTTCACAACCTACCAAGAACGTAAGGCTGCGCTCAAATTCACATCCATGTGCTGCATCATAAAGATGTTGGAGGCAGAGTGGCCGGTCTATTGAAGGGAGCTGATTAGCTTATGAATCAGGTGCTGTGACAGCAACATTGACACAAAAATAAAAAAGGTCAGGTCTTTAGTGGTGGCTGTTAAAGGAAGATGGAAGCATGGTGACCACATTTATGGCGAGTTATAACGGAAGCCATTCATAGGAGAGGGCCTGTCCCAGGTTCCCATTTAGTTTTACGACCATTTAAAATGCAGCGAGCGGAAAACCAAGGAATATGATTTCCATTACAGTGGAATACTGCCTATGGGTTTTGTGATAGTATCAGCTGATTTCAGCTCAACACCACAGCACTACTAGCTAATAGATAGATAAATAGGAAGAGGAGTAGTCTGAGACAAAGGAACACCAGGATGAGCTCTAGTGTGTCAACACCTGCTGTTTTTATTTTGAGCTAGACACCTGAGGTCCGTTTCACGTAGCAGGTTTAGTGGAAACTCCGAGTTTGTTAACCCTGACATCAGGGAAACTCTGAGTTTTCCGTTTCACAAAGGAGGGTTAGTTAAACCAGGGAGAGAGGGGTAACTCTAACCTGTTTCACAAAGAGAGGTAACTCAACCTCGCGGTCAGTTACCACAGGAACAGACTCCGTGAACCTAACCTGCTCGGGAGCAGGTTTAACTCAGTAAACCCAGAGTTTCAGGTGAGAGATCGGCATTTTCTCATTTTGATCAAGGTTTATTTTGTCAAATAAATGTTAAGTGGCAGTTTGATCCCATCAAAAATGCTCTTTTCACACTCAAAACTGAATTTTACTCTCTTATGATGTTCCGTTAAATGATTAGGAATATTAAACTAACACAAAAACGGGTGGTGGTCCAGCAGCCCCACCTTTAACGGAGGCAGAGGAGCTGCCCCCCCCCGTTCGACGATCGCGGCCGGTCCGATCGCAAATCCCCCCCACCCCCCAGACACACACACCAGTCCGACGATCGCTGCTACGGGGTGGGGGTTGCGATCGGAGGGGGCAGCTCCTCTGCCTCCGTTAAAGGTGGGGCTGCTGGACCACCACCCGTTTTTCTGGCATCTGCCCTCTTTCTGTTAGCTGAGTGAAAGTCTAATATTGAGTGTAGTGTGTGTTAGTTTAATATATGTACATATACATACTGAGAGTTAGTTTAATATTCCTAATCATTTAACGGAACATCATAAAAGAGTAAAATTCAGTTTTGAGTGTGAAAAGAGCATTTTCTAAGGGATCAAACTTAATACTTACTTGACAATGTAAAACATGATCAAAATGATTCAAGCAGTTTCCCTGCAACAGTCTGTCATTGTGATTGCACGAGACTAGATTTAAAGTAACGCATTGACGCGAGCAGCGATTTCCTCCCAAGCCCTCTCCCTCTCCTTTGCAGCTGCTGCTGTATTGCACGTTCTTTTAAAAACGTGCTGTAATTCGCTGTTGGCTTGCTGCTGCCCCCTCCTTCTCCCTGTTTCCATTGGTTGATCATTGAATCTGCGCTCCACAGATGCTGGCTGTTTATGTCTGGCGTGCACGTGCTTAACTCCAGGTCAAACTACTCGGAGTTGTTAAAACCGTCTCAAATCAGGTGTTGTGAAACCGGAAACTCAGAGTTTCCTAACTCAGAGTAGATCAACTCAGAGTTAAGGATTTAACTCAGAGTTTGTTGAACCACCTACGTGAAACGGACCCCTGGGGTCCGTTTCACGTAGCAGGTTTAGTGGAAACTCCGAGTTTGTTAACCCTGAAATCAGGGAAACTCTGAGTTTTCCGTTTCACAAAGGAGGGTTAGTTAAACCAGGGAGAGAGGGATAACTCTAACCTGTTTCACGAAGAGAGGTAACTCAACCTCGCGGTCAGTTACCACAGTAACAGACTCCGTGAACCTAACCTGCTCGGGAGCAGGTTTAACTCAGTAAACCCAGAGTTTCAGGTGAGACATCGGCATTTTCTCATTTTGATCATGTTTTACATTGTCAAGTAAGTATTAAGTGGCAGTTTGATCCCTTAAAAATGCTCTTTTCACACTCAAAACTGAATTTTACTCTCTTATTATGTTCCGTTAAATGATTAAGAATATTAAACTAACACAAAAACGGGTGGTGGTCCAGCAGCCCCACCTTTAACGGAGGCAGAGGAGCTGCCCCCCCCCCCCGTTCGACGATCGGCCCCCCCCCCCCCCCCCCCCCCACAGACACACACACACACCAGTCAGACGATCGCTGCTACGAGGTGGGGGTTTCGATCGTCGAGGGGGGGGCAGCTCCTCTGCCTCCGTTAAAGGTGGGGCTGCTGGACCACCACCCGTTTTTCTGGCATCTGCCCTCTTTCTGTTTGCTGAGTGAAAGTCTAATATTGAGTGTAGTGTGTGTTAGTTTAATATATGTACATATACATACTGAGAGTTAGTTTAATATTCCTAATCATTTAACGGAACATCATAAGAGAGTAAAATTCATTTTTGAGTGTGAAAAGAGCATTTTCTAAGGGATCAAACTGCCACTTAATACTTACTTGACAATGTAAAACATGATCAAAATGATTCAAGCAGTTTCTGCAACAGTCTGTCATTGTGATTGCACGAGACTAGATTTAAAGTTACCCATTGACACGAGCAGCGATTTCCTCCCAAGCCCTCTCCCTCTCCTTTGCAGCTGCTGCTGTATTGCACTTTCTTTTAAAAACGTGCTGTAATTCGCTGTTGGCTTGCTGCTGCCCCCTCCTTCTCCCTGTTTCCATTGGTTGATCATTGAATCTGCGCTCCACAGATGCTGGCTGTTTATGTCTGGCGTGCACGTGCTTAACTCCAGGTCAAACTACTCGGAGTTGTTAAAACCGTCTCAAATCAGGTGTTGTGAAACCGGAAACTCAGAGTTTCCTAACTCAGAGTAGATCAACTCAGAGTTAAGGATTTAACTCAGAGTTTGTTGAACCACCTACGTGAAACGGACCCCTGGGGTCCGTTTCACGTAGCAGGTTTAGTGGAAACTCCGAGTTTGTTAACCCTGAAAACAGGGAAACTCTTGAGTTTTCCGTTTCACAAAGGAGGGTTAGTTAAACCAGGGAGAGAGGGGTAACTCTAACCTGTTTCACAAAGAGAGGTAACTCAACCTCGCGGTCAGTTACCACAGTAACAGACTCCGTGAACCTAACCTGCTCGGGAGCAGGTTTAACTCAGTAAACCCAGAGTTTCAGGTGAGACATCGGCATTTTCTCATTTTGATCATGTTTTACATTGTCAAGTAAGCATAAAGTGGCAGTTTGATCCCTTAAAAAATGCTCTTTTCACACTCAAAACTGAATTTTACTCTCTTATGATGTTCCGTTAAATGATTAGGAATATTAAACTAACACAAAAACGGGTGGTGGTCCAGCAGCCCCACCTTTAACGGAGGCAGAGGAGCCCCCCCCCCCCCCCCGTTCGACGATCGCGGCCGGTCCGATCGCAAATCCCCCCCCCCCACAGACACACATACACGCACACCAGTCCGACGATCGCTGCTACGAGGTGGGGGTTTCGATCGTCGAGGGGGGGGGCAGCTCCTCTGCCTCCGTTAAAGGTGGGGCTGCTGGGCCACCACCCGTTTTTCTGGCATCTGCCCTCTTTCTGTTTGCTGAGTGAAAGTCTAATATTGAGTGTAGTGTGTGTTAGTTTAATATATGTACATATACATACTGAGAGTTAGTTTAATATTCCTAATCATTTAACGGAACACCGTAAGAGAGTAAAATTCATTTTTGAGTGTGAAAAGAGCATTTTCTAAGGGATCAAACTTAATACTTACTTGACAATGTAAAACATGATCAAAATGATTCAAGCAGTTTCCCTGCAACAGTCTGTCATTGTGATTGCACGAGACTAGATTTAAAGTTACGCATTGACGCAAGCAGCGATTTCCTCCCAAGCCCTCTTCCTCTCCTTTGCAGCTGCTGCTGTATTGCACTTTCTTTTACAAACGTGCTGTAATTCGCTGTTGGCTTGCTGCTGCCCCCTCCTTCTCCCTGTTTCCATTGGTTGATCATTGAATCTGCGCTCCACAGATGCTGGCTGTTTATGTCTGGCGTGCACGTGCTTAACTCCAGGGCTGTGTCCGAAATGGCCTACTACTCCTACTACTCCTACTAACCCCGCCTCTGAATTGAGTAGGCAGTGCGTTCACACTGTACAGTATGCGAATTTTGTGTATGCGAGAAATGCCCGGATGTATACTCAATCGGCTTCGATTTCTGAGTGTGCAACGGAGCTTGCTTCACGTACTGCTTCTGCCCCACAATGCATTGCGCACCTCAGCTGGTAATATGGCCCTCGAGGCTGAAAAGAAATAGATGGCATGTGATTGCAATAATAATGATATATATATAAATAGATAAACAATATTTAGTCAGTATCGGTACACAGTTTTCATCATTTTATCATATTTTGATCTTTTTACCAGATTTATTTGTATTTTAAATTAGGATTATAGGTAATGTTTTTTAACTATTCGTATGAATTGACTTTATTTATTTAAGTGTCTATTAAAGATGTATTTATTACATCAAGTTTGAGCATCTTCTCATCTCTGAATGCATCATCAAAGTGGTCGCTCATATTAAGCACAGACCTCTGATTAATAAAAATTATCTTTGGTAGAGAGCACATGGTTCAGAATATACAAACGGGGGAGTTTCCAGTTGACAATCTATGTGAGCTTTACTAATTCTTACTTGTGATTGAAAATCTGATGGTTTCTGAAATAATCATTGTACATTAAAAGAATGTAGTCGGGAAATGATGTATTTGCCGAGGAATAACCGAACAAGGTCATAATAATTATGTTGTGTGTTGGTCATTTTGCAGCCCTCTGCTGCTCATCACACGGCCAGCAGGTGGTGTATAGCATTATCACCATGGATACACGGATGTTTGTATGATTTTTTTCATCCACTGCCGCCCGGTTTGTGTCGTGTAGATGTTGATTATGAAAACACCGCAGGGGGAGCTGCTGCTGCCCGGTGTTTACGGTAAATAGACGCAAACACCGACCAAGTGGACGCTTCGGTCTCCGAAAACGCCGAGACAAATTTACAAACAACCACTATTTCAAACAACTGGGCTCATAATTGTGATGTAAACACTTACTTTCTCGCTAGAAAAAATATTATTATTGAATGAATTTATATAATTTGTCCGGGATGCAGTCGTTCTGTGTAGCTTGTGGTAGGACTATTTAAATTTTCCCGGCGCTGCGTCCGGCCGGCACGAAATGCATTCTGGGGTATTTAGTATGTATGTATGTAAACGCTCGGGCAGCCGCGGCATACTCAAATCCTCTTTGAGTAGTCAGTAGGCAGTAGCTACTGCTTGAGTAGGTAAGTAGATAGTAGGCAGTATGCCATTTCGGACACAGCCCCGGTCAAACTACTCGGAGTTGTTAAAACCGTCTCAAATCAGGTGTTGTGAAACCGGAAACTCAGAGTTTTCTAACTCAGAGTAGATCAACTCAGAGTTAAGGATTTAACTCAGAGTTTGTTGAACCACCTACGTGAAACGGACCCCTGGAGGGGATTCAAATCCATACATACACTCAGAGTTCACAAACACAGCCATCCTCTATCAGCAGCTCTTCATTGATGGAGATCTTAGTTTGACAGGGGTCACAGAGGGCATTCTTTATACTACAGAGCTGCAGGAAGAGAGTCTGTAAGTAACAGTGTGTCTGTGTCTTTTAGTGGATCATAATGCCAAGATTCACACCCACACCCACAGAGAGAGTGCAGATTGTTTGAAGACATGCTGATCTAAATTAGAGTAAAATTGACTTCTCCTGCACACAGCACAGTTAGTCTGGTTGAATGAAAATCATCAATATCCAATGCACCTCAAAGAACATCAGTATCTTACATATCTACCGTATGTCTGTATGGTCCTCATTGTTTGTGTTATGTGTTTACTGAAGCGATACAAAGAGATCAGTGGTTAGTTTCTGCACAATAGGTGACGACAGTGGCAGCAGAGTTGTTTATGATGTGAAGTCAGTGTCCCTTTTGTAAGGCCTTTTCACCAAGCAGAGCCAGGATGTGCTGTTGCCAGGGCAACGCTGCTGTCCAAGTCACTTGGCGATCCCCAGCCAGACCTCAGAGCCTCTCGAGCAGCATCCAGCACAGCTCAGCAGCACTGCAGTAACACTGTCAGCATGAGTGTGTGCAGGTGTGACAGAGAACTGGCAAACTCTAGCAGGAAAAAAACACAGTCTAGTGTCCGGGCTTAACTTTTTTGAGTGTGCGTAAACTTCCTGAAAGAAAAAAGGCCTTTCTTCTTCAACTATTTTGAGAGTATTCCTACAGATGCACGGACCCAAGGGTTAAATGACTTGAGCAAAGCTGATATGGCATCATCATAACTTATACAAGAGCTTAATATATATTTTTTCTACTTCCACTAAAAAGTCATTTAATTCCTCTCCTCAGGTAAAAAAAGAAGACATTAACTACCACATCTGAGCATGTGCTGTGTTTCAGGTGTTCTCATTGGTTACTGCTTGGATCTGCAGCTTAAGGCCACTTTTTTTTTTTTTTTTACAATAAGTGCTCCCTTGCTAGCACATAAACACTTATCCCATGTGTTTATGTGTTTGCCCACAGCTGCTGGTGCCCAGTGGGACCAGCAGCTTTTAGAAAACCATTCACAGCAGCTGACTCCCAACATGATGTTCCGATGGGAAGAGCAATGCTCGCATAGGCAAACATCCAGCTTTATGGTCCGTGCTGTGCTTATACCTGCTGAGACGCCTAATCCTGCTCAGCTTCCAGGCACACGAATGCACCCATACTTACACACAAACACACAGCACTACAGCATAAGGTTACCAATTAGAAATGTAAAATGTAAAGCCTATCTGTACCCAAGACACAATTATGTCTTGTGTGATAAATGTTCTTGTGTGACATCTCAGCTGTCAGCACTGTTACGCCTCATCGACAGATCCCTGTCTCTGGGGCCGCAGATTGAAATTTGCTCCAGCTCAACCGCACACATCTCTTCTTGTTTTTTACAAAGCTTCTGTGCTGTGTGCAGGAAAGTATTTCAGAACAACAGAGTATGTGAATAATGGCTGTGAACATACAGATCTTTCTAGGTCTGAGATAAGATACTATCATCTGTAACAACTTGTAATGTTTGTTTACTCTAAAGTGGATGGATGGATGGATGGATGGATGGATGGATGGATGGATGGATGGATGGATGGATGGATGGATTAATAAATGATGAATGGGTGGATGGATGTACGCATGGATGGATGGATGATTATATTCATGGATGGATGATTATATTCATGGATGGATGGATAGATTAATAAATGATGGATGGATGGGTGGATTAATAAATGATGGATGGATGGATTAATAAATAATGGATGGATGAATGGATAAATATTAAATGATGGATGGATTAATGATGGATAAATGATCGATGGATGGGTAGATGGATGGATGGATCAATAAATGATGGATGGATGGATGGATGGATTTATGCATGGATGGATGGTTGATGGATGGATGGATGTATGGATGGATGCATGGATGGATATATGCATGGATGGATGGTTAATGGATGGATATATGCATGGATGTATGGTTGATGGATGGATGTATGAATGAATGGATGGATTTTTTTACTAGTTAATGGATGGATGGACAGACAGATAAACAGATGAAATTATAAGACTACAGGCGGGTAGATGATCAAAAAACAAAATGAGTTGTGGGATTTAGATAAATGACAAATGCATTGATAAATAGTTTGATGAATGGATTAATTAATTGATTAAGCTATCATTGAATAAATTAGTTAATGGTTTGGTTTAATTAAAACGATTTTTTAATAAAACTTGTTGTGTTGGAATTTATTACGACTAAAAAAGAGAAATTTAAAGCGACCTGATTTGTGGGATAAGACAAGAGATTTTTTCTGTGTATTTCTGTACTTCAAACAACTCAATCTTTACCCTCTCCTTGCGTCAGGCAGGAAACAACAGTAAATATATAGCATTAAATGCATCTTAAATGATGACATATGAATCAGTTTAGAAAAGTGACAGTGATTTTCTACATTAGAGGAAATGATGGATGACATTTGTGCAGGTTGAAGCGCTTAGATGAAAACCATTTTGATGGCTAAAGGTACATCGTCAATGTCTCCTCGAAAAACTCCAACCACTGTCGTACAGAACAAAGAACACAAACCATAGATCCGTGATGGTTATTTGATTTTTAAAAATTCATTATAGCAATATGTTTCTTCCAGCACTTCACTGCAGAATCTCTTTCTGCAGAGGCAGCCAGCCTTTTTTCATCAGCCACTCATTTAGGAGTTAATTTATGCTACCAGCAGAGACTGTGAACATCTCTGTGTGGGCAAAAGGGCACTTTTATTACAGAATGTCTTGAAATTAATTTTGCAGGAGATTAGTGCAGCTCACACTTTTTATAACGTCTGGTTTCACCCTGTGGTGTTTCGAGCAGCCAGAAGGACTCGACGGCAGAAAGAGAAGGAGTGAGCTCCCTCTGCTGGAAGATTACTGTCACTGCTTCAGCAAACATAGCATAAAAGAAAAAAAAAGATATTGAGAGGAATAGAGGTGGAGGGTGAAATGAGAAGAAGAGCACTGGAACACACACAGACAGAGAGACACCATGAGTCATGAAATGTTGGCAAAGTCTCAAACAGGATGGCATATAGAGACAGAAAGAGATAAGTCACTCTAATTTGGTGTGTTATTATTCACTTGGGATAAGTGCCGGGATGAAAACAGCCATACATCACAGTGGTAACACTGTCACATAGTCCCCAGCTCTGCCATACCACTGGCAAGCTACTTCAGTACCCAGTGCCAGTGAAAGATAAAGAGAGAGCAAGAGTCATACAGACTGAGAGAGGGAGGGAGACGGAGGCAGCTAAATAAAGCCATCCATTATGTGCAGATGTCATTGACAAACAACTTTTGGGAGCTTTCATTTGGAACTTTGGACTTCAGGAATGAAAGTGGTCTCTCAGTACTTTTGCCCCTCATATAATTTCTATTTTGAGTTAAAGGTTTTGATATATTATGGATGATATATCATATATTATTAAAAAATACAAATAATAAATTCATAATGCATGATACTATGTTTGGAATTCACTCAGCAGTATGTACTGCATCTCAAATGACCCCACCCTCAATATCACTAAGAGGATTAGTTTTTTTAACTACATATTTCTTTGTACTTTTTGTTCAGTGACCTTTTTTATTTAGTGTCGTATCGCAAGTTTTTCTTGAGATCTTCAACTGTTCTTTTGATTTGCATGTTATTATGTATATCAGGAGAGTTCCAGATAGCTAACATTTTCTCACGACTTTTCATACCTACCCAAATATAACAGTTTTCTCTAAGATACATCTAAAGAAAAAAACAAGTTGGATCTTCTTATTTTGGATCAGGCCTGAATAGCAAACAAAATCCATTATCACCCTGACTGTACATCTGCTGTAATGTAACCAGAGATATTCTAAGGCCGCTACAGTTTATGGATCCTGTAACGTATTTCAAAGGATGGCTGTGAAATCACATTTTACACTGTAGATTAAACAGGTCACAGCACTTTTACTGTGGTCATGATGACATGGCACTGTTCCCCGCCATGATTGACGTTAGGGGGCAATAAATGGGCCAATCACAAGCGTGTGCATTAGTTTGATTGGTTTTTGAGAGAAAGGGCACCTTGGCTTTAAATTAAGTAGTTTCATCGTCATATATGTTACGACGGAGCTTGTTACATTATAAGACTGGTTTTACGACCATGTCTTGCTGGTGGGCGGCTCTTTTTTTTATGTCATCATCACAGAAAGGTTGAGATAACAGTGTTGTGTCCAAGAGAACCCTCATTGGGAAGGTTTTTGTCTGAGGAAATACTCATATTTTTTGTCCTGTTATCGAATTCTGTCGACCAGGGAGTTGAAAACAAACAAAAACCTGCGTAAATAGGGGAGATTTAATTTGTTTGTATGTGCAGAGGACTGTGAAATGTCATGGCTTACTCTCTAGACAGAACACACACACATACACACACACACACACACATACACAAGGAATTCATTCATATCCGCAAGTTGTCTCTGCAAATGTTTGAGGGGGCGGTGGTATGGATGAAAATTCATGAAGAACAGATGGGTTCTGGGGGAAACAGGTTCTGATGTGAGTAATGCCCGTCCAAATTTATCTCCTGAAAAATCTGGCTCACTGGAACTTCTCCTCAGCTCTACTTCAAATACTGATTGGTGCTGCAGCATTACCAAATGTCTGAAGTATTAACTACTGCCACTGATGAGAACTTTAATAAAAAAAAAGTAAAAAAAAAAAAAAGTTTTACTGCCTGCGAGGATGAGATGAAACTTTGATTATGAGCCGCATAACCTCACTGCTAATTTTCTTTGTCCTCTCCCCAGCTCCATGTGATGCAGATGCCTTCTTCTGTCACAGTAACATGTGCATAAACAACACCCTGGTGTGCAATGGCATGCAGAATTGCGTCTACCCCTGGGATGAGAACCAGTGCAAAGGTGAGATATTGCATATAGAGCAAGAGTGTTTCAGCACCATGGAGAGAGACACTGTAAGGGGGGCTACGGTTGATGTTTCAGCACCATGGACAGCGACAAGACGTCAGCTCCATCAATAAGCTTGAAATGAATTGCTGTGCTTTGTTTCCAAGCTTGATACACTTCTAAAACTGACACCTCTGGTTCTGCTGTTGGAAGTGCCAGAGCTGTTTTTATTAATACCTCCATGACACCGTTTGTTCTGTTTCGCTGTATTGTGTTCAATAGCTGCAAGTAAAATAACATGTTTCAACTAAACAACCACTAATAATGACAAAACTTTTACTGAAGGTGGTATTATTGATATTTAAAAAGCTTTCATGTTCCAGTCAAAGCCTTTTTCCTTTGTTTAAAGGTACTTAACATTTTCAGTGAGCCGTCTCAGTGTAATGGACTCTCAAATGAGCGTGCTATTTTCTGCCAGAGTAAGAAATTTCTGAATACCCTTTTCTTCTGTTTTTCTAGCTCTTTACACTGATTGAAGTAGCGGGTATTAGATGAAAAAAGATGTCATATACAGTATGCCTGTGCAGCCTTCCTTTAGAGCCAATCTAAAGAAGTATGGCTGTACGGTTTTAAAGTGTGCTTAAACCATGTTTCCATTTCTTTCTAAGTAAGACTTTGTACGTTCCCTGACCTTGCGAGGCTGAATCCTATTCCCTCACTCCACTTAATACTTTTGAAGCCCCTGGATCTGTACATCAATCCCTACTCTCTTGCCACAACAGCTGCGCATTTGACTGAAACTTCCACCTGAGTGCACACTAAATGCAGCATCTCTATAAGTAATGACAGTAGTAATTAGCTGAGAAGTGTGAACTCTTGTCTCAAGTCTGTTTTCTCTGCTTTATATTGCCAAATAATTAGGCTAGTCCTCATTTCCTTAGCCTTTAATGACCCATCACTGCTTCCAAGTACATAAAGTCAGATGAGATCTACTCTTTAGTTTCTGTCAGCCCTCTTGCTTTGAAACCCGCACAGCGATAAATAAATGTGGTTCTGATGCTAATTAAACTGTCGTGCTTGGCTAAGACTTTAGACGTGTTCTACTTAGTTTTACTTTCAAACAAATACAACCACGTACCCTGTGCAGTGTCTCATCATTAGCTCTTGTTATGCAGTGAGTTTCTGGCCCTATAGTTCCTCTTCTTCTTTTAGCTGGGACAAGCAAAGATGCCTGTGCAGCATGCAGGACTGAAACTCTGAGGCTTGAACGAAAACAAATGACAAATTGAATCAATTAAGTATAAATGAATCTCGTATGATTGATTCCTCATTCGGATTGAGTTACTGTTCCACTCTAAAGTCTGAGATTGAAACTGTGCAAAAGCCAGCATGAGGAGGCCATGTTTCTCAGCCTGTTACTCTGCGCTCCGCCTTGTCTCCACTCTAGTAACGCATAGAACTTTTGCAGTGCCCACATTTGTCCTCATTAGCGCTAAAATGTCAGGCTGTATTTTGCTCTCCTTTCACACCTCTGAATGTAGCCGTTCAGTGTCATTGAGGCGTAGTTTGCAGTGTTACTTGTTCATCCAGCATTTAAATGTCACAGTTCTCATGGCTCTCTACACACTGTTAGTCTGTGCTACTACGTTGGTTTCTCTTGTGATAAAATGTCTCTCGCTATGACCCCAAAAGACCCTTTTTTCCCCTCATGTTTCTGATTGCACATGAAAGCTGTGACCTTTACTTTGTACAGGATTAGGTCCATTTGTTAGAAGACTTTTTTCAACCGCTCTCAGGGCCCCATCTCCTTTGGTCTGTGTCGATCTGCCTGCCAAAATTTCTCTCCACGCAGAGCAAAAACTTCGATATTGTGTATTTCTCTGACTTCAAAATGCCTCCTTATACTTACTTTAAGCCACAAATATCTGACAAGTCTGGATGTAACATCTCATTTCAACAGATTATAAACAAGAAACTAAAGCTGCAGCCTGCACTGAAGTGTGCATGTTTGGGTTGCAGCAGCTACTTTAGTCCACTAGGCACAAATATGTGACTAATGTTATCAACCTGTTGAGGCTGTGATTTTTAGCATAGGGGAGAGTGGGCTAAGTTGAGCCAAAGGGTAAGTTGAGCCACCCCCTGTTGCTTGGAAATTGTAAAAGAAATTGATCATGTGACCAAATATTTAGGAGATGGGCGTCAATTCATGGAGTCTGTGAAGGTTAGAAACACATGGGTGAAGGGTTAGACATTTAATTACAAAAAAAAAATGTTTCACTCTTGAAAGTGAATTTAGTCTGTCATAAGTTTTATTAGAATTGTGTTCAGACCAAAAAATATCATTTTAAATTTGTTTTATACATCAATTGTGGTATCTATGAGCTACAACATGAGGTCAAAAACCTAACATTAAAGTCCACCATTTTAGCTTAGAGGACTAATAAAGTCATCATAGTAGTTCTGGGGTAAGTTGAGCCAGCTGCTCAACCGACAAAGTAAAGGAGTCTGATGAGAGGATCAGAGTTTCAGTTCAGATTGTTGAAGTGTGTTACTTAAAGTCATTCTCATGTTAATGTGTTTTTTTTCTACATAACAGCCTTTAATCAGTTATATGCAATAATAATAAAAGGAATCATTGTACCAGTTGAATAGTGTATAATAGATAAATATACACATGAATGTGAAGAAGTGACTGTTATTTAGGGAGAGAGAAGGTGAGGGAGGGCTGGGGTGGAGGGTGGGGGGTCGGTCAGGAAATGGCTCAACTTACCCCATTCACAGGGTAAGTTGACCATGGGAGACCACTTTTTTTTGGCACGTTATATTATCAAGACAGTTATGTTTACACTAATTCTGTTAGTTTGCAGGGATGAACAACATCTTGAAATATATGCAGATACACTAGTTAGAGACAAAACTATGATTGCCTTGATGTAGTGATCTGAAATATGAAAAATGGCTCATCTTACCCCACTCTTCCCCATGTCAGAGGTTCTATTTATATAGAGCAAAGTTTACTTAAAAATATATTGGCTGTAACCAGTAGATGGCACTATAATTGACCTAAACTGTATGCGTAGATGGATTCAGGTAACCCAGATTTGATTTCATATGTTCTGCAAACCTTGTTAAGCTCAATAGAGATTTTTCTTGTTCTTTCTTTTTTTACTACTTTACAGAAAAAAGGAAAGCCAACATCCTGGACAACCTAAACAACACAAATGGGACAATTATTGGTGTCACTTGTTGTATCGTTCTGATCCTCCTCATCGTCTCTGTCATCGTCCAGATCAAGCAGCCCCGTAAAAAGTACATCCTGCGGCGTGAGGACTTTGACCCCACCATGTTCCAGGAGGTCTTTGAGCCGCCTCATTATGAACTGTGTACGTTACGGAGTGCCACAGCAGCAGCAGCCACCTCAGCAGACTTGGTAGATTTGGCAGAAGACTTTGAGAATTACCACGCCCTCCGCCGTGCCTCCTCCCGTTGTGTCCACGATCACCACTGTGGCTCCTCCTCCAACCCCGGCTCTGCCCACATATCCCAGTTGTCACTCAGTGGACGAGGGAGCCGGGGAAACTTGAGCGCAAGAGACGCGGCGGCGGCCACCCTCCTCACAGACCTTCCACAGCCGCCCATGTCGGTGCGGCCCTTGCTGCCGACTACAGGAAACCGCAGGAGCATCTTGGTCATGAAGCACAGCTATTCGCAAGACGCGGCAGACACTGGATGTGACCTGGACGACGACCTGGACGAAGTTCCAACCACCAGCCACCGGCTTTCACGCCATGAAAAGGCAGTACAGCGGTCAGTATCCATAGATTTCTGATGAGGAAAAGTCAACATCTGTGGGAATGTTTGAAATGTGTGGAATACTTACATTTTTATTTCTTTCTGCTTATTTTAGCTTGGTTCTCACTCTAATTCTCTCATTTATTTTGAGATTACGATAAGCTTTTCGCATTGATTCTCGTTCTTCCCTCTTCTTTTTTTAATATAAACCTTGTCTTTATTTTCACAAAGGGCTAAACTATGATCCTGCATGCCCATCTTTTAAAATGTCTAGTACCCCTCCTTGTAGCTTTCCTGATATGGGGATTTACAGCTCTTATTTATTAACTTCACTTTAGTCAAGGAGGTCTTTAAGCAAATATGAACCTCATTTTATAAGAAAATAATTTTGTTATTAATCCAGATTTAACTGCTAACACAAGGGCTTCAAGTGGTGCTTCACATGGATTAACTCCCCGCTAATCACTTAAAATTATCAATTTCTCTGTCTAGCTTTGGTACTGATATCAAATAATGCTATAGATATCAGTGTTAGATATTAGATATTTTTGGCATGAATGAGATTTTATATGAAAGACGAGGTATTTTACGGTGTAATAGCACCATGACTGCTTGTAGAATAACAGTACATGTTTACACAAACACAATATAAAGGTATATTTTGGCTAAAAGTAGATAAGAGCTACTTGTGCATGCACTTTCTAACTGTGCAGGGTGTTCTTCTTGACTGTTGATTTGATTAATTTTCTACAAGTTTGCATGCAAAGCTCGTGGAAACAAGACAAGTTTATTGCTGTGATGTGGTAGCACATTGTGCATTCTGACCTCTCTATGCAAAAGGAGTTTGATATTAAATGAAAGAGCCGTGACATTTCAGGTTCTGCCTCATTGGCTCTTTGAGCAAACATGAATCAGAGTACAACACCACTAGGGTCTAAGAGACAATCTCAAGGTAAGCACCCTTATCCAACAATCAACTTCTCTATATGTTGTGTAGTCATCATTTGCCCAGTCAGTATATACTTTTATGTAAGTTCTTTTTTGTGATTTTTGCGCGGGTTTTTTTTGTTGATTATTTTTGTGTTTTTATTATTGTTCATTTTCACCAAGATGGTTTCCTGCTTGCAGCCATCTTGCCCTCCTACTGAGTTTGTTTGAAGTCTTTGTGATGCTTGAGTTTACTGTATGTCCTCCTGAGGTCATACATCCCTTTACTCAGTGATTTCTCATTAGCATGGACTTTTTTTTTTTTTTCAAATCATCTTTAGTTGAGGCTATTTTTTAATAAATACTGTATGTCTAACCTGTGCACTTTCTCCCTGTAGGCCTGCTGCATAAAAAATATTAGCTCTATCAAGATACTTGTAAAGTTTACATAGATAAACACATTTTAAAGCAGAATCAACGCCGGTTGTTTTTCTGCTAATAAAAGCACATTAACTGTTTTCACACAGTGGCTAGTTTGCTCTGAAATGATGCTAAAGAGGGTTAGATCAAATAGTCTTAATAAAGTTAAACTTTTGTTTTATATATCAGCTCAAAGCTACATAATCTTTCCACCGAAGTTGCTTAAATCAAAACAGCGAAAGGAGAAGAGAGAAGACTTTAGATGAGCTCACCAGGATCTTCACATAACCAAATAACTAAGCAAATCATTTGACAGGTTTACAGATTCCCCCACTGTCACTATTACAATGCCAGGTCTCTTAAAAACAGTACATGCAAAAGAGTAAAACATTTAGTTTATCTGGCAAGCATGTCAGCACTGTGATTCAACTGTAGCCCCGCCCACAAACAGACACTCCTGCTCGCACGTATCGTTTCAATTAAATACAGCTATAATGGAAAAAAATTCTTCAGATAATTACAGATAATTATGCACATGTTACTGGGCCCAGTCAATGTGAAAGTAAAAAGCACTGGTGCTACTGTAGATGTCAACAGACTACCAGCAAACACAATGTTTGCAGGACCTCTACAACTAGGATAAAGTGACATACTCCAGGACCCGAGGTCAACAGTTAAGCGGTGCTACAACATGCAGCAGGTCCCGTTTGACAAGAAACACTTCCGTTATAGACACTTGGCTTACTTTGTTAAAGCGGTTTACCTGTCCAGCAGAAAGGTTACAGGATCCGTAAGATCCTGAAGCGTCCCCTATCGTTCCTGCTGATATTGACCCAGCTTCTTAGCTAATGGCCGGCTTTTTAAGCGCCCGTTATTCCACCAGAGTCTCCGGTATTTACTTCATTTTCTTGCTTGTGTTGACAGTCGTGGCCAAAGGAGGATTCAGACAATTTTCTCTACTTTCTGGTTGGTTTCTACTGTTCAATATTGTAGCACGCTAACTTTGTTTGGGCTCATGCAGGACTCGGGGGAGTAGCATCTGCCTCACAACCAATCAGGTTGGGGAGGTGGGGAACAGCTTTTTTTACAGTCAGAAAGAGCGGAGCGCTCAAAATTTTAAAATGTTGACTACACAGACATAAGAAAACACAGCGATATCTTTATATTACCAAATGTCATCAATAACTAATCGCTAAAAAAGATGTTTCAGTAACAGATTCCTGCCTACCTCACCTTTAACTGTTACTTAACTTGTTACTAACTCTATACTTAAAACTAGTCACTGCTCTATAGCTAGTATTAACTGTTGTTTTCTTAATTGTAGCGAATGCGTCATCAAATATTTGTTCTAAACTGAAATATGGCCACAAGATTTTTCACTTCTTATTGCCTCTGCAGTTGCTAAACGTTTGAGAAGACATTCTATCATTACTGCAACCCATGAACACATCAGCCAGACACTGTCATAGCGTTCCGCCCCCCACACTGAGTTTGATTTCAGAGCAAAACAGCAGCTGTGTTGATTTAGTAAACTGAGATAGTTTTTTAAATTAGTTTAAAGGTCTTTGTGATACACAAGCCCTTACAGAACATGTGCTTATGAATTTCTCTGTAATTTCGCATGACTGCTGTCACTTGTAGCATTTGATTTTGTGTTTGGTTAACTGTGAGCCATATTTATGCCTGTGTGTAACAGTTACTGTGATTGCTCCATGACTCAGCTCCCATGAGGCTGCAACAAGCACCATAGATTTATCAAAAAAGACATTGGATTGATATTTTTGGAGTAAAGCAGGTAAAAATAGTAAATGCTTGCAGCTTCATGCTTGTATGTGATGGAGCATCACACAAAGTGCTACCCATTGTTTCGTCTTTTAGTGTGAAAAATGTGCTGTCCTGTTGTGTGTGTGTATGTGTGTGTTTGTGTGTCTGCTTATGTTTTGCATTATGTTGCATTGTCTCCATCATGTAGACTTCTTGAGAATAGTGCAATCCTGGATCAGTACGAACGGGCGTCACTGAGATATGAAAAAACGGAGCGGAGGTTTACACCAGCATGATGCTGATGATGATGATGATGATGATGATGATAATGAAGGGACACTTTTATGCCAGAACACTGAATTTGTCTACTATGGGACAAGAAATTTCTTCAGCTGCAGCGCTGTCAAAGTTTTGAAATAACCTGGCTCTGTGCACATTGTAGTAAATCCAGATGTTTTGTCTAACTAGACTCACATATGGACCCTTGCAGTGAACTTGACCTCATTATTGAGACTTTTAATTTGTAATGTTAGTCAGAAACATGTTATTGTCATAGATTTCTCACTGATAACAAAATGAATGTGATACAACATCTTTCAGTTCATTTTTACAGCATGTGTTTTTAAAACAATGGCGAACCTATGATTTAAAATGCGAATAATTAATGCTTGCAGTTTGTCATTTCAAGGAAGATTTTTATCAGTGAAAAGCTCAATGAATTGATAATTAACCTAAACAAATCTAACATTGTTGGAATAACCTGGAGCAGTTTAATTTGGCTAACAACACTTGTGCATGCTCATTTATAGCCTTAAAAGCATTTACATACTAACATTTAAAAATGAAAATCATCCATTTACTAATGCACAGGTCATGAGGACATGAAATAGATGAAAAAAGCATCTTCCACGTGTATTGCATTGCATGTCATTGTTTAGCCTAGTCTTTAAGAACAAGAAAGTAACACACATAACATTTCATCATTTTTATGTTCAAAACAAACTCCCTTTAAAATACCTTCACCAACTTCCTGGCAGGCTTCTTTTCTATTTTTATTTTCAATCGGCAATGTATTTACTTCAAGTCTGTTTGTCCTCTCTCTTCTTCTGTAGGAGCTTAATGTCTTTGTAATAAAATACAAAACTTTTATACTTGGGCTAAATGAAAGGATGACAGTTTTTACGGTTCTTCAAGTTACCTTTCGGGGCTGATTTTACTGATGCTTTGTAAAATTCAAATCAATAAAGCTTCACGTTTTTCTTTGTTTTATTGATTTTGTTTAGTAGTTTCTCTGTCTTTTTATACCTGTCCTTAAACTGTCACATGTTCATGTCTCACATGTGTTTGAGGGTGTTAGTGGACTGGTTTGCCCTAGAAAGAAAGGATGAAATAAATTCCACAGACAGATACTTCAAAAATACACAAATAGACTTTTTTGTGTTTGTCCTGATGTGACAGATCTGATAGAGTTTAGAGGAGACAGGCTAGCCTCATACAGTATTGTGGACGAGAGTATAAGTGGTGTGAGCACAATGACATTAACACATACAACTCACACACTCGCTTATGACTTCTTTTGTCTTGTGCTCTGTCATTGTCTGATTTTTTTCTGTCAGTTTATATGATATTTGCCATCCGTGTGAACATCTCTCTATATCTAATGTCATGTATGCGTTACTTACATCCATGCTCTTCACTCTGTTCTCCCTCCATACATACACAATCATCCACGGGACTGTGTTTCTGCAGATACTGAATAAAACGTTTCTTTTATATACATACATCACACTGCTGTCTGTGTTTGTCTTTCTTTTTCACAGTTATTCCAACACTTGTCAAAGTCTTCAGACAAGCTAACACATAAATCCATCTCTGTTTTCTTTACTCTCTTCTGCTTACGCACACTCACACACTCACACACTCACACAAAGTCATCTGCCAGTTTATAAATAGAAGTAGACACCACAGTAAATAGGTAAGTCTGAACCAATTTGATCACAAACAGCCCAGGCAGGCAGCATATGAGATGAGTAGAGAGCCTGGAACAGACTAAAGTAATAGTGTTTTTATTTCTCTGCAGATACATCAGACAGATGCATCATTCCTCTGCATCTTGCCAAGTTTGACAACATTGGGAGATAAGGTTTCTTTCCCTTGCATCTTGAGCGAACTGTTGTCCTGAGTAACTTTACAAATGTAGAGTGTTGCGATGAGCAACATCTATGAGAAAAAAAAAAGGTTTGTGGTGTATGCATCAAGATTTTCTTCTTTGCTTTGGACTGCAGAGGTGCATTTTCCCTTCCTGTGTTCTACAAGGGACCTGGATTGACGAGCCATGGGACTCTGATCACTTCAGATATGGGACTGAAAATTTGGTTTTGGAAAAATAGCGTACCTTTAATGTAAAGTTGTTCATGGAGAAAAAAAGAAACAGAATCAGGTTTTTTAAACATGTTCATTGAACCATTGAAGTATGAAATTCCATATTTCATCTGCTGATTTGACTTTCTGTCTTTTGGTTTGATGTCTTTACAGTCAGGTTGTTTGGTTACGATTACAGAAAGCCTTGATGACATGAGAAAAAAAAATGAATGTTTGAAATAAAGTTATGTTAAACTTCATAACTAGGTGCAAACATGACTCTACTTAACCAACTAACCTTTGTTTACTCTCTCTGATTTAGGAATTTTGTCTTTCTGTCCTTCCCTTTGTCAATCTCCATTGTGTTTTTTTTAACCTGTTTGCATATTTCTTTGATAACGTTAAAAAAAAAATGCTGGAGAGAACTTTTTCAATAAACTAATGTTTAATGATTTCATCCTGGTTCTCTTTTTCCTTTTTATTCAAATTTTGTTTTATTTTCTTTTTTGGGCTGCAGTACCTTTGCATAAAATCAACTGAGATCATGACCTTGAAATTTGATTCTCACAATCTGCACAATGTTTGGGCAATTTAGAAACTCTTGTTAGGTATCAATGTGCAGTTACAAGCTTTTTAAGCTTTATCATTGTTATTAGTGGTATTAGTAGAAGTTGTAGAAGTAGGAGTAGTAGTAGTATGATAATGATGATGATGATTAGAATGCTGGTTACTATTATTATTATTACCATATTTATGACAAATGATAGATTCGTGGTCACAGAGTTATCTCATTATCACAGGAAACCAAACCTTTTTATATTGCATTATTAAACCAAAATCTAAATTTTGATACAACAACCACAAACAACACAATGTCATAAAAAAAACGTTGTTCTCTATGGAGAAAGAGATAATTCACATTACATCTTGCAAAAATGACCGGACTGTATTAGTTAACATTGTGAATGCAAAAACTTAAGTGAAAATTTTAATAACAAGCAATTCAGCATTTCCAGTTCACATTTCATACACAATATTAATGTTGCAAAGCCATATATATATATATATATATATATATATATATATATATATATATATATATAATATATATATATATATATATATATATATATATATATATATATATATATATATATATATATATATATATATGACAATGTATAACAATAATCAAGCAAAAGAGAAAAGAAAAAAAATAGAAAAATAAATACATAGATAATTAGATTAAATTCCACGATGCACCATGGAGCGCCACAGAAAATCTTTCCTGTTGGTGGTAATCACACTTTTTAACTCCTCCCTCAGAGACTCTGACACCCTCAGTCAGTCATCTTTACCTGGACTCTGCTCACTGTTTTACATGCATACAGTGTTACTATTTGTGTTGTTTATAGTGTAAATTCTTGTATATTATCTCTATATTTTTACTTATTTTATCTATTTATCTCTATATTTTTACTTATCACTATGATTTATCTCCTCTTACTGTATTTGCACTGGAGTACTGTGACAAAAGCAATTTCTTGGGGATTATTAAAGTATTTCTGATTCTGATTCTGATCTGAAATTAGGCGACAGACCTCTTTTCCCATGAAGTAAATAGTAAATTTATATTTATTTTGACAAATAATTAACTAAAAATTTCTGAATATATGTTCACTATGGATTTGCATTTTATATTTGTAATGAATAGACTTAAATTAGTAATCAACTTCAATCAAAATTGTGGATGCAAAAACTACGTTTCCCATGAGTCATAGGATGACGACAACAGCGCGCGCCCTGAATGGGCATATGAATGACACCCCCTGTTGTACTGTTTGTTTTCCTGTAGTATCGTAAGTAGTGTATTTATGTTTTAGAGTCTGTCTTTCTTTATTGTTTTAAGGTCGTACCGTACATTACCGGAGTGTGTAAACTTTAGCTACAGTTCTCCGTCAGCCGCGCCTTAACTCAGTTAGCTTGGTGTGCAGGTTCACAAGAGTCCAATGTTTGGCTAACCCACAGAGGACACTATCATGGCATACACGCAGATCTTAGGAGCTCTGCACCGGAGTCTGCAACAGACTGCGACCCACTACTCCGTTCAGAAATGCCTTTTTATCCACACACACAGGACGGTGTCTACAGTATCCAAACAGGTCTTCCCTAGGAGGAGGGAGATCCCGGGTCTGAGCTGCTTCATTCAGGTGCAGAGACGGCAGGGTTTCATGCTCGACTCCTCCGACAGAAACAAAGTTAGCCCCGAGGACAGGGACAGATCTGTGTCCAGGTTTCAGGGTGGAAGCCCGAGGACCTCAACTGCTCAAAAAGGTACTCAAGACACTGACATACAGAAATCCTTTTCTATTTACTGTAGCTCAAAGAGGACTGAATTCATCTGCACTCTCAAATCATAAGGGAGGACTCAGCTGATTGTTGACACTTTGGCGTGACAAGTTTCTTTAAACATGATAGTAAGACTTATATTTGGGCATGCTAGGTCAGTGTAGATTTTAGTAAGTAAAATGAGATAAGTGAATAGTAGGAGAAAGTGGGGTAAGATGAGCCATTACTCATATTTCGGATCAGTACATCAAGGCAATCATAGTTTTGTCTCTAACTAGTGTATCTGCATATATTTTTTATTCATTTACTGAACTACTGACTTGTAATATCTTTTAGTGAAAAACGCAGGCAGAGACTTCACCTATCTGATGGTTATCCTCATCGGGCTGGGAGTGACAGGTGAGTGCAGCCTCAAGATGTAAAGCATTGCCATCACAAACAAGCAGATTTATTGTAATAACACAAGCCAGTTACTAACAAGTATGTTTTTTGTGTTTGTTTGTTTGTTTTAGGGGGGCTGTTATATGTGGTGTTCCAGGAGCTGTTTTCTTCCTCAAGCCCAAATAAAATTTATGGGAAAGCCTTCAATAAAGTCAAGTTGGACCCAGAGGTAAGCCAAACATTATTTTCTTAACAGACAAGCATTTTTCTTAACATCTGTTTATGAGAGGTGAACACAAAAGTGTGCAATTAAACATTTGCCTTCTTGTTAGGTAATTGGTGCATTTGGGGAGCCGATCAAGTGTTATGGGGAGACTACCCGCCGAGGAAGGAGGCAGCAAGTCAGGTGAATAACAGACACATTTATGTTCATTGAGGGCAGGATATTATTAGAATATGTCTTAATGTTTTTTTTTGCATCAGCTAATAAGTAAATGAAATGATCCAAAGAGTCATCTTGGAGTTTTGGTTTTAGGTTGCACAGTTTTCTACTTGGGTAGCATTAGTGTGGCAGGTGTGATGAGGTCTCACATGGACTTTATCTTGTTAATTTGTGTTTCCATCATAGTCACATGGAGTACCTGAAGGACGGTCGAAAGCACATGCAACTGAAGTTTTACATTGAGGGCTCAGAGCCAGGCCTCAAAGGAACAGTTCATTCGGAGTCAAAAGAGGTTTGTAGATATATTCCAAAAGCGATTGCAAAAGTGCAAAGTTGATACTTTGAGAGTTAACCAAGCAACAAAACTTTCCTAATGTGTGTTTTCCAGAATCTTGAAACTGGGAAATATGAGTTTCGGTACATCTTTGTGGACGTAGACACCTACCCAAGACGAACCATCGTTGTGGAAGATAACCGATAAGATGCAAAACGACTCTTAAGTGCCGCGTCACTAAAAAGAATTTGTGTTTCCAAATGTCAGGTTTGTGATGGACAAGCAGCCAAAGATTTGCAGTGGATTAACTTCCCTTTGGTGTTAAATGCTGTTATGTTAAACATGAACAGATTGGATTGCAACGAAGCTTGGTGATGAGCTTTGCAAAGCACAGTGTCTGTCACTGAAAATCGGGATTGATTTTTATGGGTTATCTTTTTCAGCAGAGGGATGACAGGATTATATGAATTACAAAATCTGCCTGTATCATGTGTCATTCAACAAAAAAAGGTGTTGTGTTATTCTGGAAAGTGTTGCTATGGAGCTGTGTAAAACTTCCTGAATTGGGTTCATTTGGGGCTTTTGCAGTCAATTAAAGTTTTACCTTCAAAATGTGGTTTCTAACACTGTTGGATCTGTAAATGAATTTTATATTAAGTATGTTATCACCACACAAAACAGTCTCTTTATTCTGCTCGATGTTGTATTTTTTGTTTTGTTTCAGGTTGGTCACTTAGGGGAGAGTGGGGTAAGTTGAGCCAAAGTGTAAGTTGCTTGGAAATGGTAAAAGAAATTGATCATGTGACCAAATATTTAGGAGATAGGCATCAATTCATGGAGTCTGTGAAGGTTAAAAGCACATGGGTGAAGGGGTTAGACATTTATTTCCAAAATACATGTTTCACTCTTGAAAGTGAATTAAGTTTGTCATAAGTTTTATCAGAATTGTGTTCAGACAAAAAAAGATCATTTTAAATTTGTTTTAAACATCAATTGTGGTATCTATGCGCTACAACATGAGGTCAAAACCCTAGCATAAAAGTCCACCATTTTAGCTTAGAGGACGAATAAAGGCATTCTCATGTTAGAATGGCTTTTTACAAAACAGCTTTTTAGCAGTTTTATGCAATAACAATAATAATAAAAAATATATATATTTTACCTTTTGAATAACATATAAACGATAAAAATACACATTAATGTAAAGAAGTGAATGTTATTTAGGGAGAAAGAGGAGGCGAGGGCTGGCTGGGGTAGTATCCCATACACAGGGTAAGTTGACCATAGGAGACCACTTTTTTGGGCATGCTATATCATCAAGACAGTTATGTTTACACTCATTCTGTTGGTTTGCAGGGATGCACAACATCCTGAAATACACGCAGATACTCTAGTTAGAAACAAAACTATGATTACCTTGATGTAGTGATCTGAAATATGAAAAATGGCTCATTATATCCCACGCTCCCCTTTATCCTTAAGTTGATTTCCCAGACAATCTTTTTTTTTTTCTTCTCTGAAGCAGCAGATTGTATTTTAAGACAATGACCACTAGGTGGAGTTAAAGAATCGGGAGATGGGAACCTGATGTGACCCCGAGTTAAAGAGGTATTTTGAATAGTTTTTGAGACCGGCAGTTTACTTTTATAGGGAAGTAGAAATGGGTATGTTTTAGCTAAACCGCAGGCCAAACTCACTGGTATAGCTTTCATGAAAGTACTCATTTTCTCGGTCCAATCTCGCCATTTGTAAGACTTCTTCATGTTACATTTTAAGGGTCGTCGGAAATACTAAGAAATGAAAAGAGAAAGTAAAAATCATACTCTCGTGTTTCTTCTGTTCACTTTTTAACGTCAAATAAATTACCGCTTCACATTCAAATTATTTTTAACAAAGCGCTGTTTTTGGAGAACATTTTAAAAGCCAGAACTTAACTTGAAAGTTAAAACCACACAGGCTATGGTTAAAACCAACCGAATAGTTGTTTCTGTGTTCCGGGAAGCATTGAAGGCAACACTTGAGTGAACGCCGCCCACTGTGAGACCAACGGCAGCATTGAAACGCACGGGGTGAGAAAGGCAGTTTACGTTGGTTTAAACTCTACTGGACTCGTTAAATTGTATGTTAAGTGGACGAGTATCATGTTTACCAGTTAGCCAGAGGAGTTTAACGTGTTAACAAAAATATAGACCGACTAAGCGAGTTAGTTGAAGTAGTTTTGTCCGCGGTGGTTGTAAATAGAGTTAGCGGCTCTGTTGTTGTTGTGGCCTGCTACACTTTAGCTTAGCTCTAACCTAGCTGTTAGCCTCATCTGGCTTCTGGAGCTCGACTCGCTTCACGTCCACGAAACGAGATTGGAAAATGGCACATATTTGCAGCTAACTCAGAAGACCTGCTTTTCCCTTTAAGGTAAGAATAAAATGTTGCTCTTGTGTTTAGTCTCTGTCTAGCTTAACTTGAAGTGAGTTACAGGAAGAAGTCCAATGCTAACTTAACATCTGTTTGAGGTTAAGTGTTTCAACATTCAACTGAGCCTGGTTCAAGTAATTTGATACTTTGGTCATCATGATGAAGAAGGGGTTTTGCTTTTGTTGGTTAAAATTCATTAGCCTTACGGAGAAAAGTAAAGTAAAATACAAGCTTTTGCAGGGAAGGTGTGGTTTTGGCCAGGAGTCCCAAGTTGTTCCCCAGCGATGAGAGCCTATACTCAGTGATTGTCATCTCAGAAGAAAATGGAGCTGTACTGGTACATGTGAGTATACCTTTTGCGATTTTGAATGCATCCTACTCTGGCACTTAAGTACTTAAGTTAAAAGTATGACTGTCTAACCCGCCCACCTTTCCTGTCTCCTACCCAGAGTTGTTATTATATTCATCATCATCAAGATATTCTTCTATGTGTGCTGGTACCGGTCAAGACAAAGACAACTGGCAGCATACCTAAGCAACCCACGCAATGCCCAGATAGTCATTGTTGGAGGAAGGGCCTACCTTCATCAGATGTGTGAGAGACAGAGTGTGAGTACAGTTCCCCTCACCCCCCATCTTCTCCCGCCCTCACAGCCACAAACATTAATCCATCTTTCATTTAAGACTCATAATGTGGCAGCAAACCACTTAAGAACTTCTGTGCCTGCGGGGTATTTTTTTTATTACAGCTTAGTATAGGGTACAAAGTAGAGTCAGTGCAGACAAGTCAGGAGACACTGACAGATCAACTTTTGTGTGGCATGGTCAATGTTGTAGAGTTGGAGAGATAAAAAAAAGCCCAGTAGCAACTAAGAGGTTCTTTCTGTCTGGGGAGGAGGGGGGTAATTAGTCTGATGCAAATATGGCATCCTCTTATCATGTGCATTTATGGCAGGGGAGAATTATCGATGTCTGATGTTGCCAGAATTGTTCCATTACAGTTATTCAGAGTAAGGCCTGGGCGATTTGGCAACTAAAAAAAAAAGATCACAATGTATTTTGTCATATCGTCCGATCTCGATTATTATCATGATTTTTTTTTTAACTGCCAGTTTTAAAGTATCTGTACTAAAAACTAAAGAAACTAGAGATTAGTTCAACATTTTATAAACATACAAAGTAAATAACAAAGAATAAAATACACTTAGAAAAATATAAAGAACATTTTAACTCAGCAGTACAACAAATGTAGATAAATACTAAATAATACAGTTAACTAGTTCACAGTCCTGAGTGTTTCTGCAGGTATGCAAGACCCAAAATAAACAAATGGCCCCCTCAGAGATGCCTTAAAATGTTAACATTAGATGATGTAAACGCAAATGATATGATTGATTGCTGCTTTGGTCTGGTGGCCGCACTGCTAGTTTTCGCTAAACTGCTAATGCTACAGACTCCGCTCACATTTTCATGCTTTCAGCATCATCAATCGGGAAGAACTTCTTCAAATGATGAAACAGATTTGTTGTGTGTGTTTTGAGGGCACCGACCGCCGACATACCGTGCACATCGGCGTAATTGCTCAACGTCACTTTAGAGATACTAGAACCCCCGCCACACAACCAATGTTGAATAACCTCTCAACAATAACATTTTCGGAGGATGACTCAAAGTCATGGCTGACATCTATTTTGCTTATTCTCAGCTCCGCCTTAAGCTCCACATTCGGACATTCTGTTTACTTCTTAACTTCCCCGGCAACTTACAGAAGTGAGCAGAAAAAGACACACATTTCCGCTATGTTTGATCAAGCAAAAATGCTCACATTTGATCACTGTGATTGAACTGAAATTTATCACGATCATATAATCGTCCAGTCCTGATCAGAGTATCATTCAGATTCAAAAACAAAAAAAAACCCTCATTTCAGTGCAACACCATCAAAATGACTCCTTAAATACTGACAACTTTCTAATTTTAAGTAGGATTTTTTTACTGTAAAATATCACAAAACTCTTGCTATTTCACCAGCTCTGAGTAATGTTCCATTTCTTCCAGCACCACACTGTTGTTTGATATCATCCCATGATAAATAACCTAAAGTCAGGCCTTCCTTGAGCTAGAAAGCAGAAGTTGCCGGTGGCAGCTGTGATAAATCCATTTTGGCAGCCCAAAATTGAATTCAGGGGGAAGTTGTTGTTTTCAAGGCTAGTAAATTATGTTACAGACGGGTGCATGAGGCTGGCATTCTTGCCAAAACAGTATTGCAGATTTTAGGTGGCATTTGAGCAACTCTATGACTTCAGTTGTAACTGAACTGAATACTTTTAAACATTGAGATATGTTGCCAGAGCAAATCCTGAGTGTCTTTGAAGGTGGGGGCAGTTGGATGTAGGACAATTTTTGACACATTTTAAATAATTTTGATCAGAAAATGCATTTTTGCAGCATCTGTGTTTGAAAAAAAGTAATTGTATGACAAAATATGATGGTAGAGAAATATACGTGATTGTGTGGGGGTGGGAAAAAAGGGGAATTCAATGTGCAGTTCCTCTTAAACTGCTTTAGTGGTAGAGCAACAAACAGAAAGGGTAGTGTGCAACCAAAAGAGCTTCAACCACTTCCTCAGAGGTGTTAGCAGACCTGAAGTAAAGGGAAAGTTAAGTGGGGTCGCAGTTGTGTTACGTTTTTGCGGAGGAGTTGTCCTTTAAAGAGGACATGTGGTTTTCAGTCAGTCGTGTTTTTACTTTAGACTGATTGACAGGAAAAACTTCTCGTCTCTGAAGTGACATACTGAGAAAACCTGTGGTTGTGCTTTTACTGCCAAACTCTTCTGGCTTGCATGTACTTGAATGATTACATTTCTCAGCTTCGCCTGCTTGACCCCTCTGACGTCAGAGGTCCAGCAGGGCGAGTCACCGCTCTTACAGCTATTCAGAGGAAATGCTGTGGTGAGTGTGTGGCTGGGTTCAGGGGGTTTTTTTTTGAGCGAGTTTGTCAAATTTTAACCATGCCTGTGAGATTGTTTTGTGCAAATATCACCAGCAAAGACAGACAGAGAGAGGAGGGAATACTGAATAATTGACAGGAAAGTTGCCTCTTTAAACCAAAAAGTCAAAAGTCCCCTCTTCTCTGCTTGAACATGTCACATCAATTATTTACAGTCTGGATTATATTAAGTTTGCATAATTTAGCCATACTTGTTGGAGCAGAAAACCAAGATAAATCCAGTGATGTCACTGAAAACTACATCTAAACCTACAGTTTTTATTTTTACTTCTTTATTCAGTATTTCTGTGTAGGGTTCCTCCTTTTTTGTCTTATCCTGTCACTCTGTTCCCACTGCTCGTCATGTGTTGATTTTTCCTCAAATTTTTTGTTACCATTCCCTGTTTCCTGGAATACTCAAAGCATGAGTGAACAAAAGAAGAGTCTTATCCTATGTTATATTTCATTGAGAATGATCAGTGTTTCCCCTAGGACTGGAATCTATCTGTGGTGGTGTGTGGGTATAAGTTGGGGGGGTTGCGCAAATTAGCGGGGTTATGAATCAGCAGTGAGTTCGCTGAAGATAACGTAGTCATTAACCCATTTGAGACATGCCTCTGAAATCCTGAGGACAAAATCCCCAGATTCTGAAGTGTTGAGGTTTACAAGAAAGCTGATATCTCAGCCTCTGTTGCAGATAGAAAGAAAATTAAAAACGTTTTTGAAAGCTTATACATGTGGCTTTCTAGATAGGTAGATTTCAAGATAGATCAAATGAAATAAAGCGGCTGTATAAATAAAAGTAAAAGCTCTGCACTGGAGAAAAACAAACTATTTGCTTTCTGTAAAACAAGTGGCAGTCATGATAAAGTCTCCATTCAATACAAATGTAAAGATTAAAAATAAAGTGTTGAAAAGGTATGCATCTGCCTCAGTATAGTGCCAGTACAAAAGCAGCACTAAAAACTAAAAAATGAACAAATAAATAGGTGTCTGACAATGTGTTCATGGCTGTGCTCACCCAAAGTCATGCAACGCTCACAGAAAACGTCGATAGTGTGAGCCAAAGACCTCAATAGAAATGCGTACATGCACCCGGCTTTCCAAGTAGAAATGAGCAGCCGCGAAAGGTGCTTGGAAGGTTGAAATGCGTACACGTTGTCCGTGGCAGTGCACCACATTCATTTGCATGTAGGGGAAACCCTGATGATCATTTGCAACTAGTTAATTTTCTACTTTATCTCTGCTCACTATCACTGATGACTTTCAGAGATGTCTTTCTGTTTTGTAACGCTTAACATTTTGCTCACACATGTTTCTTTTTTGCTCTTTCTCGTCCTGAATTTGAAATCGGACTCACATTTAAAAAGCAGGCTTCGTCGTTTCATCATTCACTCCCAAGTTGTGGATGACTGTAGTTTTATTTTTGTTGATGTTTTCAGAGATACGCCCAGAATAGAAAACGCTTCTCCTCTGCATCAGTTTGTACAGAGTCTTTTCTGCAGGCTATGCCACAGGTTTAGACAGTCATCACAATTGTGTTACCCCAGAGCCGTTCTGCTTTACTGCCTCTCTAAAACACCTGGAAGCAATCTCAATGATTCAGAGCCCTCCTGAAATATGCTTCATGAATCATAAGAAACAGCTTTCTCTGCTGATATTTTTAAACTTATCTCTAACTTATGCCTACTTTGTCCACTTCCTAGTATTGCTGCAAGACACAATGCATGGATCCTATTAACACATTCTTCTCAGAAATCATCTTCAGTGGAAGTCGGTATGAAAAACCCAGCTGTCCATTTCCAGTAAATGTTGATGTCAGCGCAGCTTTGGAGTTATTTTTCCTGTTGTAGTGGAGTCAAAGGCGTTGATGATGGTATTTTTGGCATAGTTTGGGATTATTGTGCAACAGGAAATGCCCAAGTTGTGGAAGAAATACAAACAGGGCAGTCAGAACTTAGAGAAACTTGGCCTTTTGTGCTTGGGTTTCCCTCGGCGACTTATAACATCCTGTGTGCAATGAAATATTTTCCTATTTTTAGGAAACATCTAATCCAGTCTAAGCATGCAAATCCTTTTATCCTACCCTATCAGTCATACAGCTAATATATACAGGATAAATACAACCATTAACCACGACAGCAGACTCCCTACCTTCTTGTATTCACTCATTTCTCTCTCTCTTTCTCTCTGCGGGCTCTGCAGCTTCTGCCACAGAAGCGTACCTTCTTACACAACTCCTTTTGTTTTATCTTCCTTCCTTTTCCACATCCTTCCTTTTTATTTCGTCTTTCCTCTCCTCTCTTGCACAGCCGTCTTTGGTGTGAAATCCGTCTTTCAGATTATAATGAAATGTGCAGCAGGGAGGCCTCACGGTTATTCATAACCCTGAAAGTTGTCTGGAGGAACACCAGGATGACCCAGGGAATCAAACATAGACAGGAGAAGAAAAAAACGTGAGAGCTATCATGCAGTCAGCCTCCTGGACTATCTTATTTACAGCTACCTGGAAAGTGAACTCAGATGATCCTTTCAGGGAAGATCTGTGATATCTGTTGGCCCGTGAGAGGAGGAGAGTAAAGTTGAACGGTTCACTGGGCTTTGCTTTGTGTTTTTTACGTCAGTTTTTTAGGCCCACAGAAATACTGTTGATGTTTTGGTTGTTTTTATACCTCTAATCTTAACCCTGGATCACACAAAAAGACGTTATGATAAATACATAACCTAACATACTACTTTGTGGTACTAGTCTTGAACTCTGGTTGGCCTGCATGTGCTCCATCTTTCTCCATCGATTACGCCCACAACAACAGGATGGTAATTTGGACCAATTAAGACATCTGTTTCTAAGAGCATCAGTCCATCTGTATCTTCATTTGCCGTCTTCCTGTAGCTGTTGCAACGAACCAGCAAATGAGTGAAAAACATTACTTGCTTCATGCAGTCCAACCATCATCTCAATCATCTCAATCTTCATTTTCCCTCCTCCTGTAGCTGTTGCAACTAACCAGCAAATGAGTGAAAAACCTTACTTACTTCTTTTGAGATTAAAAAATACCAAGAGTTTTGCAATAAAAAACACATTTTAATCCTTGTTTTTATGAAGACCAGAGCCTTTAAGTCTTAATTTTGCCCATAGAGGTTTAATGAAGCTCCCCGTGTTTTGGGTGAAAACGTTCCATGCTGGTCAGTCTCCTGTTGGGAAGCATGTATAAACACAGAATACCTGCAGCCTTTTTCTTCCTGCGGTATCACATTTCTCTCCAAGAATATTGTCTTGTTGTTTGTTTAGTGACATTTACTCTGCAGTGTGTTGACTCGTCAATGTGTGCCTGAAGCGGAGAGTTTAAAGAGGGCCCGATGGGGGAGCACACTCACAAATCATTATTGCCATAACCGGCGGCGATGAGCTCACACACTCGAGTACAGTCAAACCAGCTCAGTCGGTGTGTTTGCAGTGTTAACAATTGTAATGTTGACTTAAACTAAAAATTAGACTTAAAAGTGGAAGCAGTGCTGAAAATGTGCTCACTCAATGTTCATGCTAGGGTTGCAAAATAAATACCAATTTATTACAACTGGGGTGTAAACATTTGCAGTGATCACGTAACAGATGTCATGCACATTTTACCAACTGCATTGAGGCCTGGAGGTATTGTCCACACTTTCACACCTTTTTGAGTCGGTCAGATGAAGCTCAGGTAAAAAGGTGTCAGCTTGAGAATGAAAGAGAAGGTTGTGGTTTTGCTTTGGTTTCAGGAGGAACATGTTGCAAACACAGACCTTGTGAAAAACACACAGAAAAACAGATCGACTGCAAACCCCTCATTTTGTTCTCCAAATACATGAGTCATACATTGCGTGTTTTCCCTCATTGCGCAAGCTTTCTGTACGTGCATTTTATGTGCTTTGATTTGCTTTTCTGTTTTCTGTCAATAATTGTTTCCGGTCTTCTCTTTGTAGCAAACGTCCGTGTGGCCGAGTTGGTATGGTGTCCAGGATGACTTGTCAATAGAGGAGCCCTCCACAGTCCTGCCACCTGCTGCATCCTTCTCTCGCTTGGACGTGCCACCACCTTATGAGGCTGTCTCTGGAGGTACGACACATGATCACACATCATTTGACCCACCACTACTTCTAAAGCATTAGCTGCTTCCTCTTTCTTATTGAGAAAGTTGAGACGTCCTTCTCTACTTTAAGACTTCCTGTAAACCACAGCTCTTGGCCATTAGCCTACAACATATTTTCTGAAAATGTTGAAGAAAATTCCCTCCTGGGTCACTGCACATAATTAAGCAAACCAGGTTAATGTGTAATGCAGGGGGGTCAGTAGCATTTCCTTAAAAGATACACACAGGGCATGTTGATTAATTAGCTTAAAGTTTCACTATTTAAAAGCATGCCACTGCACAAAACAGGTTCATATGTTTGAATTTCTTCACCTGTCAGTACAAGAAACAATAGGAAAAGTCTGCCTGATGTTGTCACTCCATTTTGTCAAGCTTGTGGTGTGATCTACTGTAAGATATGAACTGAAACATGCTGCACATAGTTCCCTCTGCTTTTGAGTTCACTGTGTGCTGCGTGTTTGCAGTTGAGATTGCAGGACCGCCTCTTACATAATGCCAGTTCAGTATAGGATATTTCCACACGGTACATCTTGTCTGTGAAATGTGTGATGCAAAGAGGCAGAATGGTGGGGTGAGGTCACCCTGCCTCTGATCTGCTATAGGTAGTAGCAGATTTAACTGGGGGAGATAACAGCGATGTGGATCGTCTGAAATGCAGCAGGGGAACATTTTGCACAGTGTACTGTACAGTATGTGGATATTTTCAGTGTGTGTATGTGAACACAAGGACACCAGTATTTCACTGATGCTGAGTTCAGTCTGTAAGCACAATGTCGTGATAATGGACCGAGCGAGGTCATAGTGGAGGTTGCTTGTGTTTGATGCTTAACGTCCCACTCTGATCATATTTTTTTCACTACTTAAAGTCTTCTCAGTGGTCTTTATATTTTAATAATGAAGTTTTTAGCCAAAATCATGTTACTTAATAACAATAATAATAATAATAATAATTCATTTTATTTGTACAGCGCTTTTAAAAACACTCAAAGACGCTACTTGTGTCATTTTCAAGAGCTTTTCTTCTGTAGAGCTCCAGTAGCTCATTAGCAATTCGCCTCTGAGTCGTGGGCGGAGACAGTGCTGCTCTGCACCTTCCTCTTCAAGCTAGCTTGCAGCCTAACATTGTCGGTTTAGTAGTAGAAGCAGGTAACATAGGAGCTATTCAGCTCTCAGACACTAATGTCTTTAGGGACATGATGCAAGTTAAAATCATTATTAGCTTTTTTATGAGTATCGCAATTCTCTAGCGCACACGCTTGTTCTGCAAGTGTCCTCTCTATTTCTCTAAGCGGGGCTCCAGGGGCGGAGCTTGGATTTGTGATGTAGGAAATCCCACTGTTTCTGAACCTGCCGTTTAAGTCCAGAGGTTCACATCAATTTGAATGAAGAAGGACTCAGAAATGCAAATTTCACACTTACTTTACTCATGATGTGTCCTGTAGCATCAGAAAAATGCCATATGAACATTTAAAAAACAAAAAAACATGATTTTCATTGGAGTGGGTTTTTAAAACTGAATTACTCTTAACCATCTCTGCCCTGATTCAGATATTTGTAGGAGGAAGCACAAAACTTGGAGCTCTTGCAACTTCCTCATCCCTGCAGCCTAGAAGCACAAACCATATTTTTTTTCAGAGGCATGCACCTTCAGCGTAGCCTGCAGCATCAGAAACTCACTCATTCTGTCAGAACAGATAAAGCGTTACCCTCTAATATAGAAACATACAGCAAGTTTCAGTCTGAACCAACTTCATGTTTTTAACTCCATCTGAATCAGTGCAATGATCGCCAGGTTAGAAACACAGAACATGTGCCTGACTCTCTGCTGAGGTCACAGAAACAACAACATTATTTGCAGGAGGAGGCCGTTTCCTGCAGCAAATATCTTTTATCAGTAAATAAAGCTCGTCTGAGCTCGCAGTTGTGTATACACACAGAGAGCGTTGTCTGCTTTAAGAGGACAAAGTAGACTTTGTGTCAGTAACCAGGTTATGAAGACACCAAAAAGCCTTAGGGTTTTCTTTTGGTGTACAACATTTCCCTGTTGTGTGTTTCAGTTTAGTCTCAGTAAACACATTTCTGTCGTCTGGCTCAAGTCTCACTTTTTTACAACTGAAAAGAGCCTGTATGCTCATTTTATTGGTGAAGGTTTGGAAGCAGTCAGGTGGTTTTTCTCTCATTCATTCCCATACTGTCGTTTTCAAATGCTTCCTATTAACTGTGAAGGGCTTGCTGACTCTCACAGCAGGATGTGGTTATGGTTGTGCAGCGGAGGTGGTGACCTTTCTCCATTAATTGTACGTGATGTTGCAGCCTTGTTTCGCCCCCACATATGATCTTTTTTTTTCTGTCAGAGATAGCACAGAGCGTCTCAGGGCTGTTTTCTGCAACACCAGCAGTTCTAGTGCTAATGCATGTGTGTAAAATTAAAACTGCACGTTGCTCTTAAAGTCAATATAACAAATTTTAATACACACCCCATATATTATAGTGCTTTTTTTCATTTGATAGCGGTTAGAAATATCTGGTGTTTGTAATTCAAATTCTACTAAATATCAGACCATCAGAGTAATCATTGCCATGGTTCAGGTCTGTGTCCCTGACACTCTCTGGTGACCCCCCCAGTTGATAAAAATCCGAATTTTCCTGCTTTTATGTCTGAAGTATGTTATGATGACTACGCATACATACAACAACCTCCCAGTTCTTTCCCTCTCCCAGAGAAGATAATATCAACATCAAGCCGTGTATAAAAATGAGTGTTCCTCCAGTGTTTCCTGTGATGTGGAGACTAGGGCTGTAGTCAACCAAAGAAATTCTTGGTCGACTAAAACCCTGAAATTTTTTTTACCAAAAATTAACTAATCGGGGGAAGACACGGTTTGGTGAAGTGAGAATATACTGATATCAACACAGGAAGGCAATTAAACACAAATATTATATTCAGAAAAACACCGGTTGTTAATTATCGTGGGCTCTCTTCAGTCTTCTTGTCTCCAGCTGGTCTCTTGGGCGAATCCAAAATGGTGAAAATAAGGGAGGTGTTCTGAGACAGGCTGTTACCTGTGAAACAGGGGTGCTCTGAAAACACCCCCATTAACACTTGGTTTGTTCCTCCTGATGAATTTAACCGTAGACTGTACATTGACGAGGAAAAAAATCGAGTCGACCAATCAGAACTTTGGTCGATTCAGTACGTATCGACCAATAAGCCAACCAGTCGAGACATGGAGACATGGATATTGGATTAATCACAGCTTTGCAAACTGTTGGTTTGTTCAAAATCCAAGAGCTTAACATTTAAGTTGTGGTAAAAGTTTTCATCAGACCTTTATTGAAGTGAGTGTAAGGTCCTAATTTTCATAAAGCAAGAGGAAGGCAAACTTTTTTCAGAGTTAATACTTGAAATGGAAAAAAAAGTGAGCATGCGGAGTTCAAAGAGAAGAAGAATCAAACAGAAGTCCTACAGAAGTTTTTCAGAGTGAGCAGCCAGGAGGATCCAGCTTCTCAGGGGTCAGTTTTTATTGAAACTTTTGTCCCTTTCAACTGAACACCTCTAAGCTTCTGAGTGTCTAATACCTTCTGGTTCACCTTTTTCTCCTGCAGCACATTTCACAGGGTTTCTTCGGTATGCACACTGGTGTCCTGCACTCTCTTCTGAGAACAGAGAAGCACACAGATGTTGATCCAGCTTAGGAGGGAATTAGGATTGTTTTGATGGAGCTGCTTTCTTCGCCTGCTTAAACAAAGCAGAATTATTAAATTATAATGTGTCAAGATTTAAAACCATTTCTGTTCATTTTGATTCACCGTACAGTCTTGACGTTGAAGCTCATTGTAACTAAAGCGTACATTTGTCAGACAGCTGAACAATTGATTCTGTCTTCTCTTTCAGAAGATGATCTGAAGCCTCCTCCCTACAGCGAGTGCGCACGTAGCGATGAGGCGGACACTGCCCGTCCCTGCCGTCTCACTCCTCTGATTTCCGAGGGAGGAGGGGACAGCATCAGTGTCAACGAAGCGCCGCCTCCCTACACGCTGTCTCCTTCCACACAAATCAGTCAACAGGACAGCCCAGTGAGCCACAGCGAATCCCAGCCAGAGAGCAGGTCTGCTTAATCAATCCCTGATGCCAGTTTGCCTTCTCCATGCACTGCCTTCCTACATTCAACCTCAGTGATCGTTGCCAGCCTAACTCTCTGCCCATGAGAGGAGATGTTTATTCGGGTGCGAGTGTGTGTGTGGGAATGTGTATGCATGTGTACAGTGTTTGTGCAATCTGTTTTTCTTTTTTTAAAGTTGTTTTTTCTACCTTTTGTTTTTTTTTAACGGTTATCTGTTGAGTTGGGCTTTAGCCGATGACATCAGCACGCCTGTGTGCCTCAGTCAGGACAGCAGAACCTGCCTCCCAGCTAGGATGAGGAGAATACCCCTGACCTTTGAGGCCAGTGGGGTTCAGTGAGACACATTAGCAGAAGGAGAAAAAAACATGAAAATGTACTCTTTTATTTTTCTTTGTAAGTTTATTCTTCTTTAATGTCTGAAGCCTCTTCTGGTCACAGATCTAACAAAACTCACTGACATATTCACGCAGTGGCTACTTTCCCCTGATGTCGCGCTCACTTAGGTCATACGAACTATTTTACTCTGACATATGAACCTTAGGTCGTATGAGACGTGGAAATAATTTCACTGACTCTACTTTTTAGGCTTTGAAGAGACGTGAAAGACAGCAGCAGCCATATTAGAAATGCTGACAATCTGACAGAGGAGAAGCAGAACATGCCCATCTGTCAGCCTCCTAATACGCTGAATGATGCTCTACCCTTAGCCTGGAGAATTTAAAGTAAAAAAGAGGATTTTGTCCACATGTAGGGAAAAAAATAATCCAATATCTAGATTCAAGTCTTTAAAAATCAAAGTTATAAGGAAATGAAGTTGTACATTTATGAGAGAGAGGTTGCAATCACAGGCTAAGGCTTATTTGGATAACCTAAAGGGGGATATGAGAGGAGCATCCTGCCCTCTGCTTTTTATATTACTTCATTTTTTTTAAACAAACTCGACAGCTGAGAACAAACAGCAATTGTAAGAGTGATCACAGGCTGCCTCTTGGCTATCATTCTTCATAACAGACCCACTTACACAGACAATTAAGAATCTTGCATGACCAAACATTCACATTAGACACATTCAGTCTTTTTTGAAACCCATAATAATTGATAACCTCACAAGATGCTCCATGTCCCCTATTTCTCCAGGCAACTACAGGCTGCTCTTCTGATCCGTCCCTTCAAAAGGCTCATCATGGCCTAAAATTTAGATTTTGTTGTCTTATGAATTTAGAGACTTTATTCACAACTCCAAAATAACTTTACTTTTTATGATGCTGTGACTTTAGTCATAGATATGGAGGAATTGCAGTTTTATGCTTTTCCACTTTGTCTTCTTTTGTCCAGAGTTTGTGGCTCATGTATTTCCAAATTTCCTTCTTGTGTGGTCAACAACTGAGAAGACACAAAGTCACATCCAGACAGAGATCAAACTATCCACAGTACTTATAAACAATGTCTAATAACACCAATCCAGTAAATTTACACTAAACTTTGAATTGGGGTGTAAATGTGGACCATGGCGATGTTAGCTACAAAGATAATTGCGCCCAGGAAATAGTCAGTGACGGCAGCAGAAGAGACCATCTGGAAATCAAGCCTGACGGCGTTCCAGATTTGTACCATCAGCTGTGCAGTGTGTGGTTAAAGTGAAAATGGAGCATGCAGCCGCTGCTTGAAGAGACTTTAGCCTCTGTATGTGAGGGTTTCAATTTAGCCACTGAACCAAACTGGCACCCTCCCAGTTGCCTTTTAGTCGATCAATTAAGAAAGCAAATATTTTTAGAGAGTCTGCCAGATTCCCAACATTTGCCCTCTTAGCAAAACTGAGATGCAACAGCACGCCGCTAACACTGTGTGAGAAGACGGGGGCTGCTGTGGTGATCTGGTAAATGCTAATAGGAGGACTTAAGAAGTGTGGGGGTGTTGGATGTTACCCTCTGAAAACAGCAGCTCTGTAATAGAAAAATCACAGTGTACACAGCCTAATGAGATATCTGGCAAACCGCTGCATAGATTTGCACATGAAATAAATTGTCCCAACTTTTTAAACTAATATCACTCAACGCGTCATTAATACAGCGCACGTGTTATTGAAGACAAAGTTTGTCGACGGAACAAAATATTTGATAATGAATGCGCTAAATGTAAAAGTAATGACCTCGTTAGCATCACCGGTTCTGTTTAATATATCACTCTGATTAGACTGGCACATTAGGCAATTCAAGTGCCCATTAGATCTGTGAGTGGAAGAGAGCCAGGACAAGACGGCGGAATAAATGAACACCTTATGGCAGCAAGAAAGACTTAGTTTTATGTTGATTATCTTCTCTGCTGCTGCTGGGTTTTGTCCATTGTGGCTTTATAGTCTCACGCATATGCCTAAAGACATAAATCTGTCAAACGGTTTTGGAATCAGACAAAAAGGTCTGGGATGTGTACTGAGGTATGATCCTCTGAAATGACGAATAGGAGTTTTCTATGGTTGTTAAAATCCAGCTGTGAGAGAATCAGGTTTGATGTTTTTGATTTTATTGTGATTCTGAAGAGTAAACTGAGATAAAATATTGAGATCAAAATGTCAAACAATCTTGAAAAACAAGCCTGAGAAATGACAGCCTGTTTGAAGCCTGAGGGGGTTGTCTCTGTGTGTTTGCTAAACAGTTATTTTCATAATCGAGTTGTTACTTTTTTTCTTTGTAACAATTGCAAAACGAAGACTAACCAAAAATACATTTTTTGATATCAGCTTCTGTTCTCTGTAATCATCATGTATTCTTCTACCACAGGCTGGTAGAGGTCAGAAAAGTTACTATTTTCCTTTGTTTATATTTTCTGGAATAGCATTGCTTTGAGAAAGATCATTACTGTGCTTTTTTTTTTTCCTTTTGCTTTTTTTATTTACAGTGTTTCACATAATCCAGATATAACTCTGTCAGAAGATTCCTCCATATGACCCTCCTCCTCCGGCATTTGTTTCAGCAACTAAATAATCCCTGTACAGCTTCTGAATATGACAAAAAAAAACAATCAGACAAAGTCAAATGAAATGAACACTTTAACTGTTTTTTGGGACTTAAAAAGTACAAAAAAAGTGGGTCAGAATTAGAACTGTTACAATGTGATGTGTTAAAATGATAATCCTGCATATTGTGATGACAAATCGTGTAGCAACTGCCTTTTTTCTGTGGTTTTACAATCGAAAGAATCCAACAGAGGAGCTGCAAGGAACCAATGTGGACTCGCTAACAGCAGCAGCAGCTTTGGGACTGATAACCTGAACCATAGTATTACAGGCTTCCTCTGTTATGTCCTGTTCACTTCACGTGCATTCCTATATCAGATCTCTCCTGTCTGTAGCTCTGAAGGTTGAGTGGAGGGTTTTTTGTCTGTTTTGGGTGAAATATTGTACGTCTTCTGTATTAAACGGTTGTTTGTAATACTACAAGTGGTACTTTGTTTTACATGAAAACTTACTTGCACTGTAAAAGAAAACTGGCCGCATAGATTCAAAACGGACCTTGATTTAGCGGTCAAAATAGCCCTATTGATTTGTTTCTACTTTGTTGAAATACTTTGAGCTAATTCAGCTCTGTTTATAGCAGATCACCCTCAAGAAATGAAGGCTTGAACTAGAGGCCAAGGACTGCTTTCTAATGTGGGTCAAGCTCCTCAAACATTTAATCCGGCATTTCATAATGCAGCTCATTAATGCCTTTAATTAGACTCCTTCTGCCTGCTCAATTCCAGTTATTCTTCTCTCTGTATCCCAGGCTCTCTGATGGATTTCTGTCAGAGTCTCAAGACCACCTCGATGGCCTCATCAGGGTCCCTCTTGAGTCACAGAAGTCATAATACAAGTGTTTATTCAGGCTGAGTGGGACTCCACCCTGTGATTAGTCAAAACAACTGCATATGTAAAGTCACATGGAGTTCCTTTAAAAACGTGTGTCCTAAAGCATGTAAACAAGGTTTTTACTTAAAACAGGAACATGTCCGGAGAGGGTTTGACACACTTTTTATCAAAATAATGTGCAACTCCAGAGTTTTATTATTTATGTGAGAACTTTGTTGTCTTTGTAAACACTTTTTTCCTGTCACTCTGAGTGCAGCCTCAAGATTTTAAGGGATATTCCAGCGTAAAATTAATTTAGGGTCAAACACTCCGTAACACTGAGTTAGACACCCCCTCAAGAGATAAATGTTGCCGACCGCTTGCTTCTCTAGTTATACCAACTTGAGTAATGACCGCAGGATAGTAATACATAGCGGTCTCAGGAGCCACACGAACCTCAACCAAAATGCCACTCTATGACCACAAATAATGCTCAGAACAGCACCTAACTTCATCAACAGTACATATAGGGTCCCTTCCATAGCACTAGCCACCAAACATCTTTTTAACTTTGACTAATTTCTTTAGCAAAGAGACTAAACACAACTCACCTTCTCTCTTCCAGCAGCTGCTAGTTTGTAGTGAGACCTCAGGCCAGTCCATTACGGACTGCTGCGGGGTGACACAGCTTTAGAACATTTATGATAATTTCTTTATCATTTCCTTGAAGTAATAATCACCATATTAATCATTTTGCACTGCAGACACGGTAGTTCTTCTGCCTTAGCGTCTCGGTCTGATTGCATTTCCAAGAAGAAATTATCATAAATGTTTTTCCTTGAGCTGTGTCACCTCACTGCGGTAATGGACTCGCCTGATATCTCTGTACAAACAAACGGCTGCTGGAAGAGAGTAGGCGAGTTGTGTTTAGTCTCTTTGCTAAAGAAATTAGACAAAGTTAAAAAGATGTTTGGTGGCTAGTGCTGTGGCTGGGACCCTATATGTACTGTTGATAAAGTTAGGTGCTGTTCTGAGTATTATTTGTGGCTATAGACTGGTGTTTTGGTTGAGGTTTGTTTATGGCTCCTCAGACCGCTGTGTATTGCTATCATGCAGTCGTCACTAAAGTTGGTATAACTAGAGAAGCAAGCGGTCGGCAACATTCATCTCTCGAGGGGGTGTCTAACTCAGTGTTACAGTGTGTTTGACCCTAAATTAATTTCACGCCGAAATATCCCTTTAAGGTTTAACATAGGACCCTTATTTTTTCAGTCCTTACACGACGAGTAAAGACAAATTATTCAAGATCGAATAGCAGACATCAGAGAAAACAGGTGAACCTTTTATCCATGGGATCAACACAGCAGTAGATACTAAAAGAACTAGTTTGATCCACCTTCACAGTGTTATTTGTAGCCCTGTTTGCAATCGCCACTCAAACATTTTTGTCTTCTTTTGAAATCTCTTCACAGTCCTCCTTTTATCTATATGCAGCACACCCACAGTGAATCCCACATCCTAAATGGACTTCAATTGTAAATGGACCTGTACTTCTATAGCACTTTTCTGGTCTTTCTGACCACTCAATGTGCCTTTACGCTACAAATGCACTCACGCACACCAAAACTCTTGGACACACAATGCTGTTTCCAACTTGTGTCTCTATTATGTCGCTTTTACACTTGAAAAAACCTGTTTGGAGTTTTCAGCTGGTTCTGAGGCAAGAGTGAAATAATATATACGCCCTTATGTGACCTTCAAAATCAAACCAGGCCGTCAGTGAGAGGAGTAATTATCTGGGTAAAGTTTTTATTTACATGTCGCTCTCTCACAGGAGCCACAGCGTTTTTCAAAAACATTTTTAAGTGGATGAATTTGACCCGGTTATGATGGGTTTCTGCTCTCAGCTGGTCCTGTTAGTCATGCAGATGTAGTCCTCATCTCCAATATCCGTTGAAGTCCTGTTTGGAATTTACGTTATTGCAGCCAGTCGGAACACAGCAGATGGTTAGCGCTGTCAAAAGTGATTAAAATACTAATATGATTGTTTAGTTTGTGTTTTGGGACACATTTGATAGAAAAACTAAAACTCTTATTCGCCACTAGAGAGCAGTGTTGCACCAACGATCGCTTCATCCCCCACGTTTCTGAGCAGCCTGCACCTGTTGCAGTCCAAGTCCACACCAGCCAAACTGCTAGTTGTCACCCCGGTGTCTGTAGATGTCTTTTAAAACACTCTTTTTGGGACAGAAAATGTATTGACATTTGTTCCAGAGCTTCGTACTTTAGATGAGAAAAATAATTGGGCTCCATCAGGATCAATCAAACAACCCTGCTGCAGAATGTATAGCTGAGTAGATACTCAAGGACATTCATTTTTCATATCTGAGCGTCTCTGCTGGTACAACACTGCATACAAATGAGGCGAGCTGGAACTATTCACAATGCACTTGATTATAGACCTGTGCAAAATACTGCATATGTGAGATACATCTGATAAATGGTGATTTGAGAGGCAATTAAAATATAAGGTACTCATGAAAAATAGATCTGGAGCTCACATAAAGGATGTAATTATAATGATATTATTAATGGTGAAAAACAGGCGCTAAAGTAAGGAATTAGTATGTTAGATTACACTTGTGCTTTATCACTAAGACTTTATTTATTGCTCTGTGGCAGTTATACATAGACCACTTTACACATTGAAAAGAGGGCAATTTATCAAGAATGCAGCCTTTATACAATGTATATTGACTCATGCATTTAAATATGACTTTATCTTGTGTCAGTGGTAAATACAGTGCAGCCTGTTAGTCACTCTTGTATGCAGTACACTCATTTTTGCATTGAGTAATTGATGCTTTCTGGTGAAGTATTTGCATTTTGAGAAACCTGCAACTATCCATCATGCTTGCAGCTTCACTAATCATTATATCTCTTTATAAACAGCTGTATAATAGATACAACACACGGTGCTCTCCTCAAGGATGTTCACTGAACCCCGCCCAAGATTATTGAGGTCCTCGAGGTCGTCTGAGACACAGAAGTGACAGCTCAATTACCCTCTGTTGTCTTGTCAAAGATGTATTACACTCTCAAGCCTCTCATATTGGTGCAGTACCTATCAGATAACGTGCATTTAGAGGGTGGTATGCACATGCTGGTGTAGAAAAACGCCCCACCTTTTAAATCCAGCAGGAAGGCACATTCCTGTCATGGGTGAGGATGGATAAGGTGTCGAAAATGATTCTGTTGCTATTTCGCCACCTCAAAATTATTGAACATAACCATCAAGTGTGACCAAAAGCATTATTCCATGCTGTTTAAATTTTTACATAGTAAAATATTCATATTACATTCTCGTGCAAGTAGGGTATAGCTGGCATAACCCACAACAGAGGGACCATTAATGAGTTTCACAGGTCATTAAACCGCTGACAGATTTCTTCATTCCTCCGTTTGAGCGCCCTCGACTCTGTATGTTACTTCAGGCGAATACAGTTAACTAATACTGAAAGTATGTTTTTACAGTCAGGGACATGTTCAGAGGGGTGGGGCCGCCATAACCGCCCTGGAAATCTGATTGGTCAACCCATAGGGCCATACCATGATTCAAACTATGCTGTTTGCTTTGTCAGAGATGGAAATTGGAAAACTATTTAGGCTGTGTTGGTACTTCTGGCTATTTTGTATTTTGAAGCTCCTGTTGGGAACTTTCAGTTTACGTCAGTTTGGGCGCCCCCCGGTGGACTTGGACACTCAAATTTGTCATTTATTGTGAATTACCTGTGTGGAAATGCAAAAACAAACTTTTTTCACCAGCCACTTTGCCAACATCTACCCTCTCGCACAGATATCAGGCATCAGATAAGTGCTTTTTGTTCATACCACTCCTTTCTAAGATGGTTCTCCAGTTGGGCCACCCCAGTCAATTAATTGTAGACACACACCTGCTAACTGCTAAAATACAGTTCATTAAGCATGAAGACATTACTTGCCTCTTTTGCCCAACTTCCAGTTTTTTGCCAAGACTAATAAAGCATCACTTTTTATAATAACCCGTACAGAGATACAGCTTTTCCAAATTTTCAACGGCACACAGGCAGGCAGTTTTAATATTGACACTTTGAACATCAGGCGGCTGTGGCTCAGTTATACAGTGGGTTGTCTCTTCAATCAGAGGATTGATGTTTCTATCCCAGCACCCACAGTCAGCGCCAGATTGTCCTTGTCAAGACCCCAACTTGCTCACAATGGCATAATCAGTGAATATGTATGAAGGGAATACGTCGAAGCTGATGATTTTGTACTGTAGTGGTCTCTGCCATCAGAGCGTGAGTGTGAAGGCAGTTAGAGTCTTCAGAGATATAGGGCCAAGGCTATGTGCATACACATCTGCTTTTATGTGCATAAAAGATTTCAATAGACGCTTGATGTAACCATGAGGGAATTTATTCACAAATTATTCATTTATAAGAGTTGTATACACAGGTTTTTAAATAATTTAAGATTTTAACATGTATTTAAGTTGGTCTTTATAGATGGAGTTCGCCGTTTCTCACTTTTTGGGCTGTGCACGGTTTTTTTCATCACTCTGCAATTGTTTCACACTCACTTAATTAATGTTCCACCAACAAATCACTGCTCCAGGAAACCTCCAAAATGGTTTCACTTAAATCAGGTGGTGTAGAGAGGTAAGAGAAACAAAAAGGAATCAATAAAACATGAGAAATATTTTATCAATAATCTCAAAGCTCCTTAAATGTATAAAGGGGACTCAACAACAAGGCTCTGGACTACTTGAGCATAGTACCTGCCTTTACAAATAGTAAAAAGGCATAAAAGTAGCTCCATTTAATGGGCTATAACTGTATAATGTATGGAATAATATGAGGCTGTTGATGCAGTGTAGCAGTAACTCATTACCTCATATTATATGTGAACATATAACTTCACAAACAGCAATCTGTCTTCTGATACTTCAAGATCCAAAACAAACTGTTGCTGATATCCACACCTCTTCATGACCTTTGAAATTCAAAAGAAGACCATCAAGAACAAAGAACAATTTTTCTGAATTGTTCTTTTCACTGTGGGTTGGGGTAGGTGATAAACTGCATGCTGCTTGTACAGTGTTTTTTCATGACTTAATCTCCCATGAGGAATTTTTTGACATCCATGAAAAAAAACGAAATTTATATTGATGCTGTTTCGTGATATTTACAAGCAATCAAGACCATCAGCAACAAGACTGACCCTTTCTATACCCTAATTTTTGATCCTGTAACTGGTGTTAGGGGGTAGGTGTCAGTGGAGCAGATAAAGAAACATGAAATTTACAATGAATGACACATTTGACAGTCAGCAGGATCAGGTTTTTTGTAAAGAGGCACTGCCAAGTGGAGGACAAGATACGCAAAGGTTGCTCTGTCCAAAGCCGGCGCCAAAATTGACAAAAACTGCATATTCCTCACAGGAGCTTTAAAGAGTAAAAGTTCTTCACAGGAGCTTTAAAGTGCATACAGCTTAACGGGTTTCTCAAACAGTATCTAAAAAACAAAGATTATTATCAGAAGCACTGACTGTTGCACTAAGTGTTTTTCATAAGCTCATATTTGCTGCTAAGTGTGTGTGGTGTTTTCAAACTTTCGCCTGTACAGGCCTCCATCACCATCAAGTACCTGCTATTTGATAAGCAGGTACATCATCTCTCCTTGGCCTGACACTACAGATGTAATCTAGAGGGCAGGGACAGGTCTGCTCTTGTGCCCATGTGATGACAGGATAAGTGGGGATGTCTGAATGTCAGAGATGAAGAAAGAGCACCTACAGTGCCGACAAGCGGGTGTTTAAATCTGATGTTGCTGCACTCACAATAATTTGTCATTAAATGCTGATAAATTACAACAAAAGCTACCTCATGACACTGAACTGTCAAGATATTGTTTTAAAAGATAAGTCCACCAAATCAGTGAGGGAAAAAATGCTTTAAAAGGAGGGCTGGGGATAGCTATGGAAGTATTGTAGGTTACCTTAGAGGATGAGTCCAAGTCATGCCTGAGCCAGCCCTGACTTTAAACCTTGAAAGAGACCTGTTGCACTCATTTTCGCCTCTCATTACATCAGTCTGGAGCGCCAGACTTTTGCATAATTTACAGCTCAAAAAATTTTACTTTCATCTTTATTCCAGCACTTTTCATCTACTTCTTTGTTCCAGTCATATAAAGTCATAGTGTTATCGGGCGTTACTTTTTACACAGCATATACCTTTACAAAAAATGTCTCAGCTTGTTCTGTTAGAGATGGTGTTAGCGCCCACATTAGCTCCGCAGTTAGCTCCTTTAGCATACTTAAGCTATTGTTACATTAGTTGCTCTTACAGCTTTGGCCTTTATGAAACAAGTGTATTTACATGCACAGTTTTATCGGACTAAGCTCATAATGCTTTTCTTTTTTTTTTGCCGAATCAGACTTCTCTCCTTGTCTGCGTATACATGTAGGTGAGAAAATCAAACTATTGATGTGAAAACTAGGGGGCAATATGGGTCTTTTAAGCAGCGCTGTTTCCTGTTGACCCAACAACAACAACAGCAGGTCCGTGCCAAACATCAGACGGGGCTACGACTGCTGCTGGGCATTTTTAAGCAAGAAGACGGAGCATCACACAGTGTTGTTTTTGTCGTACACGATGTATGCGCTACTTTTTCTGCAGATGAGGTGCATGCTACTCCTCTTGCCACTTCTTCCCAACTACACTAGTTACATGGTAGAGAAACTCTAATTCCAATCGCATTATCTGGGCGTCCTAATTTGAGTTCTCTGACTCCAATTATAGCCAGACTAAGGTGTTAACATGCACTTTAGTTGTCCGGTCTTAATCAGAGTAAGACAATAATTTCGGTTTTCTCGAGTGTTATGTAAATGTACTGAGTTATCCCTTTGGGACAACCTGAAACCTCCCCCAGTATTAGTTACATAACCAACTTCTCTTTTAAAAATCACCGGAGAATTGATGCAGAAAACCTCTTTAAATATTTACCACTTGCCAAAATAAAGTCATTCTTATCTGGATTCAGCGTTCCAAGGTGTTGCATTCGACCCTCAGGGAATTGGATTTGACGCAACTTTTTCCTGAAGCTGTCACGAGTTGTAGAAGTGTGTCTTCTCCCTGCGAACAACTCCTCTCTGCTTGTACGGTTCGAAGAGAAACTTCAAAAATGCAGGTGCAGACCAGATTGAGTTTTTGTTGGGGCTGTCAGTATGCCAGACAAAGATGTGCAATGCATAGAAGATATGTGAGTCGCAGGAAGAGAGAAGAAGTGAAGGTAGCTGCGGATACTTGTCCAGGCTTTCAATCCTTCTGAATGGCCTGAATCCTGCCGATCTCCAACCTTATGTTAATTCTTCCCTTTTCCTGCGGGGCCTCATTGCTCACCTGCTGTCCAACACAACAACTTCCAAGACTTTTTTTTGCTAAAAGACGCCTCCTGCCTGGCGCCCCAGGAACTGAGAGCACTGTTGTTCCCCGTTTATCAGCTTAGTGAGAATTTACATTTTAATTGAATCCTGACGTTTGAGCCAAACTATTCTTGCTGAGCAACTGGAGCCCCTTCAGAGAAAACAACTAACAGGCTTGAAGTGTGAGTCCACTGAAAATGACAGGCAGTCAGAGCCGTTCATTGACTATGCAGAATTTAGCTTCATGTGCCAAGATTGCTCAGACTGCCATCACCAAGAATATCCGCTGATTGTGTGCGTGAAGGGATGTCACAGAACTACAGCTGGGCTTTGTGTGTTTGTGTATTTACACATCAGCTTCTATGTATTTTAATGAGTTTTAACGTGCCAAGATTTTCATGCTTCTGTTGCCAGGAAGAAACTTGGAACTTGTCTGTGAAGACAGTGGGGAATTTGAGATGGGCTCAAGGTGCGTGTGTGTGTGTGTGTGTGTTTTGGGGTGTGCTGGTTTATTCATGAACATGTGTGTGTGTTTCCTGTGTTCTTAGATCACACACAGATCAGCACTCTGTCATACTAATTAGGATCGACGCGTCCACTCCTACGCAGCCTTTGATGTGGCATGTTGGCCGACTCTGCTGATGTGAGATTCTGTCTAATAAGATATGAGATAGAAAAAAAAAAACATGACTCGTCAGCACCTGTCTTTGTTTGGTCGACCTTTTTCATCCATTTAGAATATTGTATCAGACATTACGGGCTTGAATGCAGAGGTGCCCCAGATAATTTTGCACTGCTTGCTGAATTTGGGGTGCTTATGTTATGAATCTTGTTTTGTATCACTGGAGGACTAAAGAGTTGAAACTTAATTAGAAAGTTTAGACAATGCAATTTAGTCTCATTCTGCTGCCTTTTTAAAAAAAGTCAATATCTAGACTTACCTTCTTTATACCACCTTCAGCAAGATTTGGAAATTAAAAATTGCATGCACATCTCTTTCTTAGATCTCAGATATTAAAAGACATTAAGCAATCTCACCAACTAAACTTGCCCTTTGTCACAAACGTTATGAAAAACTTTCCTTGTAAAATATCAAACTCCGACTGCACACGGACGAAGCTATGAGTCTCAAATATCTAGACAGATTCTAAACTTTGCAATTTTTCATATCAAACTGGGTTTCCTAATGATAAAAGTTTATAAAAATAGCAAATTTCATGCTGACGTGATCAGAAACACCATCCTTGCGAAGACTGTTGATAACAGCTGACATCTAACTGTGCATGTGCGACGCTACAGCATTTGAATACCTGGAATTATTACTACTGCATGTTAAATTATTGACCTTCTACAGTAAAGGTTTAGGAAAAAGACTCGAAAATTCACTCATGGTGGTCCAACAACACACTTTTAAGGTGTGCAAACTCGAGTATGCACAGAACTTTGGCCAGTTTCACTTTGAGCCATAAAACACAGAAGAGAAAATCAATCCCCAAACTGAGCTATTCCAGCACTGATGCAGAACTGCAATGTGTAAGAGGCTGGTAAGTTTTTAGGTATCAATCTACACCAGAAGTATCTGTATAACCAGCCTCATCTGACAGATCCTCATCTGTAAAGCCCCCCAAAAAAAGAGATATTAAAGAAAAAGGTACTGCCAATGAGCCTGTCCATTGATATACTTCCTGTGGGTTGTCAATGGAAAGTAAAGTTTGTCCTTTCTTTGCTCTCTCTATTCTATCTACTCAAGTCTGTGGTCTTGTGAGGCTGAACAGTGAGTGATTTCACACTCATGAAACAAGTTAATAGCTGTTTTAAAGCTGCTGGAAACTCTCAGTTCTTGGAGTGAGTGAAGTCAGTGTCCTCTGTTTAGATATGTAACCTCTTCCCCTGTTTCTCATTTTCACAAAGGTTATATTTTATGCTTTGCCACAGAGAACCAGGTGAAAGTCTCTGCCCCCTCTTTGTCTCATTACAGTGGTATGAACAGAAGCCCGGCCCATCACAATGCAATTAAAATGTATTCAAATGCTAATTCCAATTGTAATAATGACGTAATTCCCACACTGTGGCATCTACAGCCTCCAACTCAATGCTGTACACTATAACAAGATAGTGATTAAGTTGTGCAGTATCACACTGATAAAGAGCAACTGAAAAGTCAAGAGCATAAATCGAGCGACAGACTGGCGGCGACAATTTCCAAAAGAAGTCATTAGGATTCTGACTAATTACATCCGGCCTGACCTTCCACTCTCATTGATTCAATCCGAACAAATAGTTCTCCTCTCTGCTTTTACCTCCTGCATATGGAACGAAAATAAAGTTGGGGTAAGGGATGGTTTCAGAGACATTGTGACTTAAGCAGATTATGTTTCAGTGTGTCACAGGAAAGTGTTATTGTAACAGTAGAGCAGATAAGAGTTAATTAACTGATAATGGCCCTCTATTCAGTCATTGTAAGTCAGTGAAGTGAAATAAAGGGTAGAAGTCAAAGAGAAAAATGGACATACTGTAGATCTGAAAGGAAAGCAGATAATTTTATTCCTCCTGAATAAGTTTCGCATTTGGATGGCGTAAATGCCAAGAAGGACAAGTAATCTTCATCACAGCTGCCACAACAATGACTTGAACCGCGGAGTCTGAGTTTCATCACGTCTATTTCGATACAAATTGCACAAAAAGCTTCATGGAGGAAACACCGCACCTGTCACATCCCTGCCTTTGATCTCCTGATGATGACCTCTTTTATTCACTCCTACTCTACCTCCAAAACGCAGTGTAAGACAGCAGAGCAAATCAATACCAACAGCATCCAGGAACTCAAAAGTTGCTCTGTTTTTTGGAGGAAGTAAAAGTTAACAAGAGGCCAAGAAAAACACAATTCTTCCATCTTGTATGCGCAGCTTCTGATCAACTTCCCAGGCTGGAAGGCTTTATCGGCTCTATCCTCCTCTCTCGCTGATGAGAAACAATGTGCTTTATTCCATTACGCTGTAAATCCAATCTCATGCTTCACGCTCTGTAGAAGAGTACCAGAAAGAGGGATTGAATGTGATGGCATGGGGAAATGTTGACACAAGTCCCACAATCCCTTGGGCGACATGGGTCAGTCAACGGGGTTCAGTTGAGGGATTCTGGGCAATTAAGCGATCAGTCAAGGGGTTGATTGGGCCCCCTGTAGCCTTTACTGTAACACATGTGTTGTCAGAGTGAGGGATGTAAACTAGGCTTGGCACAGCAGCAAAGTCAGGCTGTTTATTAGTTTTTCTTTTCCCCACACTTTGAATGTCAGTGCCCTTCCTTGGGGACAGCGTTCAAGTACACAATTAAGAAATAATTAGTATTTTCTTGCTTTGAATGGAGACTAAATTCTGCTGTTATCACCATAAAGGGCACTGAGAGTGAATTAAAATTTCTGGACATGTTCTGCCTGAAAATGAATGTCTCTTAGAGCCCTCTGTTCTCGCTGTTGACTCTCCCAGACATCTGACGGATGTCGAAATTAATAATGGATTGGAAGGAAATAAATATATAATTCTTTAAATCTGTTGCAAACAGCTTGTAATACTCACCGATCTCTCTCCTGCATGATTCAAATGGCAATATGATACCTTTAAAAAGCCTAGAAGCTATATTCCCTTTACAGCTCCGGAAGACCAGAATGGCGTTTCACCTGCTGGTATCAGTTAACGAAATGTCTCACATATGGAGCAGTCTCCATTAGGTGTTGAATGCTGAGGAAGCGGCTGCATGACTAATTGTTGTAGAAGCTGTTATTGCTGGAGAGGAAAAAAAAATCTCGTGATCTAATATTGAATATTGCAACACACAGATCTATTCATTTGAAGCTTCGAATATCATTTCAGTCAATCAACACGTTCGCTGATTTTCCTTCAGGCTTTACCAACTTTAAAAAGTGAAGACTGCAGGATGATATTTTTCAACTTTGAGAAACATGTCTGTACGTTACTCTGAATTTACAGTAAATTTGATTTAATTTATCTACTTAAGAAGTGATGTCAAGATTTAAATTTAAAATAAGAGTCTTACCAGCATAGCAGAGCTGTCATTCAGTCGGACTAATTCACACCCTTTAGTGAGATGTCTAGAAAATTATCAGGAAGAATGGCACCGTTTTTGTCGGAGTTCTGCTCACCCTGTCAGATTCTAAAGGTCCTTTCACACCGGGACCGTTTTTGTTGAGCGATTATTTCGGATGTCAATTTTGTTTACTCAAACCTGTTTCCTGTCAATACAAGTGTTCACATCAGAGACATTTTCCCGTCCTGTGATATTGCGGCATTTATTTTTTCGGATCATGTCCAATTTTTCTAAAGTTTCGCATAATGTGTGTCTACTTCTGACTAATCAGACTGCGTGATGTTGCGACGTCTGATTCACCGGTATATCCAATATGGCCGATCATCCGATTGTTTAGTGTGTTGGAGAACACAGTGCTTTTGATAAAAGACGCAAACATTACAAAGATAACGACCTGAGGGACAACTTGTGGAGAGTCATAGCGTCAGACCTCTCATCTGACGATGGTTTATGTGCTTTAACAGTTTGCTAAAAGTCTTTGTTTTAACTTTCATCTAGCGTAAGCTAACGGTTGTTACCATAGTTTCATGTGCTTATCAGGTACTGGCCCAGACTCAGTACATGCTATCATGACAGAAAACCATCTCAACACTTGTGTCTAGTGTCTAGTCCTCTGCCTCTTCAAACTTGGAGCTGATCGTTTCAGCAGAACTTCAAATTGTCCAACTTTCACCGAGTTCTTTTCTTTTTTGTAATATTGGATACACCCATGTGCTACGTTTCTTTTTCTTTTGAGAAAGCAAAAGGAGTACCCATTCGCCATCACTTGAGGTCATCAGCAGCTGCACTATAATATATTTGATCATACAGAAAGTATCAGTCAAACTTGCACTATATATATATATACATATATATATATATTCGCAGGCGCTTAGTTCGCTTATGCCTTGGGCCAGCTCTGTGCATAACAACAAATCTGTCCAACTCTAGTATTTCACACAGTCACTCACCCAACACAAAAACTTGTTGCAACTTGTTCGTTCATCTTGTCATCACCCAGCTTTCCTTCTTCTCAGGGCTTTGCAGTTCACACCCTTTAAATATAGGTTATTGTCGCAATTTAAAACTTCTGTTATTACAACTACAGCTTATGGTTTAAAGTGACTTTGTATTGATTAGCAAGATAGAGGTGCTGAACTCAGCTTTGTCTAGATTGCAGGACAAGATCTTGCTTCCACTTTTTCCTGTCAGATTAAATTATGATTAAAGTCCAGAAGATCCTCATGCTGTTCTCACATCATTATTTCCTGACTCGAGATCAGCCTGAGACAGAAACTAACATTTTGCCTCAGTTTCAACAGGCAGATGTGTTGATTTGAAAGGTTGTCTCTGGCATTGCTTCTGTAGGTATTGGATTTTGACCAATCAGATTCAAATATTTGTTGGCAATAGCAGACTTAAAAACACTGTATAATGATGAGTTATACAAAAAGATTTTTTTATAGAGATATACGTATTCACAGTAGCTAATATTCCACTTGGATGTGTGTGTGTTGTTTGTCACAGTGTGCACGGTTCGATTGTCTTCTTTTCTGGCCCCAAGTATGCAACTCCACACTGGCTTCAATACAGCTGGTATGAGAGCAGCATCTTTTGGCAGCATTACAGCCATCAGCTACATCACTCATATTTTTCTTGGCAAATAGATTTTTAACAGAGGCTTTAATTTTGGAAATAGGTCTGTTTAGGATTTTTAATGACCATAACAGCTCCCATAAGCCGACTACTTCTGAGTGTTACCAGTTATCAGAGTTCATTAAAAAGGAGACATCATACAAAAGCAGCACCTGTCGTCTAGTTAACGCAGTTAAACCTCTCTGCTCATCAGGTGTGCTGCCTTTAAAAGCCTTCCTCCACTGTTTTGATGACTCTCCCTAAACTTGCAGCAAAAACAGTCTAGCCAATACCATTAAATCATTATAAACTGTTGGTAGTCTCTTGTTCTCCTTTGAATTCTTGCTTTTAGAGGCACTTTACTTCACATGAGCTGTCTCAGTACGTAGTGTACCCTGACTGAGGTGTTCAGACATTTGCTTTCATCTTGTCCAGTTGCAAGCCTCAGAAATGAGGAAAGGTGAGAGTGACTTCAGGAGGTGGGTAGAAAAAAGAGAAATGTTCAAAGCTGGAGTGAAAGAATTCCTTCTTCTTCTTTTTTTTTTGCGAGTTTTTGAATTCCTTGAAAACAAGCAGCTACTTCCATCTTATAACGCCATTTTGATGTTTTCTGATCTGTTGTGTCAAAACAGCTGGATTCTCTTCAGATAACTTCAGATGAGAGTCTGCCGTTACATACTCGTGAGTAATCCCTCACCTCAACATGACCACAGTTTGATGTGTAAATCAAACTCTTCTACTCAGCCTGGTCTGGCATTGACCTCTACCCTTAAATTGTGAAAAAAAAGGCTTATTAAATTGAACCGCTTGTTTAAAGCGGGGCAAAACCAATCTTCCAAGATGCCTTTAGCTCATCAACATGACTTGTTTCTCTAGAAATGAATGGGTAGAGTGCTGCTATTTCACAGTGGGGCCTTATAGGAGCCAGACAGCGATGATGGATGTCTGTATTCCCAATGGTGCCTTCTTTCTAATGAGTTTCTGCACTAGATTGCACGCTCATTATAAACAGGTCCTATATTGCTGGAAATAACAAGAAAATAATACATCTGAGTGTGACCATTAGTTGTGTTTTGGTTCCTGTCATCTGCCTCGTTGGTTATTTTCCCGTCTTCAAGTAATATTAGGAAAGCACAATTCAGCTTTTCGTGACTTTTAGAGAGAGAGCATATCAAATCAAATCAAGTCTAACGTTTCCTCCAAAGATGTTCAGTGTCTTCAGATTGTAAAAATCCATTAAAGTAGTAAACTGTGAAAGCCCCGCAGCTTTTTGACATTTTTCTTTCCCTCTGTGGACCCGGGGAACACACATAAATCAAGGTTTCCACAACTCTGGAGACAGAAATGCAGCGTTGCGAAAACACCAATCTTGATCTCCTGCGCACACCTGCTTCGATAGCATCACGGTTCATGCAAATAGGAACTCCCCCAGTGGATCAGCAGTGCTCTACGGGTTCATATCTGTTTGAGGTTTCGCATTCAAGTCTGAGAAGAGACAAAGACACCATGTATTTTAGATTTATATGGAAATAAGTAAGTAGATGTGATGTGTTTATTCATAAATGAAATGTTACCGTGTATGGCATCAGTCAGCAAAGACGCCCTTATGCGTGTGTATTGAAAGAAGGAACCGTAGCGTATGGCGAAAGGCCAGTGAAGTCACCCTGACACAAGGATGAGGCTGAAAGAAACAAATTGCTTTTGCTGAGTTCGAAATTGGAGAATTTATTCTTGTTTCCCGTTGGACGGTTTGGTCAGAGTTTATGAAAAATCACTTCAGTCCCTTGTGGCCATGTAGAGCAATGTGCATTATTTTTGTCTACTTAATCTGGGGGTGTCAGCTCTTAACTGGATATGACGAGGGATGAGGAGACTACCTTAAGTGCTAGAGGATTTGGGTGTAGGATAGGATATAATTTTATTGGCCAAATGCTTTCCCATAGTGAGGCAAGGTGAGCTCTACAAGAATCTTTAAGAGCCATACAGCTGCGTATGCTCCAACTGGACTATTATGAGCTTTATTAATTAAATAAATGTGTTAATTGTGTGGTATTTCCCCTGTAACTGCAAGTCTGCCTCCAAGAGATTACAATACTCAGGAGACAATAGTAGTTTTCCCCACAGTGGCAACTCTGGATAATTCACGCCTTGAGTACTTACATAAGTGGCTTTATTTTTCTATCCATTTAGCCATGGATAGCTTCGCCTACTTTATCTACACTTAAAATTGCTTCTGGCTTCTCAAAATGACTGACTGGGAATAAAATATCATCTTAACATGGTGTAAAAATCAGCAGACTGCTCTTTTTACTCTGAATGGCAAACGCCACGGCCAGCAGTCATATACATAATTGTCCTCTACAGCCTCACCCTCTCTACGTTTTGACATTAATTAATCTGAAGCAATCTCCAAACTGCCCATGGGGCCAAGACCTCACGCCTCCAAACCTTCAATTCTGTGATTGAATTTCACAGAGTTCATCTCTACAGCCCTTAACTTCACTACTTCGCTAATGGTGATCGAAAAAAAAAAGAAAGAAAGAAGACACTAAAATAGAAGAAAAACTCTCACCATCAGCCATATTCTTTTTACTATCCATCATGGCCCATAGAGGGGAGGACAAAGACAAATTCAGCCAGCCAGGATCTGGGCAGAAAGCAAGAAAGATGACCCCATTGGACTCTGGTGCTGCATTTCATTATCTCACTCTGTCCATTCGTTCACTACCTATGGACAGAATGGGCCCCAAATACACTCCATCATTGCTGCACACTGCATTGGAGATAATATGGACCGGATGGACAAACAAGGTGCAGATGAAGACAAAGTAAACTTCATAATGATGTTATAGATAGAGAAAGAACAGAGTTTATACTGTACATTTTGGATCACTGGGGGTGAGATGGATAACAAGAATGCTTTAACTTTGTGTCATGGGTTAAAACCAAAGCAGAACAAGTTTAGAGGGGCTGATCAGACACATGGGCGCCTTTAGCTAAATGCTGATGTGAGAATGTGAACATGAGATACGAAGAAAGCAAACTATTATGTTCGAAAAGTTTCCATCTAATTTTAGCTGGCTAGCATGCTGGCATTTGAAAATTGCCTTTGAGCACACAGAATAGTTGAGGACAAAGTTTCATCTACAGTTGCTGCCAAATGAAATGTGACCCAGTGTTGCTGTTCGTTAACAGAGAAATTAAAAAATCTGAAAAATATAAAAGCTTTAGAGGGATCAGGGTAGCTATGGGGGTTTATCATCCAGGAACCATGAATGGATATTGCTACACTCGATTTTACGGGAATTGAACATCTGTTTAAAAGCATTCAATAATTCATAAAACATTCAAGAGGGGAAATCTGCGTATCACTGAATAAAAAGTTCATCTTCTAAGGACTATGAACGGCTCAACAAGATTTTACAAAAATCCAATTTAGCACTAAGAAGAGCTGAGGACAAAGTTTCATCCAGGATTGTTAATAATTAGTGACCCAAAGTTGCAGCTCATCTTGTTATAAGTCTTTTTATTTCATTTTAAAAAGGCCATCAGAAAAATCTGAGGATCACAACAGTCATGGGCTTTATCATCTAGGAACCATGAATGGGAACTGATAAACCACACTTTACATAAATCTTTCCAAAAGCTGTTCAAATGTGAGAAATAATTCATAAAAATCACAAGTAGGAAGTCTAAGGACCATCAAAGTAATGCAGTTCATCATCGGGGGATCATGAATGCAACTTTCTAGAGCAAATATCACAGAAATCCGCCTAGTAGCAGCTTTAATGTCATTAATAACTCATAAAAATACTTGTCTGAGGAATATATAGATGAACGTGTGATTCATAGTCTGGAAACTAGGAATCTCGGTAGAAACCTGTGCGGCTCAGTCTTGTGGATGTTAAGATGTGCTTTATGTAACTTGAGGTATTTCTGTCTGGACCAAAAATTTCTGTCCCTGGAGCTGTCGTGAAAACTAACCAGGGTCAAAGTTTCCATCAGCGTTATCTCAGATCTTCAGCTGCTTCGTTAGCGCCTGCAGAAACTTCGCCCTCTTCGTAATTCTGCTGAGCCTGTCATCTCCACAAACTGCTGTTCTCCGCTGTCGCAGACATACTTCCTCTGACACTGTGACAGTTATGGCATCATTGTCCGATCCTTCCTTCCATGAAGCGTGGCAGTTACAGTAGACTTCATGGAGTCCCAGCTCTACGAGGCCCTGGGTGCTTCTCCTGCTGCAGGGGCGCAGTAAGGCTGAGTAAGCCTGAGAAATCGCATGGCTTTGGCCCTGCTGCAGCGTAGGACGGCTCATTGAGTCTGCAGGTACAGAGCTGAGAGTGAGGGATGACTGCAGTCTTTCACAGATGGCCGACTTTCCTCTCTCTCTTTCTAACCCTTGCTATCTTTTATACACTTCCTCGCCTCACCCCTGTCTCACTGCTTCTCTTGTGAAATGACCCCTCCTCTTTCCGACTCACCTGTACTCTCTCTCCTCCCTGCCTCTGTCATTCTTGCACAATCCCGCATCCGGAGAGTGTGCATACCTCAACCTCTGCATGTGAAAATGTTGCATATGTGTGTCAGTGAGCACACATCAGTGGCTGGCTGTGTTTGTGAGGTGTAAGCTGACCTGGAGCTCAGAGTGGCAGAGAAACTGCATGACAGATGGCCTGTTTGAGAGAATGATTCGGGGGCTCGGCTACGGTCAACTGCGGTTTGGCACTGAAGAAAAGGGCTGGCCTGCTGTTAGTATCTCAGCTGCTTTCATTGCTGTATACTAAACAGGCACCCAGATACACACAATCACAAGAAAGCAACACAACAATGAAGACATGCCAGGGAATCATTTCAATTTTGTCCTCAATGGTATTTTCAAGATAAAAGTTGCCCTTCAGATTTCTTCATTATGACATTACTTTGAAAACATTTGCACTGCTGTGTTGAAAAGCAGAAAAAAAGCCTTTTTTATCCAAAAAGCAGTGTGGTGAAACACATGCACACACACGCAGTAGCACAAAAAATGCACACTGAGATCTTATACGACCAGGTGAAATATAGGAGGTTCTCTCTGTGACTGAATTTTTTGGTAGTTGCCTGGCAACTTGAGTCCATTTGCCTGACATCAAAACAAGAGTGCTGAGCAACAAAGGTAGCAACAGGCCCAATCACACCAGAGGAGACTTAAATGCCAGTGTGGGTTTGATTGATTCTGTCTCAGGCCTCCCATCATGAACTAATGTACTCCAAATCATCCATCACTAAGTCTGGCGGCTCATTCGAAGACGCCGCTTTGTTTTTTTTACTGATGAAACTTGTTCACCAGGTGCAGCCCAGCCAGCCGAAGCCAGGTTCAGCTAGAGCTCTGTGGGTTTCGCTTCTGCCAGTGAGCAAGTAAAACATCTATTGTAAGAGAGAGTGAGAGGGAGAGAAACTCATGCAGACTTAAAAGAGAGTGTGAAGTTCCTGAAGCGCAGAGAACCTGCTCTAGAGGTCACGGCACTTCTAGAGGATGAAACTGTGTTTGATGACTGATTTGAAGAGTAACTTTTAACGTTTGTTGTTCTTTCTAGTTTCTTCATTTTGTTTGTCACCGCCTTTGGCACGCCACATCTCCAATCTCCAATCTGTTCTGATATTTTTTTAAGACAGCAGATCTGCTCCCTTTGTCTTCTCCCCATGTGGAAAGAGAAAAGAAGAGGTTACCCACGCGTTTCCCAGAGTTGCACAGAGGCCACTTGAAATGTAAATCTCAGCTTTGCTTCCTCTCCGTCGTGGGAAGCTACATTTTTATGAAAATTACCTGATTTGAATTTAGATGCGGGTCTACAGAATCTGGGGCTTTCACCGGGGCACGTTCCTGTGGAACGAGGAGGCGTATTAACAGGCTGTTGTTGACTTGGCTGCGTGTCTGTCAAAAAGACAGACACAAGCGTGCTGTCAGAGCCCTAAAGCTGTGTATGACACTGTTTGGGCTGTTGGAGCTTGATAGAGGCTGCGTTCATTCACGGGGGATAAATAGGTAATTGAACTGGGTATGTCAGTATTAAAATACACAAAAGAACAGAAACACTGTGCTGCCACTCTTCTCTCTCTCTCTCACACACACACACACACTCATAACACATGACTTAGAGTTACAGACTTTCCAGAAAGATCAATTTTCTCTTGCTCAAAACGGAGCTGAGGGGAAAAAATGAAACTTAATTTAGAGCTCATTTTCTCAGCTCAAAAGATCGCCTTTGCTCCTGCTAAACACTTTATCCACTTTATAGGACGCTCAGAACCCAGACGTTAAAGATATGCATGACAGGGTTCAAGCCCCAATTTCACTGAGTGTCTTTTCTGCTGAAGTGTCCTTGAAACTAAATCCCATTCACTTCTGTTCAAGGCGGCTCCATTTTAGGGATTTTCAGGTAAAAAAGACTTTAAATAAGAGTTTCTGACTGTCAGTGCAACCAAACTTCATCTCCTGCTCACCTGCTATAAAGAAAATCACCAAGTAGCAGTTTTATGTGGGTGGAAGAACGACAAAATAAATATTTACTTCCTTACATCCCTCCCTCCTTCCTTTCCTCTTTCTTTCCTTCCCTCCCTTCTTCCTTCCCTCCTTCTTTCTCTTTTTTCCCTACCTCCTTCTTCTCTTTTCTTCCCTTCTTCCTTCTTTTCTCTATCCTTTCCTCCTTTTTCCTCCCTATGCTTATTTTCCCTTTCGCATTTGTTATAAAACTCTTTCGCCCCTCCACCTTCCTACACATTTTTCTTTGGTAGATGCGTCATTGTTTTTGCTAACTCATTATCTTAATAGACCCCTAACTTTTAATTGTCCTATATTCGTATTTGTATGTCCTTCGTATTTTTTATGTCAGTCACAACTTGCCATTACAACTAAATTAATGACTGCCGCTATCTTAAAATGGAGGAAACAAAATTACGTTAGGCAATGATGTGTATTTCAATTGTGTGAAAGGGGGAAAGAATTCAGCATAATTAATTAAGGTTATGGTTTATTGTTTGTTACAGAAAGGTATTGGACCAGGATGAGGAAATTCAAGTGGAAGAAAGTTGTTTTTCATTACTGCAAGAAAAAAGTCAAAATGTTGAGAATGAAGACAAAATACAACTGTGAGAGTAAAATAGATGTGTTGAGAGAAAAGTATAAATTTTAATTTCAAGAATTAAATCAACAGTTGCCAGTGGGACAAGGCAAATGCAAGTTAAAAATGCATGGTAAACATAGAAATGCAACATTGCAAATCCAACTGAATCTTAAAGTAGCATCGGACGTTAGCTTGGTAAATGGGTTAGTAGGGGAGAGTGGGCTAGGATGAGACATTTTTCATATTTCGGATCACTACATCAAGGCGATCATAGTTTTGTCTCTAAATAGTGTATCTGCATGTATTTTAAGATGTTGTGCATCCCTGCAAACCAACAGAATGAGTGTAAACATAACTGTTTTGATAATATAGCATGCCAAAAAAGGTGGTCTCCTATGGTCAACTTACCCCGTGTATGGGGTAAGTTGACCATAGGAACGGGGTAAGATGAGCCGTATCCCTGCTACCCCCCACTCTCCACCCCAGCCCTCCTTCACCTTCTTTCTCCCTAAATAACAGTCACTTCTTTACATTCATGTGTATTTTTATCTTTTATACACTATTCAACAGGTACAATAATTATTTTTATTATTATTATTGCATATAACTGCTAAAAAGCTGTTTTGTAAAAAACATTTTAACTTGAGAAAAGTGATTCAGAACAAAAAAAGTAACACATTTCAACAATCTGAACTGAAACTCTGATCCTCTCATCAGACTCCTTAATGGCTCAACTTACCCCAGAACTACTATGATGACTTTATTAGTCCTCTAAGCTAAAATGGTGGACTTTAATGATGTTGTAGCTCATAGATACCACAATTGATGTATAAAACAAATTTAAAATGGTTTTTTTTTTGGTCTGAACACAATTCTAATAAAACTGATGACAGACTAAATTCACTTTTAAAAATTACAAATATATTTTTTAAATAAATGTCTAACCCCTTCACCCATGTGCTTCTAACCTTCACAGACTCTGTGAACTGATGCCCATCTCCTAAATATTTGGTCACATGATCAACAGAGGGTGGCTCAACTTACCCTTTGGCTCAACTTACCCCACTCTCCTCTACTCATATAAATATTCACAGATGTCAAAATTAAGTCTCTAGCTTTTCAGGGGATTTTACAGACATTTCCTTTCAGCAATTTATCTGAAATAGTCAACTTCGACTGTCCCTTCTCTTTCCTTTAAAAGGATATTGGAAAGAAATGGCTCACTTAAAAATATTTTTATTAAATACAGCTTTGAACGGCCTACACACTAGACCACAACACTGAATTTTGTTCTTTTTCCCACATTTTCTCTCCATTCTGGACAAATTAATTTATTATTGAAGTGCACAATGTCAAAGTTAAAAGCTTAGACTGAAGGATTTTAAATTGTAGCCTATAAATCAGTGCAAGTCACAACCTATTCTACATCTGCAGGTTTTGACTGCTGTAAATCAAGCTAACTTATATGATGATTCATCAGTGTAGGTGCTTCAAATTGAGGTTTAGTTCCTGTCTTAATCAGATATATGATTTCCTTTTATGTTATTTGCTTAAATGTTTAGTCACTGTCCTCTTGTGTGCAATGTGCTGCTGTTAACACAAATATAAGCCTACTTATTCTTGTCTGTAGCCTGCAGTAGGATTATAATGGAGGCTCTGTTTCTCTGTTTTTTTCAGATAAAAGATGATCAACCTCGAAGAAGTCACGTTAACTCCCATCTTCAACCCTCATTACACAAAAGTGTCCTGTAGCTACAAACTCTCCTAAGAGTTATGAGGCCAAATGTAGCCCGAAGCTTCACATTCACGCCCTACTGGAAACTGTGAATACTTTTCTGAGGTTGATATCGACCTCTGACCCTCCAACTGCTCCAGTACTGAAGAACTCCGAGTCCCCAGATCTCACACATCCCACTTGTAGCTCCAGCGGTTAGACTGCTGTATTGTTTTCTTCCTCCTCCTCCTCCACCTGCAGGACAGCTGTGCGCCGCTGCCACGTCTCTCCTGCTGCTGCTGCTGCTGCTGAAGTGGACGCGCAAAGTGGGGGCGCACTGCTCAGCCATCAAAACCCAGCTCGAGCGATACGCAGCTGTGACTGAGAGCAGCACCGGACCCGCCGCTCACATCTTCAGCGCTTGGCTCCTGAAAGCTGTAGTTAAAGGACCTTTTTGTTTGGGTTTTTTTTTTCTTTTTCCTCGCCGTTGCATTTTGGCACTCGCGTCCGCCCCGAAAGTGGAGGCACATTGTCTGTGGCGCAGCGCGACAGTGCGGTGTCCGATTACAACCCGTGCGCCGAGGAGCCACCGGCACAGAGCGCTCCTCAGAGGGGGCAGAAATAGCTCACAGTGCTCCGGAGGGACGAGAGAGAGCGCAGTGGAATCTGTGCAGAGAGAGATAGAGGGAGTTTTACCAACAGAGGTCGATTTCTGACACAGCAGAACTGAGGAGGATTTATCACCCA